CTCCGTGTAACCCCTCCGATCGATCCCCCGTCCAATTCAAACGGGGATCGATATTACGACGGCCTGAGCTGTTCGAACCCCTACTGGTGCCCTCAGACTATAGTCGTATCCGTCAAACGGGAGTTGGCCTTCAGCCGCTCCATAAGTCCTTCCTTTGGTTTGGAGTGCCATCTGCACGCCCCCTATCGTCCGGTGAAGCTGTAAAGGCCAGCTGCGGCCAACAGCATTAGAGTAGTCCGAAAAAAAAAGGTTCGTGTTTCATAACGATTCGCAAGACCGAGAGCTGCGCAGTACGAAACTTGTTTGCTTTTGCTGACAAGGGCAATGGGGGGTAAATAATTGTAATATTTCTGCTTACGTAATACTTGAACGGCCCCTATATACTCGTATATATATAATTCTTTTAATATATATGAATCATAGTTACAAGAATCTATCTGTCTTTTGCTCTGATTCAACCATTTGCAGCTACACATACAAACACGTAAGACTACAGGTATGTCACTACTAAAAATCTATACAGATAAATAAAATATTTGTCTGTTTGTAATTACATATTAACAATTTTCTATACAGTAAATAACTCTAAAATTATTATAAAATAAAATTTAATTGTTTGTTCTTGATAATCACAATTGTAACGACTTTGATGGAACTTTCACTCGCAGATAGCTAATGGTACAAGGAGCAACTTACCCTAAGTTACTCCTTCTATCATTAGCTATCTGCGTATATACTTCGATTTAAAATATTTTTCAGTAAATGGATATGTATTATTTGATTCTATGCGGGCGAAGTCACGGGTTACAGCTAGTCTATGATATAATATAGTTTCTATTAACTTGAATACATAAAGAACACTCAGTTGACTAATTTGTTACTTACATTTCAAATTTGGAACCATAGTGAGTCACATGATGTTGGTGACGTCACAATTATGCCGCCACCAATTGTTAGCTGAATACATAAAGAAAACTCAGTTGACTAGTTTGTTACATACATTTCAAATTTGGAACCATAGTGAGTCACATGATTTTGGTGACGTCACAATTATGCCGCCACCAATTGTTAGCTGAATACATAAAGAAAACTCAGTTGACTAGTTTGTTACATACATTTCAAATTTGGAACCATAGTGAGTCACGTGATGTTGGTGACGTCACAATTATGCCGCCACCAATTGTTAGCTTAATACATAAAGAACACTCAGTTGACTAATTTGTTACTTAACTTTCAAATTTGGAACCATAGTAAGTCACGTGATGTTGGTGACGTCACAATTATTCCGCCACCAATAGTAATAGATATAAAGAGGCCGGGAACAAGGAGGGAGCGGGCTGCTCCCTCTCTGTTCGAGGCGACCGAGACGAGCAGACGTGAATGTACAGCGACGCAATTTATGTGGAGTGGAATTTGAAAAAAGAAGAAAATAAAAGTACTGCTGCATCGACGTATCATTTCTGAAACTTCCCAATAGTTCATATTAGAAATTGATATGTTTTGTTTGATTTGTATTGTTTAAATCACTGTACATTTACACTTTCCATAAATTCTCTCTCTACATTCATAACGATTTTATTTATAATCCATTCTGCATACTGGATAAAATAATGACATATTAATTCAGAACTTCGAATAAATATTGATATTATTCAAATTACAATTGATTATAGAATTATGTCTTATGTAAAATGATAATAATGTGTTATATAAAAATCGAAAGGAGATCACGATGATGTGATTTTAGCAAAATCCTCCTATGTATTCATAATATATAAATGCACAATTTCATATAAACTGCCTTTACACGACATGTTCTTTCACGCGCGATTGAGCGCGGGAAAGATGGAGCGCGCGCGACATAACGTGGCAAAGATGGAACGCACGCGATTTAGCGCGGGAAGGATGGAACGCGCGCGATTTAGCCCGGGAAGGATGGAACGCGCGCGATTTGTGCGGACGCGGGAATGCGCTCACTGTTTGCATGCACAGTCTTTCTCGTTCTCTTTAACTACATTTATATGCACATTCTTTCCCGCGTGAATGATAATTCGCGCGGAAAAGGCGTTCGCACGATTGAAGTACGCGGGAAACTACAAGATGGCGGCGCGCAAGTCTTCTTCTTTCTCTTTATCGACATTAACATGCACATTCTATCCCGTGTGAATGACGAATCGCGCGGAAAGGGCGTTCGCACGATTGAAGTACGCGGGAAACTACAAGATGGCGGCGCGCAAGTCTTCTTCGTTCTCTTTATCTACATTTACATGCACATTCTATCCCGTGTGAATGACGATTGGCGCGGAAAAGGCGTTCGCACGATTGAAGCACGCGGGAAACTACAAGATGGCGGCGCTCAAGTCTTCTTCGTTCTCTTTATCTACATTTACATGCACATTCTATCCCGTGTGAATGACGAATCGCGCGGAAAGGGCGTTCGCACGAATGAGGTACGCGGGAAACTGCAAGATAAATGCACATTCTTTCCCGCGTGATTGAACGAACACCCTTTCCGCGCGAATCGCCAAATTATAGCTACTTCTATCTTCTCTATCCATTCTTTCCCGCGTAAAAGACGAATCGCGCGCGAAAGCGGCTACGTGTAAAGGACGCTATTATTAATACAACACTGATATTTTGTTACTTCCGATGTAGCTGTACGGAATTTGAACTATTATACAATATATATGAACTGTGATACATTTCACTCGCTGACTGTGATGGTCAGCTGTTTGCTTCGGTTGTTCTCGAACCTGTCCATGGTCTTTATGTCCAGGATCATGGAAATGGATATTCCCAGGCCTATCAGCATTATGAATGTCACCATCAGACCAGACCTGGAATGTAAAGGTAAATATTCTCACCGTTGCTTCTCAATTTATATATTCAAATATCCTATATGTTCATAAAAATCTTGATTTATTTCCAAAAAACAGCAATATTCATAATATTAATACTAGATTTAAAGACAAACTTAAAATTTATCAGTATTTCTCTACAATATTATACATGTATTATATATATATAAACCATCCTCTTGAATCACTCTATCTATTAAAAAAACCGCTTCAAAATCCGTTGCGTAGTTTTAAAGATTTAAGCATACATAGGGACGGACAGACAGCGACAGTGACTTTGTTTTATTCTAGCTACTTGCCCCAGCTTCGCACGAGTGTACATGTATTATATATATAAACTTTCCTCTTAATCAATTGATCACTCGCTTCAAAATCCGTTGTGTAGTTTTAAAGATTTAAGCACACATAGGGACGGACAGACAGCGACAGCGACATTGTTTTATACTATGTAAAGATTGAAAAAAACCACTTCAATATCCGTTGAGTAGTTTTAAAGCATTAAGCTTACATAGGGACGGACAGACAGCATACTATGTAATATGCAAAAATAAACTCACCAAATGGGAACCGTTGTGAAGCCAATACAATCGAAGGCGTCCGCGAACTTGCCAGTGCTATCCATATACGGCTGCATCTGAAATGTTTTACGGATGTAGTTTACAATATTCTTTTTTACACCATATAGGTGGCAAACAAGCATACGGCCCATCTGATGGTATTAATACCTCCACTTCATAGATTTAACAGTTGTTTCAACGTTTAAAAAAAAAACGTTAAAAATGTAATGTAACACGAATAAATAAACTGACTTTAAAAAAAAACAGTTTAATTTTTGTGCCAGTTCTTCTCAATTGAATCTGTAATTGAACTGGACGGTAGAGTAAAATAACACACAAACTTTAAAAAAAAAACAGTTTAGTTTCTTGACCGATTTTGACGGGCCTTTTATTCGGAGGTAGCAGATGTAATAAAGAGTAACTTAGACTACTTTAGAAAAATAAAGTTAAATTCCACGCGGATGAAATCGCGGGTACAGCTAGTATTATATAAATCCGATAACAAAATGCCAGTTCTTCTCAATTGAATCTGTAACGAATTGAACTGGACGGTAGAGTAAAATATTCACACAAAAACTTGACGTTCATAAACGGTGAGAATGTCCTACAGTAGGGTAGGTGAAAAAATGTTTAATGGGGCCATTGACGTGCCATCAAATAATTTTTACTTTCTGATTCATCATCATCATCTGCTTCTTCCTTATCCCATTTATTTGGAGTCGGCGTAATATGTTTTTCGCGTCCATTCATCCCTGTTCGCAGTCATTGCGTTATTTACTTCCTATCTCACCATACCATCTTTCAGACAGTCCATCCATCTCTTTTTCGGCCTTCCTCTGCCCTTATAACCATCCACATTCATATGTAACACCTTTCTTAAAATATTATCCTCGTTCCTACGCATTACATGTCCATACCATGATAGACGATTACTTATTTTAAATTTAATTAATTTTACTTTCTGATTATTTGGAAAATAATAAAAATAAATACTATCATAACTCTCTATGAAATAAAGTAAACAAAAGAGGTTCAGTTTGGATTGTTTTCATTACACGCATAAATTAAATTACTGTAAAATTAGTGTGACTTCTGTTGCTGCAGGTTAGATGACAAATAATTTATTCAGGCTTGTACGATGTTACTTTTTATAACACAGGGGACAAAAGCATGCGGCTCACCTGATGGTAAGTGATTACCGCCGCCCATGAGCACCCGCAACACCTGCAAGTACGTTGTCGGCCTTTTAAAAATAAGCTAAGCTCTTTTCTTGAAGGTTTCAATATCGTATCGGTTGAAATACCATTGCTGGAAGGTGATTCCACAATGTGGTTGTGCGAGGCAAAAAGTTTCTAGAAAACCGTACTGTGGAAGACCGCCATTCATCCAGATGATCAGGATGGTATTTCAGAAAAAAATTGCAAGCAAAATGCATGCTGAACTGGATTCATCTCTAACCGAGTTTTTAAAAATAATAATGACTCGCAGGCATAGGTAGGTGAAGATATTGTTAAAATAGCATGAGCCAGTTTCTTCAAACAGTTTTATGATCGACGACGTTCCCAAAATATTGTGTCGCGTGCCGTCAATGGTACATGTGCCATTGGTGGCGAACCAATGGCACACGTACCTTGTCCTACATGATCCTAATAATTTTTGATTTGATTTGTTTTGATCCTCTTTCGACTTGTAAATGTAAACTTACAAGGATTATTTAAAAGAGCAACACACAAGTTTCTTGCTCGTTCTTCTTGTGATGAGACAGCTTTCCGAACATGATCAAATTGTTATGACTAATAATTTTTGATTTGATTTGTTTTGATCCTCATCTCACAACTAACCTGTATATCTGGTAATGTCAGGGTCGCCTCCTCAGAGGAGTAGACCAGCGGCTGGGAGCAGTGGTACGCGCGCCCTAGGACTGCGGACGGCGCGTCAGGTGGAGCTGGTGCCTTCAAGTTGAGGCCGGTCGTCTCCAACCCAAACTTCACCTCCACACCCACAGCTGTCCACCATCCGGCCGCTTGTTTGAAGCTGAACTCTAAGGTGATCTGGTAACAGTGGTTAGAAACCTTTAGTAATAATATAATAATAATACGATAGCCGAAAAAATAACAAAATATAAAGAATTACAAACAGAAATAACCCGACTCTGGCACTTACAAAAAGTAACAATAGTCCAATCGCCCTCTCAACTACAGGTGTCATACCGAAAAAGCATCAGTCACAATAGCCCCCTAATATATACCCAATCTGTAGTTATAAATACATGCCGGATTGTTAGAAAGTTTCTACAGACAGATTAGGCCTACATTTGTATTATGGTATATCCACCTGATATAGAACATTGTTATGTACTTGGCTTAGGCCCGTACATAACAAGATTACCGGCGAAAGTAGAGAAAAAATAATATAAAAAAAAATAATAATAATAATAATAAACTCAGGACAATTCACACATCGCCATCGTGGTAGATTAAAAAATGTAATGACTATTCAAAAGTGCTTCAATGTAAGTTTATTTGAATAAATGATTTTCTATTCTATTCATCTAGACCCAAGTTAAGCTAGCTAAAGCTTGTGTTATGGGTACTAGACAACTGATACAAATATATAGATATATTTTTTTCGTAAGTACATACATATTATACATAGAAAACATGCAGGCCGATACAAACAGTCATACTCGTGAATACAAATGTCGAACCCGCGACCACCACAAATAAAGCGGTGTGCTAAGTCGCTAGACCACCAAGGCCGTAAGGGTATTTTTTTTTATGGATCATAATGGAATGGAGCACCCGCCTGCGCTAACGGTTTACACTGGGGGGAAGGGGGTATTGTTAGTAATGTGGACTGATGATCCCATTGCTAGCAATGTACCATGTCAGGTCGACCTCCACGCGGTTCCCCCTGGAAACCATCGTGATACATTCCTAGTGAATTTGTCACGTTGGGCACACTGACCTGACCTCATGTTCATCCTATCATCCTCCACTGGTGCCCCGCCAGCGTAAACCGTTTTCTTTTTAAAGAATGATAATGGAATGATGCACCCGCCTTTTTTTTTTTAACTTGGAGAAAATCCCTCATGGAGACCCGCCGGCCCGGGGGAAGCCCGCGGGTACTGTGAGACTCCTACTCACTAAAAACTCCAAGATGTCCCTCACCCAACGCCATATGCCGAAATCGCGGGATCGATAACAGTCAACCGCGACTCATGGTGCACCCGCCTACGCTAACGGTTTACGCTGGCAGTTAACCCATCGTGACAAATTCACCAGGAATTTATCACGATGGGTTAAAGGGCGAACCGCGTGGAGGTCAACCTGACATGGTACATTGCTAGTAATAGGGTCATGAGTCCACATTACTAACAGTCCTCTTACCCCCTATTCTGTGTATATTAGATATGTATAAAGGAATACTTACTTAGCATCCCTTTACGGTTTGCTTTTAGGCGCGTTATTGAGCGTCTATATGTAATATTATATTATCTGTGGTCTAACTAACTAACTAACGTCTAATTGCTCTCATCGACTTCTAATAGATGGCGCTAATTGTTAAAGATGAGTAGAAGTATGGTGGATAGTAAAACTGGGATTGTGAGTGACAGTAATTGAAAGTAACAGTGTTTTGGTGAAAAGGATCGACAAATAAACATTGAACTACAGGTAATGTTTGTTGCATTGCGGTGACTCGTGTATGATTTGTAGTTTGTTTGTATCAGAAATTGTAAAAGTTTCAATAAAATTTCTTTGTTCTACAGAGCAACGCATGGTTTAATTTGTCGAGAGAACTAATATATGTACAATAGATAATTGACTTATAAAATGACATTTAAGTATTCCTTTATATATGTATTTACAATATATATATCTAAATAATTGTATCAATAGTCTAGTACCTATAACACAAGGTCTGCTTACTGTAGGACTAGATGACGCTGTGTTAATTATTTAAAATTATTTCTTTATTACATAGAAAACACCCAGACCGATACAAACAATCATATTCATAAATTTTAAATATTATACCGTGCGGGGAATCGAATCTGCAACCCAATCGACAGTATATTTAATTTAATAAGCATCTGTAATAGAGATGTCATGAATATATAATAGAGAGTAATAGAGATGTAATGACGACCTCGGTGGTTTAGCGGTCAAGCACACCGCTTTACGACCTATGGTCGCGGGTTCGATTCCTCGCACGGCACAAACATTTGTATTCATGAGTATGATTGTTTGTATCGGTCTGGGTGTTTTCTATGTATAATATGTATGTATTTACAAAAAAAAAAAAATTATGTATATGTGTCAGTTATCTAGTACCCATAATACAAGCTCTAGCTAGCTTAACTTGGGTCTAGATGGCTCTGTGTGAATTGTCCTAAGATTATTATATTATTATATTCGACTTTTACTAGTTATTCGGCAAAATTTTGCAAACTATTTGCCGAAGATTTGGCCGAGAGTCTAATAATCAGTTGTCGGGAACTCAGATGAATTTTGTTATTTTAGGTACGCACCTGTACACCCATGTTCTATTCTACTACACTCCACTCCACTCCACTGCACTCCACTCCACTCCACTCAACTGTACTCACCTTGTCCCTGGTCTGTCCGTCGGCGAAGCGCACCACGAGTATGGTGTAGAGTCTGGTAGGTTTTACTGTGGGCTCCCCGACGGGGGCGTTAAGCGCGATCGCCGTGCCGTTGGCCCAGCGCAGCTCCGGCCACCCGGATGAGTACAGCAGGGCATTTTTACCCGGCTGACCTGAAAATAACCGCATCTTACTATTACCACAGATAAAATAACATTCTATTACTAACTACGTATATCAATATTATTGTTAGTAATATTAGTATAATACTACTATAATATATATACATATATGCCGCATAGTGTTAAGTCCGCCAAATGTACTATACTATATATTATATTGTGTGCATTAAAGTTATATAAATAAAAAAATATATATATACTAGCAGACTCGGCCACTTGTTGCTGTGGCTAACAGTTTCTTTATATATAAAAATAATTTGCAATAAAATAATATTGCGACTATAAATTGAGATGTAAGCTATCATATCTTTCAAGTTGGAACAAATTGCACACAATGTGCAAATCAAATTTATTTATTTATTTATTTATTACATTTATTACGTCACACATCTCAACACAATAAAAACGATGCCGACAGCTGCATATAAATTATTATATAAGATAAACGTAAATAAAAACAATTCATTAAATTAGAGATGAAATCATTATATACAAAGAAAAAAAAAAATAATAATAAAAAAACCAATAATAATAATAAAGTAAAAAATGCATTTCCAATCCACCACTGCGGAGCTTCGCCACCGCGTCACTGTGTACTGATGTATGTGTAAGGGGCCCATCTCAGCATTATGCCATGACAAAAGCCACGACGCTGATTTTCAGTGGAACCCCGAATGAGTGAAATTTGCAATCGGTTCAGTAGTTTAGGAGTCCATCGCGGACAAACGTCGTGACACGTAATTTCTCTCTAAACTCTTTAAATGTTTTTCTTTCTTTTTCTTTCTTTCTTTCTAATTTTTATATACAAAGATATATATTTGTGGTAATTGTCAATTAACACAAATACATATATACAGATTTTTCAGAAATACATACTTAATATACATACATAAATAATAGCCAGACCGAGACCAACAGTCATACAAATTTTTTTCGTACTAATATGTAATATTATCTTATCTGTGGTATTACTCTATTACTGTTGACCGAAACTGACCTTTACAACATCACCGGACGATAGGGGGCGAGTGCAGATGGTACTCCAAACCAAAGGAAGGACTTATGGAGCGGCTGAAGGCCAACTCCCGCCTGATGGATACGACTTTAGTCTGACAGCACTGCTAGGGGTTCGAACCTCGGCTCAGACCGTCGAAATTCGATCCCTGTTTGAATTGGACGGGGGATCGATCGGAGGGGATCATACTCTTGAATGTAAATCATTGTACCGCGCGTGGAATATAACCCGTGGCCATCTGAAATTAAGCCGTGTACTATCCCGCTAGATCACTGAGTTGATCTACTCTTTAAACTCACCAGTAGCATTGTACAGAGCATACTTGGGAAGTGTTCGACCACCAAGTTTCTCGTCATCCGTGACAGTAGTCCCACTAGTTGTGGATTCATCACCAGCCTGGCGCCGTGCACGTGACCAGGAGTCGCTCTCGTAATCCGCCGACTGGCTCCGAGATACGGAATTACCTGAAAGATAATAAGAGCTAGCCTTTAATTTTTGGCCCTGACGGGTCTATAATAATAATAATTATTATTATTATTATTTATTTATTTCGGATCTTGTAGTTTCGGATCTTACTAACTAAAAGGTAGGTCTAGGTAAAGGTCTAGATAGCAAACTTTGAAAGGGACGAGCACAATAGATGCGAGCATAATAGCCCCCCCAATAAAAAAATAATGCGTGACCCCAAAAAGTGGTTTTAAAAAGAAGAAACTCTCTCAATCGGCTTGTCTTTTAAGTTTTTAAATATTTCCGAAATTAAAAACTAAATTTATTTTGAAATTATATAATAAAATAAATAAAGAGAATCTTTATTAAATTAAACTTAATATAAGAACTTTGAAAAGTCATATTATTTTATTCTACCACTCATTCGGAACGTGCACTCATGACAAGAAGAATGAGCAAGAATCAAGGAGAGCAAGAAACATGCGTGTTGCTCTTTTTGCCTTATTTGTAAATTTTTTAGTATTGCTAATTTATTAAAGTCATTCATTCAATATGAATGACTTTAATATTATCCAGTTATTTTTTTTCTATAACAAATTATTACTACAACTTACTACAAATAGACTTTACATATTGTAATTTACATATTTCTAAACCCTTTTGATTATGACATAGCCACAGTCGACAACTTTCATAATATTGCTTATCGCAAAACATCAGGCGCTATTGACTGTGCACTATTCATCTTTAATAACAGTTTTCAAAATATATATTAAGATTTTCAAACTTACTTATATAATATTATAAGGGAAGATTGATTTTTTCTAAATTTTTCTCCTTTAATTAGTTTCATCACTCTACGAGTAATATGTAAAACATTCAGCAGCACCACTGAACATAGTTTGTGTAATATGTTCTGGAAATCACTTATAATATTATATGTGAATTTTAATAGAACATTTTACATCTATAAAAATTACAAATAATATTATACTTTTTCATTGTATTTTCTCCATTTTTCTAGTATCCGCGAATAAACCATTGCCATATTAATTTAGTTTAATATTTTCCAATTGCATATACCTCTATTTCCAAAAGCAACTAACCAAGTACTCCAAGCACACGTCCTGGCCCGTATATGTCCTGCAAGCGAGCGAAGGTCTCCGTCATTTGAGCGTCGCGCTCCGACCACGGCCCCTGCAGCGTCAGCATCTGTAACCAGACATCATCATTCAATCAAATCGAAGCAAGTCATTAAATAGTATAAAACAAAGTCGCTGTCGCTGTCTGTCCGTCCTTATGTATGCTTAAATGTTGTAATTTATTTGTATTTATGTACCTTTAGTATTTGTATGTATATCTTATATATAAAATTCTCGTGTCACAGTTTTCGTTCCCATACTCCTCCGAAACGACTTGACCGATTCTCATGAAATTTTGTGAGCGTATTGAGTAGGTCTGAGAATCGGCCAACATCTATTTTTCATTCCCCTAAATGTTAGGGGTAGTCCACCCCTAAATTTTTTTTTATTTTAAGGCAAAACAACGTTTGCCGGGACAACTAGTGTATTTATAGTATTCATATATTATCTAACTTTTTTATATAATGCGCCACTTTTCTGGGAACTTGGGAAGCAGAAGTTTTAATGTGGGGAAAAGTGTTCCCCTATTCAAAACTTCTGTTTCCCAGGTTGTCTGTAAAAGATTGCTTTCAGCGATAAGGCCGCCTTTTGTTAGCATATCATTACATAGTATAAAACAAAGTCGCTGTCGCTGTCTGTCCGTCCCTATGGTTAAATCTTTAAAACTACGCGACGGATTTTGTAGCAGTTTTTTTAATAGATAGAGTGATTCAAGAGGAAGGTTTATATATATAATACATGTACACCCGTGCGAAGCCGGGGTTTATGGATAATTTTTTTTTAACTTTATTTATATAAAGTTAAAAAAAATTATGCATCATAAGGACTTTTTTATTATTATTAATAATAAATTACTCTTAATAAGCGTTATCGATAGCTATCTTCACCTTTTTCAAACAATGTGCCTCTAAAAAATCAACCCAATTTCAAAGAAAGCAGAAATAAATTTCGGAAAATATATTGTAGTACTGCAAAATATGATTATTCTTTGGAAATTAAAAATATTGTATAAACTGTGCTTTTTGCAACTAAGTTAATACTCTTTTAGAGTAGCCCTTGTGAGATTTGCTGGCATTTATATTTAAAATTCCATAGATAAGACAGCGGGCCCTTATACACATACTCGTGGACCCCCAGAGGTCTGCCGACCACAGCTTAAAAAACTGTAAACACTGCTCTAGTTAAAATTAAATTCTATATTAAAAATGTGTAACAAAAATTCAAATATCACAATATCTTTATTCGTATTCTATTACAGATTCTTATGATATGTCAAATCTACCGTCAGTTCGGAATGATTTCAAGATGAGAAGAACTGACAAGAAACTCAGCTCGTATTCTTTTCAAATAAATGTTGTACATGTTTACAATAATGCACGGTCATTAAAATTCAAATCAATTCTTAAATATATAATGCTTAACAATATTTATGTAAAAGAAAACACGCAAGTTTCTTGCTCGTTCTTCTAGTGATAAGTCTGCTTTCAGAATGAGCGGTAGAATAAATGAAAAAATATATAATCTATTCAAAAGTGTTTACATTAAGTTTATTTGAATACAAATTTTGTTAGTAATGTACCAAATTTTTAAATGATGATATGGAATAGTGGGTGCACCATTCCATCGCCTGCACTGTCTGTTTACGTTGGCGGGGCACCAGTGGAGGATGATAAGATGAACATGAGATCAGACCTATATTCTTAAGGACATTACAATATATGTATATACAGTAGACCCGCGGTTAACCGACAATCGTTTTGCAGGGTAATTTGTCGGATCATAGAGGGGGCCTATGGGGTCCGCTATAGACCGGTTTTTTTTTACAAAAGAGTACCTTGTAATCCGACAAATTACAGGTCCAGTGATAAGGTTCTATGTTATATATGTATGTATATGCACTCTGAACTACAAATATTACTTCATTATGTATGTCAACTACTAAAAGATTCGTTATGAATTAGGTGGTCTAAAATATCACATTTTTCTTGAATTGTCAGTGTTTTGTGCTTTCGCTTCTGAACTGATAGGTAATACACAATGAAAAAAGGCAGTAAACAATGAACACCACTATCTTCATCACATGGAAGTAGTCAAATTCAACTAAGCAATCATAATCAAAACAATACCCTACGCGTCGAGTATAACAGTGGTGACACGTACAAGACTTTTTTTTTTTCACGTCAGGAAAATCCATCATGGAGAACCATCCGCTTAGGGACGAATGGATACTGCCGGACTCCTACCTGCTAAAAACCTGACGACTGTTCCTCCTCGACATAATCGCCGTGGCCATGGGATACGCAAGAATTCACACGTACAAGACTAGTTCAACCTTGTTCAATCATGCATTAGCGACGATTGTCAAAAAAAGATTCAATAATAAATAACAGACCATGACGGATTACAAGGGGGGCCGGATAGGACAGGGGCCGGATTACCGCGGGTCTACTGTATTTATTTGAACTATTTGCTCACCTGAGTCTCGTTACTAATATAATCAGGGTGCACATCCAGGAAGTCCTGCGGTAAAACCAACGTAGTCTGCCCCTCCAACATCTTCCTCAGACGTGGAAAATAACCACTGGATAGCGGCACCGAGTCCTGGTTATTGAAGACCACTATCGCAGCCTGTTCCCCATATATACTCATCAGGTCATCTTGATCTAAATATTTCAGTGCCGGCCTTTTGTATTTCTCAAGCGATTTTGGACCGAAAAATAAGAAGGGACCTTCCAAATTTCCATTCACTACATATATATATGTTAATAGTAATATGAGATATATTTTCGAATGCATTTTGAGTGCTCGCTGATATGTTTGGGCTGTGAATGAAGGTGGATGTGGATATCGATTCCAGAGCGCGCATGCGCTGTGTGCTCAGATGAATTCTGACAACTTCGTGTTGTGATCTGCCGCGAATTTTAATATTTACATACAAAAAAATATGGTAACTTTGTGCAAAATCTACTTCTTGCACTATATTAGACTATGCACATATCATCGCAAGAAGGAAATAAAAAAAATGTGTTACACTTGAAATGTCTCTTTTAATTTTATTTTCTTTTTTTATTTTATGTAACGTACAATGGGTCTGAAATGTTTTTATGAAATCAAACCAAAATATCCTAATTCGTCTGATATATCAAATCTGCTTTACTCACTGATCTGTAATATATACATATAAATAAAATTGGAGTGTCTGTTTGTAATATTGAAATAACCATTTTTTACTACATACATATAAATACGGTACATACTACCAAAATAATATTTTTTACAATTTTTGTGTCTGCCTGTTTGTTCCGGCTAATCTCTGCAATGGCTGGACCGATTTTGACAGGACTTTTTTTGGCAGGTAACTGATGTAATAAGAAGTAACTTAGGGTACCTTTAATTTAGAAAAATAAGGTTAAGTTCCACGCGGACGAAGTCGCGAGAACAGGTAGTAGTTAATAACATCTTGCTATACTTTTATTCCCGCGGTACAGGATCGCCTAGTACGGGGTACAATGTATAATCAACTTTATAGCATTTATTATATGTTTTAAAATTAATAAACGACATTAAATTAAATGCAAGGCGAAGCAGTAGTTACTGATTACGAGAACGCTAAAAGTATTTTTTTTTTATTTATTCATTTATTTCAGGCAACTAGGCCCATATTATATATACCTTATAGACTAACATATATATAATATAATATTTAAAAACTAATACAATGATATTGTCTGTGTGATCACGGCACTGAAGACGGCAATCTGCCACGGTAGCGCCGATAGTGTGACAGCAATCTGAGCATTGTGTCTCATGTTCATAAAACATATTTTACATTGCACGTTGCTGGTGTATGTACAACAGTTACTACTTTTTACATTTGAAAATAAAACAAATATTTATTTATTTTATTTATACACCACTTATAGATTACAGAACAAAAAAAAAACAAATAAAATAGAAAATATACATTGATACAAAAGGCGGTCTCATCGCTAAGCAATCTCTTCCAGACTACCTTTAGGTGGATAGAGAAATAAAAATAAGAACAGAGTATATATATATATATATATAACTCAAAGGTGACTGACATAGTGATCTATCAACGCACAGCCCAAACCACTGGACGGATCCGGCTGAAATGTGGCATGCAGGTAGATGTTATGACGTAGGCATTCGCTAAGAATCATCCGGATTTTGATTAATTCTATCCCCAAGTGGATAAAATAGGGGATGAAAGTTTGTATGAAACTTTGTCAATTTTTGAGACTTTATACATTCATGACGTAGGCATCCTCTAAGAAAGGATTTTGATAAATTCAACCCCTAAGGAGATAAATTAACGCGAGCAAAGCAGCGGACAAAAGCTAGTAAATATATATGACTCAAATATACATAAATATAAATAACTGTTCATGTAATAACTCTAAATAAAGCAATAAGATATAGATAATAAAATATGATTATATTTATCACTACACATAGTATAAAACAAAGTCTCTGTCGCTGTCTGTCCGTCCCTATGTATGCTTAAATCTTTAAATCTACGCAACAGATTTTGACGCGGTTTTTTTAATAGGTTTATATCTATATATAATACATGTACCGGGTGTACAAGCAAAGCCGGGGTGAGTAGCTAGTATTTGTATAAATTGTATGTACATATATCAGCTGGAATATAAATAATAAGACGGAACATATCGTAACAAGAACAATTTATTTTTCTGTACAAATTTGGTTTGTTGACTTATAATGCTATTAAAAAAAATAGGCACTTGATAAAAACAATAAATGGATACCTGCAGGTGCCTAATTATTTAAATTAATTACCTAGATCTAAAACAGTCTATATAACTATAATAATAAATAAATAAATAACCCTGGACAATTAACACAGCGCCATCTAGTCACACGGTAAGCAGAGCTTGTGTTGTGGGTACTAGACAACTGATATAAATACTTACATATTTTTTTCTTTGTAAACACATACATAGAAAACATCCAGACCTATGTGGTCTATCGGTTTAGAACACCGCTTTGCTTCTGATGGTCGCGGGTTGAATTCCTCGCACGGTACAAACATTTGTATTCATGAGTTTGATTGTTTATATCGGTCTAGGTGTTTTCTATGTATATTATTTATTTATTTACTACTTACTATAAAATTGAAGAATTCGTTAACGATAATAATGTTGTTGTAGAAAAATTTTAAATCCATAGCACTGACAATATTATCTGATTACACTAATAATGAGTGCGTAGCGATTTCTATGTTGATTGTCGCATGCCTCTTACTTGTTACACTGTAATTATTTATATAAAAAAAACATCTATTAAAAAGAGCAACACACAAGTTTCTTGCTCATTCTTCTTGTGATGAATCTGCATTCCGAATGAGTGGTAGAATCAAAATATGACTATTCAAAAGTGCTTGTAATGAGTTTAGTTGAATAAAGATTATTTCTATTTCTATTTCTATTATTTATTATTCTTAAAACTTTAAAGCACAAATACAAAAAAATAAAGCTGTAAATGGCGGACTTAACACCATAAGGCATTTTCTCTATTTATGTATTTACAAAAAAAATATCTATGTATTTATATCAGTTGTCTAGTACCTATAACACAAGCTTTGCTTACCGTGTGACTAGATGGCGCTGTGTTGAGTATCCAGGGTTATTTATTTATTTATTATTATTCAATTTCAGTACTGATTTATTTATATATTTCCCATTTGATATTTTATTTATTCAATTATGATATTATACAATGAGATCTATTTCATATATATATGTATATATGATGTATAATATAATTACCCAGTTATATATAAATCAATAAAATACTTATTGAGGTAAAGTTTCGTTTTAAATGGCGATTTTAGTGGAATGTCTTGTTTTTACAATATTCATTTACATACATTACAATTTACATACACACAATTAATTACATTTATTTACATGTAAGATGTATGAGTATTGCTGGCCATATTAATGTTAATATGAGGTGCACGCGACTCGCAGCAGAACGGGAAAATGTGAAGGATTTTTCTGAAAAAAAAAATAAAACAAAATAACAAAAACTGTAAATAGAAAAATTGAGAAAAATGTTTTTAATATTTTATCTAATTAATGACATGATGTGAAATAAAATATTATTAGTTAGTGAATATTTTAAAATTAGAATCTTTTTAAGTTTAGACGAAAATATTTGTCATAAATTAAAAGACCAAATTTTGCAAAAGTCAATTTCATTAGCAAATGGATTTATATAGTTTTGCTAATTCCGATACCACGTGTACGTGTAAGACCACAAATATTCAGTGCCAATCTTGACCATCGGTGTTAGAAGCGTTATGATATCTATCTATCTAAATATATATAACTCAAAGGTGACTGACCTAGTGATCTATCAACGCACAGCCCAAACCACTGGACGGGTCGGGCTGAAATTTGGCATGCAGGTAGATGTTATGACGTAGGCATCCGCTAACAAAGGATTTTGATTACTTACCAAGGGGATAAAATAGATAATGAAAATTTGTATGAAACTTTGTCAATTTTAAACCGATCGGGCTGAGACTTTGCATGCATAAAGTTACTATGACGTAGGCATCCCCTAAGAAAGGATTTTGATAAATTTCAACTCTACAACTAAATATCACACTCTTGTGATATGATTTTGAAGGTTAGTGTTACGCTCGGAATTTCATCACTAACTAGCTTTTGCCCGCGGCTTCGCTCGCGTTAATTTATCCCCTTAGGGGTTCAAAATCATGTCACAAGAGTGTGATATGATTTTGAAGGTTAGTGTTACGGTCTTCAAACCATGAATCTCTCTTCTTGGCTTGAAGATGCCTCTTTTAGAGGCGAAACACTTATAGCAATGTAGTAGATCCGATTACAGTCCAGAATTTGATCTTGACTACATTTGGTAAAAGATAGCTCTCTGCAGGAAGAAATTTAGCACTAGCAATTTAGCACTCTGGAATCGAAATATCGGACAGTGGTTTCCAAAAAACTTTTACTCACTTTTCTTCTCATTGGGATCCGTGACCCCACATTGTCTGTATGAAGTGGTCTTCTTCCTTTTAGTTTCAACGTAACCAGGTATGAATATGCTTGGCTCATCCAGCCGCCCTGATGCTAGCAGCCTGTATATATAACATTATTAGTTTTATAATACAAAATATCAATAAATTATTTACAATTGTGTACAGATTTACAGACATTTTCTCTTAAAGATTCGTAAAGTCATATTAATGTGAACCTAGTATAGACCCTTGAGGTACACCTATTGTATTGTTTACTTGTACATTCAATACCTTCAATAATTTTTAGTCAACAATCCTATTCTGAACACAACATGCATGTATAAAAAAGGCCACTAATATAATTAGAAAATAAGAATGGTCCAAGAGTATACCCTTGAAGTACACCCATTTTTATTGTTTACTCGTACATTCAATATCTTAAATGACGTAATTTTTAATCAACTATTTTATTCACAATAGAACATTCATGTTTAAAATAGGCTGCTAATATAAACAGGAAATAAGAATGGTCCAAGAGTAGATTCTTGAGGGATACCAATTTGAAATGGTAATAATTTAGAGATAAGTTGAGAGGTGCGATCTAACTTGGTGAAGTCGAGCTCGAGGCGGTTGGCGTGTGGTCCGCTGAAGTGCAGCAACACCTGCAGACACGCGCCGGTGTGCAGCGTGCGCGTGCGGCGCGCGTCCACGCCCACCATCCACTCGGGCGCGCCCAGCACGCGCCGCACCTCCGACAAGAACAGCCCGCTGCAATGCATAACACCCAACCAATTGCATACACCGAAATATTTTCCTTCATCCGTCATACTCGTGAACGGGTGCCGCTTGTGGGGACTACTCTGTTCGAGTTACGGCAATGGTTTCCATTACTGGAAAATCAATATAATATAAATTTACATAAAAAGTTTTTTTTTTATATGGAACAGACGTGAACTTTATACTTTAACACAAAATAGTAATAATAAATATGTTTATTACGGCATCAATGGCCCATTTGTTAGTTTATATTAAATCTACTGTTAGTAAAGTTCTAATTTGATATATTATATTTAGTAGATGGTCTAATGACATCAGGAAGACGGCAGGACCGATCTGGACAAGACACGCCACAGACAGTGAAGTGGAAAATTATGCAAGAGGCATACGTTCAGCAGTGGACAAATATATGCTGAAGAAGAGAAGAGAGAAAAGAGATATTTAGTAGCAATACACTAAGAGTGGTTACAAGTTGTTACATCTCTGCCTTAAAAGTATACTAACAATTGTGTAATTGGTAGGGCAAATTTTTTCATCGATGTTTTCAAAATGCTGTTGAAGCTACAGTGCATTCTGATGAATAAAGATACAGTTTTATTTCTAATCATGGCATAAGAGTCATCTGTTCGTGCTACAGAAACGCGATAGCCACCAACATACTGAAACCATTGTTTTAATAATACTTACAGTACAAATCTTGGTGGCTTCATGATATTGAAAGATTTGATGATGTCCTTGTCGGGCTCAATATTGGCGCAGGCGAACCTCTCGTTGCTCCTCTCCGAGCCGAAGATGACGATGGAGCGACCCATCGCGCTCACGGTGCCCTCCAACGGGAAGTTGCTGTCCACGAACATTTGACGCTCTGCACCCACGTCTGTAGAAATAATATTTTATTCAATATGAGGTGGGTACATCGTATCTCCACACAAATTGGATAAAAGCTAAGAACCTACTAAAAATTAAAATACAATATATTGAAAAGACCGTAGGTTGTGGTTTAGTACCACGACTTATAGACCTCAATGATCAGGAGGTCCAGTCATTCAATAAAAACTGATGTATGAATGTTGCAGTGATCTCCTATAAACGACGTCATAAAAATCGAATTGTAAAGCAGGGGGGGTTGTTAGTAATGAGAACTAGTGCTTCCACTGCTATGACGACTGTGACTACGGTTCTCCATGGAGATCGTAATTAAGAAGAACAAAGGACGTGTCAGAATGGTCTACAAACTTACTGATAGTTCCAAGTCTGGCTGTAAGATCACCAACGTCGCATCGTAACGGATTATCAGCGCCACATTCTTGATTGTACAGGTCGTGCTAAACAGAAATACAATTTTAACACAAGTAGACTCTAATCGAACAGTTACTTAATATGAACCATGTTAATTGAAACAATAGCCATTTCTATTTGACCGTCTTGAAGTTAATGCTACATATTTTTCTTCCAGCGGAAAACTATTACACGATCATGAAGGGTAACATAACAGGAACAAAATGCACTTCTCCGATCTAAAAAACGTGAGCTTTAATCGCTACCGCAAATTGGAATTGCTATGCATTTCACATATCTTACTTGAAGGCAAATAAATTCAAGAATACCAGAAGATAGAGATCTCTTCCTAGTCTTTCTGTATCAAGAAATTCAACTTACATTCAGTGGATCTGCCAGCTGAGTGAAGTATGGGTTCCACCGGTATCCCCCTGCAACGCATCGAGTGTTCGTCACCTTCACCGCCGCATCCACACCTACCGGGTTCACGAATATGTTCCAATTGTGGTTCATTGTCTGCAAAATAGATTCAATATTAAAGAATACTATCTATCGAGTCGAATGAGTAGGCATGCTCACTAAAATGTCTAGACATGTGGCGGTATGGTGGGCCGGGTCATTGGGCACCCTAAAATATAGTCGAGCGCAGTGATGACTGCTCATCCGTCTTACTCGTGAACAGGTGCTGCTTGTAGAGACTGGTCTGCTCTTATCACTACGACTGATTTAATCTTATTGTGTATTTATATTTGAACCTAATAAATTAGTGCTAGTTGGTGGTTTGTATTCACACGTTTCGACTTGTAAATGTAAACTTACAAGGATTAATTAAAAAAGCAACAATGAAATTTCTGGCTCGTTCTTCTTATGTGAATTCTTCTTCTCGAATTAGCGGTAGATTAAAAAAAATGTTATGACTATTCAAAAGTGCTTAAATTAAGTTTATTTGAATGAAGGATTTTCTATTCTATTCTATTATTGAGTTGCGATTGATTCCATTTTTTAAAGCATGTTTCATTTTTAGGTATCAGGAAAATTATGTAGACTAGTCATATTAAACAATAGCGCCAGGCGATAGATAATGTGCGGACATTCATACTACGAAAAAAATTTAGATCATCTCACATACCATATATGAGATAATTCCCTCTTCCCATATGAAGACGATTAGCGAAAAATTACTACTCTGATTCGATAACTTAGCCTTTTTTGGCGAGTACCTTTATTTGGAACTTTTATACTGTGCTTTGTTCCCAAAAAGTAGGCAATAGTAGCGTCATAAAATCTTGAGCAAAACACCTACAAAAATTAACTTAGAAAATTAAGATAATGTAAGTGGAATTAGCAATCTTACCAGATTCCTGTCTCTGACGCCAGGATGCCTTAATTTGACTTCTATAACTGTATCACTAGCGCTGCCATCGTTGTGTATAAGCTGTGTCATACGGATGTACCCAAATGCGAACCCGCCGGGATGGTGGAATGAGGCTATAGCGCGAAGCTCCCGAGCTTCCGATGGACTGTACCCTCGCTCGACGGAGGAGCATGCCCAGCGACGGTCTCGACTCTGTTGATACATTTGAAATTATAAATAAATTCTGAAAATTATAACCAACACTTCCACACTGTTGAATATTGGTTTTTATTTCATAAGTTGTAGAAACTGCTTTGACCCATTGATCCATTGATTCTCTACAGCATATTTCTTTAATGTAACTCAGCCCAACACTAGTTTCTATCTAAACATTCTGAAGATAATCTCGGAGCCAAAGTATTTTCCAATCTCATATTAATTACCTTTAAAATCCGGATTATTGGTTGTGTCAATATCAGATTCGTTTACTGCACATTCTTTACCACACAATCAATATTACAGTTAATTATAACTACAGAGTCCAGAACTATAGTTAATTCTGTATGTTTAGACTGTAAAAATAATCAATACCCTTTCCTAATTCCTAATCCCAAAAACCCATTAATAATTTGTTAGATGTTGAATGATCTACCCACCTTTTTATGTAAAGCAACAGATCGCCCAATGATACTGTATGGCCCATACAAAGAGATCTGCGTCTCGTTGTAAGCCATTGTGTATGTGCGTGTATCCTCCAACAACCCATACTTGTCACCCAAATCTCCCAGCTCGTATTGGTCAGCAGTTCCTGCAGAATGTGATCGTAGTTCAGTGTCATTAGAGTGCTCATTCTTTTAAATGGTTACCCGTTTGTATAATAAATTATCTTCTTGCATATCTTGCCTGCTAATCGCGACTACAAAAAATCCTTCATTTAAAATAATCAGCGTATAAACTGTATCTTAAACTAGTTGCACAGAAATTACTTACGAAGCTCAACTAGGTAAAAGTGACTTCTCCAAACAGTTTGTCGGAAAATTTGGTATTTTGTGCAATATTGTGTAGCCAGGAAGTAGATAAATCTTACATATCTCTATTCTAGTTTAACTGGCAAGTCTCAGTCAAAAATATATCATTAATTTAGCTAATTTTTTTAAACACGTAATTACAATCTCGTGCTAAACTTATAAGTAGACAAAATATAAAGATAATTCTTACATATCCCTATTCTGGTATAACTGGCAAGTCACAGTCAAAAATATATCATTAATTTAGCTAATTTTTTTAAAATATATCATTAACTTATTAGACAAAATATAAATTTGTTTGGAAAAATATATCATTAACTTAGCTAATTTTTTTGGACAAGTAATTCCAACCTCATGATAAACCTATAACTAGACGAAATACAAAGATTTCTTTGGTCAAGCATACACTAACCTTTTGTAGGCGGCGGGCTGAGTGACCTGTTCACGTTGAAAGGATTATACGCGTCGTATATGGTTGTCTTCTCGCAAGGGAACTCTAACTCCCTTTCCACGGGTACCTACAAATAGATATTTATCTGAATTGTTCGATCAGACTAAAATGAAGAATCTCTTTGTCTTAAGAGAGGATGTCTTTTAGATATTTAACACAAATATGGAAAGTAATTAAGTGGCTGAATCATTGAAAGTAAATTTAAATGATGATGGTGATAATGATGACTGGTAACATCTTAATGAAAGAAGAAAATTAACAAAGGCCAGTAAGGAAGACCGTAAGTAGTACCATAACACAGTACACCAGAAGAAGTACCATAAAGAAATATAGGCAGTAGTATTTAAAACTAACCTTCAACATAATGTACTATACATACGTTTGGTAAATTCAACGAGATAAAGCGAATATAGCAAAACTGCTATAGGGTAATCAAAGATAATGCTGATGGAGTAGAGAGTGACTTAAATTTCGAAGACCTATATCCCGTACAGTCAAGTTTAACTGAGAAAGACCGAGGAGCTTCATATATATATATACCTAAGTTTAGTAAATTCATGGAGATAAAGTGAATCTAGCAAAATTGCTATAGGGCAAGCAAGGATACTGCTGGTGGACTAGAGAGTGACTTAAATTTAGAAGACCTATGTACGGGTACAGTCAAGTTTAACTGAGAAAGACCGAGGAGCTGGAATTGCGCAAATGTATGAAATAATGAATTTATAAAAGGAATTAAAATCCTTTTGTACAAGTAATTACAAGTAGAGTACATACGGGATGTATTTTATAATTGTTGACATCTTGCAGTCCCTCGAGTGTGACTTGTACGTTAGTTATATCGTACTCCGATTGCTGGGTCATCTCGATCTTGCCACGTAACGTCACCGTGTCGCCGTTTCCGAACCAGTCTCGAACCACTGCTTTACGACGTTGAAGAGCACTTACACTGCCAAGCACAAATATTTGATAGAATAGAAAATCCCTTATTGAAATAAACTTAATTTACCACCTTTGAATAGTCCAAACATTTTTTTTAATCTAATCATTCGGAAAGCTGTCTCATCACATGAAGAACGAGCAAGAAACTTGTGTTGCACTTTTAAATAATCCTTGTAAGTTAACATTTTTCAAGTCCAATCGTGTGAATACAAACTACCAACTAGCACAGATAACAGCACAGCAACAGATAAGTAGAACTTATATTGGTCCTAGACGACTGATAAAAATGCTTATGTATTATTTTTTGTAAAAACGTATTCTCTAGAGACTGGATGTGAGTTTTCAAGAAGGGTATATTAAGGTGCATTTATGGCACACCCCTGGTGTTTCAGGCGTCCAAAGGCTACGGTAGCCGTTTACCACCAGATGAGCCGTATGCTTGATTGCTACTAAACTAGTAGAAAAATAATACATTTCTTACATGGAGCACGCCATCCGTTCGCCTCTCGCGACTGGTCCGTGATCGTCGTAGATAACTAGAGATTTTTTCATGATGGAGTGCTTCCCTGCCAGGCCGACCACCGTGTCGGTGAACAGCCTTCTGGTGAGCCGGGCGCTGTCCACCTTTTTCCCAGCCATGTTCAACATACCATGTCTGAAATTATTATTTCATTTAATTCCACGCTTCCTTTAATATATTTATGTTCAATTAAAACCAAAACATGTTAACAGCGCCATCTAGTCCCAAGTTAAGCTAGATAAAGCTTGTGTTATGGGTACTAGACAACTGATACAAATACATAGATTTTTTTTGTAAATACATACATAGAAAACACTCACACCGATACAAACAATCATACTCATAAATATAAGTGTTAGCGCCGTGCGAGGAATCAAACCCGCGAAACGTGAAGCGGTGTGCTATACCGCTAGATCACCGAGGTCGTTACTTATGTTGGTAATCGTTAAAAGTAAATTAATTAATTAGTTAAACTAACCTCGTGGTGAAGTCTCCAAGTCTACACAAACCCTCGAGTCCCGTTCTGCAGTACTGGTCCGGGTGTCTGGTGTCGATGTCTATGCCATGTGGCTCGTACACCTTCCCAGCGCTGAGGCATCTACCCGTCCAGTTGTAATAGTCGGCTCCAGGAGGTTTCTCGTGTATCGCCCACCGGTGTTCGAACGTGTTGTTCACGTTTGCTCCATCAGCATGAACCTAAAAGTATCAATCTTTAAACGCCATGTAGATCATATACTGTTTTAAACTTGACGCGGTCATTATTTATACGTATAATTAGTAAAAATCACGAGATCTTCCAGTAGTAGATCTTCCAGTAGTAGCAACAAACGAAGACGTGTGAAGGTAGACGCATATGTCTGCCCATAGAAAGATTTCATTTTCCATCTACCCGCTGCTCTTCAGTTTACCCGTGATCATGGTGGTTGAAACACTACCGAAATATCGGGAACTCAGCCATATAGCAGCCTCATAATATCTGGATCTTTACGCCGCGTTGGTCACCCATGACTTCACTTTAGAGATGTGTTGAGCGCCGGCGCGTGGTCTTTACATGTGGCGGCGTGGTGGGCCGGGTCAATGGGCTCCCTAAAATATGGTCGAGCGCAGTGATGGCTGGCTCATCCGTCATACTCGTGAACGAGTGCTGCTTGTAGGGACTGGTCTGCTCTTATCACTACGACTGATTTAATCTTATTGCATGATTATATTTGACCCAAAAAATTAGTGCTTGTTGGTAGTTTGTATTCACACGTTTCGACTTGTAAATGTAAACTTACAAGGATTATTTAAAAGAGCAACACACAAGTTTCTTGCTCGTTCTTCTTGTGATGAGACAGCTTTCCGAACGAGTGGTAGATAAAAAACAAATTGTTATGACTATTCAAAAGTGCTTAAATTAAGTTTATTTGAATAAATGATTTTCTATTCTATTCTATTCATTTGTAGTACTAGAATGACTGGAGCGATGCTCAACAACAACACTCTCTCATGACCTCGCACGCGAATAGAAAATGTCATTTTTGCAATAGAGTTTAATGAGTTTAAAAGGCCAGCAACACACTTTTTTTCCAAGCGATGATAATGGAATGGTACACACGCCTGCGCTACGATTAACGCTGGCGGGGCACCAGTGGACGATGATAAGATGAGCATGAGGTCAGGTCAGTTAGCACATCGTGACAAATTCACTAGGAATTTATCATGATGGTCAGGGAGAACCGCATGGAGGTCAACTTGATGTAGTACATGGCTAGGAATAAGGTTTTTTTTTAAGACAATTCACACAGCGCCATCTAGACCCAAGTTAAGCTAGCTAAAGCTTGTGTTATAAGTACTAGACAACTGATACAAATACATAGATATATTTTTTCGTAAATACATACATATTATACATAGAAAACACCCAGACCGATACAAACAATCATACTCATGTTAAAATGTGCCGTGAGAGGAATCGAACCCGCGACCATCGGACGTAAAGCGGTGTGTTAAACCACTAGACCACCGAGGTCGTCAGGTTATTAATTTACATTACTAACAATCCACTTCCCCGCTAGCAACACACTTACATTCCACGCCAGCCATCATTGCACTCAAATCGACCGGCCCACCAAGGCTACGTCATTTATATTATTTACAGCATAAACTGCTACCCATTACAATATTTAATTTACATTATTTAAATTACAATAGCATTCTTTACGAGAGTGCTTTACCAATCAAATATCTCACCCTTACATATATTTATAAAATATCATTATTTAACAGTTTCAAAAGAGTTAGTTTACACTGACAATATATAAGTGCTCAAGGATGGTGCACTTACCATCAAGTAAGATTATAGAATAGAATAGAATAGAAAATCATTTCTTCAAATAAACTTACATTGAAGCACTTTTGAATAGTCATAACATTTATTTGTTTTTTTAATCTACCGCTCATTCGGAATGCTGTCTCATCACAAGAAGAACAAGCAAGAAACTTGTGTGTTGCTCTTTTAAATAATTTATTCTTACTTACAATTTAAGTTTAAGTGTGTGAATACAAACCACCGATTAGCACTTTAGATAAAAGTTTATATATATAAGACATGTACACCCGTGCGAAGCCGGGGTGAGTAGCTAGTATAATATAATATAAACAAGTACGTACCATGCTCTCGATGATGATCGTGGTGTCTTCCCAGGGTTTGCCTAGTGGCTGTCTGAATATGACCCTGCCCACGATAGGGTAGCGGAATATCACTTCGGCGGAGCTCATCAGGGTCTGGTACTCGGTGCCATACTCATACGGCAATATCGTGCCACATATCTCTCGTTTTGGTGCCCTCCTGATTATTCACAAATATTCAATAACAATTTATACACACATCATCATCTGCTTCTTCCTTATCCCATTTATTTGGGGTCGTCGTAATATGTTTTTCTCTTCCATTCATCTCTGTTCGCAGTCATTCCGTTATTTACTCCCTTTCTCACTTGAGTTAACAGTTTACGATGGCGGACCAGTGGAGGATGGTAATTATAATAATAATAATAATATTAAAACACATTCAGTAGTTACTGCATAAAAGAGTAATGCCCGATTTACACTCAGCCCGAGTGGGCAGGGAAGTGAGCAGCGCGAGAGTGGAAACACTTCCCATGCCATTGGCGCTGCCACTCGCGCTGCCCGGCGCTCCCTCGATTGTCGGTTTTTCGTGCGCGAGTCAAAGGACTGGCAGCGCGAGTGGCAGCGTGTTTTTACATTCAGCCCTCTCGCTCAGTTATCGCCCGGCAATATTTCCGGCAGCGCGAGGGGCAGGGGAAGCGGCTGAATGTAAACGTAGCATTGCTACATCCATCCATCCATCTACACTCACAAACTTCCGTAGTTATAATATTAGATTTTATCAAAACCCACCTTGTCAATACCAAGCCCCTATGTAGAACACTATGCACCCCTTGTAGGGGTAGGAACACGTCCCAGTAAGCCCCGCTGAGCTCGTTCGCCAGGCCCGGCAGTAGGTACTTATGATTCAGATACTCGGTACGATCCTTGTATTTGCCGAGGAGATCTCCCACGGGATACTGGTCCTGAGTACCCATTCCTGTGGTTAAATAAAAACAATAATAATCTCAGGACAATTCATACAGCGCCATCTAGTCCTAAGCTAAGCAAAGTTTGTGTTATGGGTACCAGACAACGAATACAAATACATAGATACATTTTTTTTTGTAAATATATACATATATATATTTATAATATTAGCTTTTGCCCGCGGCTCCGCTCGCTTTAATTTATCTCCTTAGGGGTGGAATTTATCAAAATCCTTTCTTAGGGGATGCCTACGTCATAGTAGCTTTATGCATGCCCAGCCCGATCGGTTTAAAATTGACACAAAAACTTTCATCCCCTATTTTATCCTCTTACGGGTAGAAAATCCCCCAAGGGTATAAAATAGGGGATATTTCATACCCTTGGGGGTAGAATTAATAAAATCCTTCCTTAGCGGATGCCTACGTCATAACATCTACCTGCATGCCAAATTTCAGCCCGATCCGTCCAGTGGTTTAGGCTGTGCGTTGATAGATCACTATGTCAGTCACCTTTGAGTTATATATATATATATAGATATAGAGAACATCCAGACCGATAAAAACAATCATAGTCATGAATATTGTTCTAAAAACTGTACCGTGTCAGGAATCAACCTCGCAACTAGGTAGGTAGTATTATTATTAACATAACTACGAATTAAGATCATTCAACGATTAAAATCACTAGTATCCTGACGACTTAGGCGTGATGCCGGTTGGTCAGGGAGAGAAACCCCTCAATGCCAATATTCAAAATTACCTATCTCTTATTTGTTTTTATAATAATATAAACAATCCGACTTTTTCGCTCCAAAACTCCCGCTGCCTACGTTCAATCATCCGTCATCCACTTGTCAATGTCACATAGATTACTTTGGCTCTGACCTCTGACGTTCCGTTTCAGTGATTATTGACTTTACCATTTTTAATTAATGGTGCGTCACACGATAGTTAACACATCAGGCCACTTAGACCGTTGTATAACTACAATTTCCTGCGCATGAGATCTCGTAAGTCAAATAATAGTTATTATTGAATCTCAGAGCTGTAACAATCCAAATTCCACTGTGTGACGCATTACCGAGATGCCAAACATACGCAGCTTTCGGTCGGTCGATCGGTGGACTGGACACGCGCCAGATGATCGCGTGTTCCGGATATACGATACTTTGGATGCTGTCTTCTTGGATACGGAATGACCTATATATATTCTTTTTATATAATTGGCAAAAAAACTGGCGGATCACCGAATGAATAGTGGTTATCGCCTGTACCATACTGTATAATACATTGTTATACTATATTGTGTCATACTTTGTAATTGTTTTTTTTTTCCGGACTCTTCTAATGTTGTTGGCCGTAGCTGGCCTTTACAGCTTCATCGGACGTTAGGGGCGAGTGCAGATGGCACTCCAAACCTGCGGAAGCACTTATGGAGCGGCTGATGGCCAACTCCTGCCTGACGGATACGACTTTAGTATGAGGGCACCACTATTGATTCGAACCTCGGCTCAGGCCGTCGTAATTTGATCCTCGTTTGTATTGGACGGGGGATCGATCGGAGGGGCGCCCGGGGGCGCCGATGTGGAGCTTTCTAATTGTATAATTGTTTAAATATTCACGTATATGTATGTAAGTATGTATTTAATTAAAGGAGCCAACAGAATATCAGCGCTGCAGACTTATCTGCAGCTTCATGCTGAGTTGGTTGCCTCTTCATTGCGACACATAAAGCCACCTCAATTTTTTAATTTGTAGTATTTATATTCCTTCATTTTTAATTTGTAAACTTTATCTAGACACGCGGTAGCGTATCAAAGCCGAGTTTCAAGTAAACTGGCAAGCAGCACCGTGTGTATATTTACACGAACCATTTGAAGCCACTTTTGACTCCCTCATAACTCAAAAACTCTTTCACACAAACCTAAAACAATATAAAATATCATTTCTTCTTATAACTTAGGATAATATACTGTAGCCTAAGGTCTAACTTGGCTAGTTTTCATATACAAAATATACTGTAGCCTTCGCAAGTTCTAAACATGTTACTTGTCGGTTCCTATTTTAATATTAGTAGTAACTAGCAATCGAAAGTAATAATTGGTATATGAGAACTGGCCAAGTTAGAACTTAGGCTACAGTATATTATCCTAAGTTATAAGAAGAAATGATATTTTATATTGTTATAAATACATTTCAGGATAGACCATTGAACTTGGCACCCATTTAGATCTCATCTCTTTTGTCGTAGAAGTCAACAATCAAGGCATATATCATAATATTAAACTCGGCTATCATTTCACATTTATGTTTTTGATGGGATTTATATTTATAAAATGTATCTCATGTATGTTATGTGTTTGTAATTGTTGAATAAAGCATTTATCAATCTATCTACATAAACAGCGCTATGGAATAAAAACACTGAATGTATAAAAATACTAGTTGGACCATCCCCACTTTGTTTCACGCTAAACATTTTTATTCGATCGCCGTAAGTAAAAAAATATTAAAGTATAATTTATTAACTCGTTTTATACAGTAATAACACAATAAGTACAAGGAATAATTTACACATTAAAAAAACAGAGTCAATGTGGACCACACACACTGAGCATAATGCTGGAAACATTGTTTCCACCGCTGACTTTCGGTTGGGCCCACAGTACGGACGCACATATATTACAATAAAAAAAACATAAATTTTATAAAGTACTAATATTGCTATTAAAAAATAGAGTTTGATGGCAAAACTATGAAAATTAAGTAAGTATTTTTAATGGCGGAAATAAAAATAAAAATTATAATAATTTTTTTGGGATACTCTTATCACTCAGGGTTATGTAAAATAGTTTATATCCTATTCTCAGACCAGCTGAATATACAAAAAAAATCATAAGAATCGGTCAAATCTGTGGAGTTTTGATACAATCACCGTGATTTAAGAATTTTAAATATTAGATACCAGCGACTATTCTATTCTATTCTAATTCCAGAAACGTCTCTATGAAACTGTATACAAAAGTTATCGGAATAGCCATGTAAAATTAAATGAAGTTAGAGTTTATCGAGTCAAAAGCCACAACACCATGTTCCTGGAACCTGGTATGGAGATAAATAAATTAACTTACCTGGTGGAGGAACGTTGTTCAAATCAACACCACTAGGATTGTAGATCCCGCCTGTAGTGTTACACACGTGGTTAATGTGAGAAGCATCTAGAAGCTTCGGCGGGAGTTCCCTCACGCTGTACTGTATCATGGAACTAACGAAGCGCAGGTTAGACTCGTAGTCCTGATCTGCTGCTCCTAGTTGAAAGTTCGCCCATGTGGGGTCGAATGGTGACCGTTGCGTGAAGTCTACAGATCCGAGAACACCGTCCATACTTATCAATGCTCTGAAAAGAAACATAACAGTATTTATGGCAATAATATCAGGAGTAGTATGCCAGCGGTATGTCTATATGGCACGCAATTCAATTGGATGTCGCGGTTTAAATACCTAGATCACATTGTATCGGAGGACGGTAGGGAAAAATTGTAATATAAAAATTTGACGTTCATAAGTGGCAAAACAATTCCTACTTTAATATATTTCAATTTGAATGTAGAGGACTTGAATGATGACTATGACAGAGAGAAGGAGCGAAGATCGTTCACAGTCCGATGCAGTATGCTATCCCATAGGTTTGCACGATTAATAGAGAAGACAACGCTGTTTAAAGCATATTGTCAGTCGTTTTACAAACGCAGCCTGTTTAGATATACGCAGAGGACTAATACGCACTGCCTGCCTGCAAGAGTGGAACACACTTCCAGCTTTTGTGTACCCGGAGAAATACAACCCATCCGGGGTTGTATTTCTTCAAGTCGATAGTAAACAGATTTCTTCTGGGTAAGCTACGTCCTAGGTCTTGCCATCATTTACCATCAGATGAGGTAAGACCAAGCGCAATTCCATTATTAATAAAAAAAATACAACTCTCTTCGTGTACAATACAATAATGGGTTTAGGATGTTGTTGGGACACCCTCGGTTCTGTAGCGCATCAGAGATGTTTGCAGCAGCGAGGGTGATGGTTTCTAAGCCATAATACGCAAAAGAGCTGCATCAGTGATGTTTAGAATTCAGAGGAGCGCAAACAGCATTCTAACAACTATTGCAAATATATCAAATTGTCCGCTCCAGAGGCACTGGATATGGTTGCACTGCTGCGCACCCAGTACTTCTGGATATGGATAAATTACTAGCTGACCCCGCAAATGATGTTTTGCCATATAAATTAAATATGCTATTAAAAAATAAGGGTTGATGGTAGAAGGGTGAAAATTTGGGGTTGTATGTATTTTTAATCCCACATTATAAAGAAAAAAATACCATTACCACTTAGAGGTATGAAAAATATATAGTAGCCGATTCTCACACCTATCGAAGAAGCATATAAAATTTCATAAATATCAGTCAAGCCGTTTCGGAGGAGTTTGGTAACTAACATTGTGACACGAGAATTTTATATATAAGATTAACATAGTTTGTAAGTTGTTTACTAACAATATGGATGTAATCTGAAATAAATAAATAAAATTACTCTTGTAGAACGCAGGGCTCTTATGATATGGCGAAGATTTTCTTCTTAATAGACGACATGGTGCACCCACTGGCGGGGCAGCACCGAAGAATGATAAGATGAGCTCAGATCAGCTTATAGTGACAATTCACCAGAAGTTTATCGCTACAGTTCTAAGAGCAACCTGGAGGTGACGTGAATCCTCTTCCCCCCATATAAGAAGGATTAGCCTATTAATACCAAGCTGATCAAAAGACTTGCTATAGAAATTTATTTCTACTTTGTTTTAATAAAATTTATTATTCATACTTGAGTATTCTGTAATTTACGCATCGTTACTATACTTAATGGGATCTTAATATGAATACTTTTATGGTTAATAAAAGTGTTTACTTCTCCCAACATTTCGTTGGACAAACCAGTGATGGTAGTTAAAAAAAATGCTGGTATCTACCGACATTGACATCGTTGTACTGCAGCTATATCGTGACTACCGCTAGTGTAACCTAATCGAAACGTCGAGGTGAGTTCCAGAGCCAAAGTTTGTGAGTTTGGATGTATATTTTCTTATTCTTTCACGCAAAAACTACTGAATTAATTTTGATTAAACTTTATAGTAATATAGCTTGTTCATTAGAATAACACATAGGCTATAATTTAAAAAGACATTATGTAAATTGGGCGAAATATAATGATAAATGTCAAGTAAATGCGACACAGATGCATGGGTCAGCTAATTTACCATAAACTAAGTATCATAGTACTTACTTGGTGCTCTTGGGTTCCATCGGTCTCAACTTAGCACACGCCAAGAAACTCTCCGAATGCCTGTTATCATAAATAACTACATACAAACTCCTCTTCGTCACTTCCATATCGTTTCTCAATACATTCAACACTTCATCCTTAAATAAGGTTTTTGCTTTCCTCCTATTAGCATCTGTAGCAACTTTGATCAATCCCAAACGACTATCTAAGTCGCCTACACTCATACCATCACCGCTGTTATCAGGGTCGAATATTAGTTGGAGTATATTGCAGTTGTCTTCACGGATTCCCCTATGAGAATTAATGATATCGGTAACAAATAATTTCCATTTGTGCTCGGTAAATTCAACCTTATCCGTAATAGCTTTTGTATGATACAAATCAGCTTGTACGTAAGAATCAGATTCGCCAAACTCACTCGCTGATAACCACCTAAAATTTAGTGTTCCCGCTACTGGAGCTGTAAATCTAGCGACTGCATGTTTCTCATAAAGCTTATCAGTAGACAGTATCGATGCACAGATCACTCGATCCCTTTCTGCCGTCTCAAAAACTATACTCTTCCCCCAAAGACCGTTAGGTCCCGTTAAACTGTTTTGGCTTTCGAATTCTGCATGATCTTTTCCGGGAATTATCAAGTATCCAAGTTCTTCTGTTAAATCGATTAATTCCCTTCCCAAATTCGCTTCAGAACATCTAGAATCGGATACATCTCGATAGTCTACAGGAAATTCATGAATTGTCCACCTCCAGACTCCATCCGGGTACTGCAAGGTTGGTTTAAGATTTGTTCTAATACTCATTAGAGTCTCGTTTTTATGTGAGAATTCAATTTCTCCATGAAGACCGTGTTGAGATATATATGCGCGCAACACGAGGGCATCTGCCGCATCTAAAATTTATAGATTTATGTTAGACTACCTGTTAGCCACTTCGTCCGCGTGGAATTTAACTTTATTTTTCTAAAATAAAAGTAGCCTAAGTTACTCCTTATTACATCAGCTGCCAAAAAAAGTCCCGTCATAATCGGTCCAAACATTTTAAAGATTAGCCAGACAAAAATTGTAAAAAATGTTATTTTGGTGTATGTGCCGTATTTAGATTTATATGTAGTAAAAAACGGTTATTTCAATATTGTAATATTGAAATAACAGACGCTCCAATTTTATTTATATGTATAGATGTATAGATGTTTAATGTTACTTATTACACTTGATTATATCTACAAATTACTTTATCAGTAAATGATGGATATCGTATACATTCTAAAAAAACTCCTATTTTTTAGGACGGTGTATCAATTTGGAAATAAATACCGAAATATATATGAAATTTGTTATCTATCTATCTATATGTTTGACGGCCTTGGTGGTCTAGCCGTTTAGCACATCGCCTTACTTCCTGTGGTCGCGGGTTCGATTCCTCGCACGTACAAACATTTTTTATTCGTGAGTATGATTGTTTGTGTCGGTCTGGGTATTTTCTATATATATTTTGTATGTATTTACAAAAAAATGTATCTGTGTATTTCTATCAGTGGTCAAGTACCCACAACATAAGCTCTGCTTAAGTCAAGACTTGCCCTTATTAATTTCTTGTATTCGTATTAATTTAATAAGAGTTTTATTAACATTTTATATATTTTATTTTATATATAAAAATTACAATTAAAATCAAATAAAATGTCAATAAATTAAACCGAATTATTAATATTAATTAATAAATTGAAAATCAAATTATGTCAAATAAAATTTTAAAATTAATTTAATTTAAACAAAAATCAAAATTAACATTGCAATTAGTATATTAACTGATTATGATATTCTTTGTGTTACTTTCAGTTTTTACTAAGAACACAGATAATATAATATTACATACAGATACCCCATCCCATACAAGAAAATGGTTCCTTCCTAACTCGGGCTATTCTTCGGGCTATTTTATTTCGCCGCCGTAGGCGCTAGATGTCGCTATATCTGAAGCAGTTCGGATTACTAGTGGGTGATTAGTAATAAAGCATGAAAATAGATGGCAGAGAATTCGGTCTACATGACATCTGTTTTGCAAAGATACGTACATAATAGATATATAACTGTATCGAACTCCTGATTGGGTACAATCGAAAATTCAATGTAGGTATAATATTGTTCGCTGACAGTCTACAGACACGGCTAATGTACCTATGTATCTATGTACTATGTTACAGTTACTTTTTTACATGCCTACTTTTTTCTCCCGACGAAGATATGTCGTAACGCGTCTGCACTAAAATCGGGCTATCGGTTAAGGAGCAATAGCTCCTTAACGAATAGCCCGATTTTAATACGGTTTTTTTTATTTAAATTGTTATGTGATAGTGATAGATTTTAGCTATAATCAATTGATGTGCATATGGGTACCTCATATAATTTTCAGTGTATAATTATTTTTCAATATGTAGTTAATTATGGTAAACTGGCAATTTGTAAAACTGAAAACCATCAATCTGTTATATGTAGGTTCTTTCAGGGATACTACATCGGTGCTAATGACATGTAGGTACTTATTTTGATGTTATTATTAGAACCTTGATATCTACAAACTACGCCTTTACTGCTAGTTTTTTGGTATTTATGTAAGTTGTTATTCAGTTGAAATTAAGCTGCGAAATTACATGATATTTGGACATAACATCTATGTTCTCCGGAATGATAACGTATGCGGGATATAGCGGGCACGACATGATGACGTAATGCTGTTTAATAATATGTGTATGTATGTACGTCGGATAGCGTCGTGGTTGGATGGATCGTCAGCTTATTTACCATTTCAGTTAATAATAGTAGGTAGTAACTTTTGACAATATGGATGAGGGAGGGTAACGGTGATGATGATGAGATCAATAATCACTGTTGACGATAGTGTCGGTGGTATTTATTTATGACCACCATAAAATTCATCATTGGCAGTATTCTCAACATTATCATCATTGTTCATCATGATGATTGAGATCAAATTAATTAATTGATTAAAAAAGTAGCAAGTATTAGGTAGGTACTAAGTCCTTATGTGACTTAAATACAAGGTTCTGGGATGCTGTAATATACTACAGTCTCTAGATTTAGTTTCTTATTAGTATTCCACGACCAAAGTCTATAGACAGAAATATAGATTTACACAAAGTTTTTTGATGTAAATGGGAATTATTACACACATTGCATTAAAAAATATATATGATTACCATCTAATACAAAATCATTATGTAGTAAATAATTCCTGACATTTTAAATCGAATGAGGTGAAACTAACATTGCATGAACACAATACTTGAAGATCATAAAATTTTTATTTCAGGTAACAAAACACTTTTAAATAATTTATTAATCACAGAATAAACAATTGTTAATAATTTACAATAATATTTCTTTCACTGCTTGTCTGTTATACCACTAAAACTTCAAACACTTCTGTTATTTTTATATTATATTCCAAATAAATCAATATCAAGACATAATATTTCATCAAAATCATTTCATAATTAATTCCTGGTACACAAAATATTCCTGGATTTGTTGATGAAGCAATATAATAATAATCATGTGCTTAAATCATAAACTTATTTGCAGTCGGTTACACAAAATATAATTACTTGGAATTTCTTCTCATCACTAGTCCATTGCTTTCTTACTTATTTAATTATATTATTAATTGCATTGTGATTAATAATTTACAGATTTTTCTTCTGCTTTTTTCTCTTATTTTTACTTGCATTATTATTTTATACAGTAAAATGTTCATATATACATATATATTTCTTATTCTTTTGAACCCCTGTTCTTTACAGTAAAAATGTTATTTATCTTCATCTGAATGACTAGGAGATTTAGAATATCATCTCTTATTTGTTTAAACTTTGTTCAGTATTAAGTTGTTGATGTCAGGAAAATCTGAAAACAATATCATATACCTATGTTACATTTTCATGAACTTACATGAAAGTAACTAAACTGTAACCTTATTAGCACAATAAACATATTATTCATACATCATATTCATTCAGTTCTAATAAAATATAAAAATAATACTACTATTTAGTACTTTTTCAGTATTTTCTCAATCAATCAAAAATTATAAAATCAGTGTTAGTTTTTTGAAGTTACATTCATAACAATAATAAAAACATAATAATACCACATTAAAGCGGTCACCAAGTACCTATGTTTATTATATTTTAATATGAAAGATACACACGCATACATATGCAAGTTTTTAACAACTTATAGTTATACCTGGTATGAGATAATCCTCAAAGACACGATAGTTTACTAAATATTTGTAGTAGTCCTTAGACACATTTAAATTATTGAGTTTGACAAAAAAATAAGAAGTTCAATGAACTCTGAACAGGAACAATTCAAAAGTTGAAGTACCTACTTAACTTAAATGATGAAAAAAGAGAAAAAATCCAATGCTAGTGAAAATATGTTTTAAGCATTTGTCTTAAAGTCTATTCTTTTATTCCTATATTTTATATTTTTAACATTTCATTTATGTTGCCAGTACTCGTTGTCATTTCGATATAATAAAAAAATATGGACCAACCTACGATTTTAAATCGATATTTTTATTTGTGATGAAATCTAATAATATAAATTATGAATAACCTACCCTCGAATGGAGATACTAAAAAACTAATTATCATGAATAGTAGGTACTAGGATCAGTAATATATCATAGTATTATGAATGATTATCGTTTCAAAACCTTGTACAATTCGAAATTCGAGTATTTGAAAAGTTTCTTATGAGTATTTGTAAAAATTCGAGGATCCTCATATTTAGCTATCAATGTCAGTAATTTAGATACCATATAACACTTGTTTATTGAGGTTTCATAAAGGTATAGCTGACCTTATATACTCTATACCACATTCAATTCTCATTCATAAAATTACAATAAGTAGATAATTTTTTTTTTTAATAGAAGAACTATGTCACTAATGTCATTAATTGCTATAATTATCAGGGTGACCGCGTGGAGGTTGATATAATAGAGTACACTTGTATCAGATCAATCTAATTAATATTTCCCTCTTCAAGTTTCGAAGTTATGAGCGAACAGATAAATATATAGTACTTGCATACCTGTCAAATTCTCTCTATTTTGCCGTCGTCGAGTAAAAATTATGCATTGCAATTCGTTCCAAATAAGAGTATAATACAAAATGATGAAATTTTACTGTTTGCAAAGACTAATTAAAAGCACCATCGAATAATGCGTTGTAATATCCTGTTATCGATTATTCGAAAAAATCGATAAATCTATGCATTTATTTTTAATATGGCAACACTTTCTAAATAAGTATTACTGGAATAATATGGTTTTCTTGTTTTATATTTACTTAAACTTTTTTTATGTTTAATTTATCATAATAATATAGTAAGTACTTATTATTTGAAAATATAAAATAAACATTTAAAATACGGAGATACAAATGAAAACAGCGTCATCTATGAAAGTCTTTTGGAAACAATAAGCCCCAATTAGCAATGATTAAATTGTAAACAAATACAGGGCAACAACAAAATGAGTAAATATATGAAAATTACTTTTCAAAACGCATTATTTCATTTTAACATCTATATATGACTTTTTAAAAATAGATTAAACCTGTTTAAAAACATAGTTTTGGGTTTTAAACGATTGCAAAACAATGTTGAATTCCATTCGATACCAATGACGCCATCTAAATCCGTTTTTCGAACTAAAAATGGCTACTATGCCATTGTTCCCCACTGCTAAGAACTATCATATAAAGAGAAAAATTAATCTTTTCAATTAAATGACTAAAATTCATTCAGAATTTTAGCATACAAAGAAAAATACATTTATCTACTCTTCCTTAAGGTTGCTTATTTATTAACAGCTGTTAAAACCGAACAAGCTGCTATTGTTGATGTAAGAACTCAGCAGAACATTTTGTTTACTTGCTGAATTCGGGAATCGAACTTGAGATAGACGAAAGTCAAGGAGAAACCGAATACACTAGTCTGTACTGTATCCTACAACAGAAATTCTAGTTTTGTGAATGTATTAAGCATTTAACTTACTAATATTATGTACGTTTGTTAGTCTTTCACGCAAAAACTACTCAACGGATTTTGATGAAACTATAAAGTAATATAGTTTATACATCAGAATAACACATAGGCTATAAATTTCACGCGAGTCTAACCGCGGGCACAATTAGTCAACATAACAATGTCATATCACCACCAAGAAACAAAATAACTTTCTACTAACCGTATAACAGGAAGAATACGCAAATTAAGTAAAGTAACTTTGGTATAACACGACTAAATTCGTTATACATTTTCACTACAATTCACTACACATATATATTTTTAATTCAAAATATTGTTATCACAATATATTTTAAGTTATGTCCAAGTAAAGTTAAGTTACACGGGACGCGTCGCATTGACTCATAAGTGAAAGGCAAGTGAGTACAACTTAATGAGCGAGACGGGTGTATTAGAAAGAGAGAACAGATATGACGTAGTTAAGGCCATTGGATACCTGTCTGTCGGTCTGGTTAACTGGTTTCCATTAACAGAATATCATTAACAAAATGATTTTATATTGCTATATAAATTTGTTATTGTACATAACAGTATGTAAGTACTAGATACTCAAATTACGACCTCGATAGTCTAGCGGATTAGCATACCGCTTCCGACGATGCGGGTTCGATTCCTCGCACGGTATCTAGATTTGTATTCATGAGTGGTTTCTCTCTGGGTGTTCCTTTTAAATCAAATTCTAAATCGAATTAAAATCATTTATTGATGTAGGACATTTTAGCCACCTATGAACCTCAATTTTTTTTATATTATATTTTTTTCGCTAACGTCCAGTTCAATATATAGATCCAATAGAGAAGAATTGGCAAGAAACTCAATTGAATTACATTTTTTAATGCCTGTAAACTGGCATTAAAAAAAGTAAATCAATTGAGTTGAATTTTACAAATTATTTTTATATAGGTCTAACATTAAATGAAAATCCCGCGCAACAATTGAAAGTGTCCTACATGAATAAATGATTTTTGAATTTGAATTTGAACAAATTCAAATTCAAAAATCATTTATTCATGTAGGACCCTTTAGGCACTAATGAACATCAGATTTTTTACATTATAATTTTTATTTTTTCCCTGCCATCTAGTTCAGTATATAGATCCAATTGAGAAGAACTGTCAAGAAACTCAATTGAATTCCATTTTATTAAAAGCCAGTTTATTTACAACGTATATTTATAGGTGTCTATGTCTAACATTAAATGAAAATCCCGTGCATGAACAACTATTGCCATGCACGCTCGTCATTCAAGTAATCGTTTAGTGATCGGTTTTGCTCAGTAAATATGATTTAACAGATGTTTTGAATTTATTTAAGGGTAATTCCAATATATCCTTTGGTATCTTATTGTCAATTTTTATACCTATTCCCATAAAAGACCTATTGACTTCTTCTAAACGATACTTGGGGACAGCAAGTTTGTCTTTAAATCTAGTATTAATATTATAAATATTGTCATGAGGGGCTATAAGAAAATACAGTCGTAAAAGAATTTTTGTTATAAAATTTTCCAGATGGGGAGCAATTAAATATGTATTTTTTTATCAAATTGTACTGAAATTCTTTCGGTGTGGATTACAATAACCTTATTTCAGTGTGTATGAGTCAGTTTTCTTAAAATAGTGCGCGCGCGCATGTGTGAGACGGTTAGGTGCGCGGGCGTCGGTCGTTGTCAACCTATATTAACTAGGAGTGTGGCTCGATTTAGCGATAGCTATTGATTGGCAGTAATTGGGACACCGGGGCCTGTCATCCATACTTATATAATACTAGCTGTATCCGCGACTTCGTCCGCATGGAATTTAACTTTATTTTTCTAAAATAAAAGTAGGCTAAGTTACTCCTTATTACATCAGCTAACTGCCAATAAAAATCCCGTCAAAATCAATCCCACCATTTTAGAGATTAGCGTGAACAAACAGACAGACAGACAAAATTTATAAAATGTTATTTTGGTGTGTGTACCGTATTTATATGCATATGCATGTAGTAAAAAATGGATATTTCAATATTACAAACAGACACTCCAATTTTATTTATATGTATAGATTTACACCAATGTGCCGCCATAGCCCTTTCAAAACTGGCGTACACAATTGTAGGTATAAGATATAATTTAAAACGATTTTATTATAATATTTCCGATTAAAAACGATTATATTCATTTCTTTACTACTCAATTTAGTATTATTTATTTGTTTTGAAAAAAAAAATAGTTTCCTTATTGTACTTTAGACACAAGGAATTTACCAAATCCATCGGATGAAAAAAATAATCATAAAATACAAGTTTCATATAATATAAATGTTTGTCATCCCAGGAACAAACTTCTGACTGTCAGAAATACAGAGAATGTATTTCGTCGTCCAGATTCGATCTCCTTTGAGATCTTAATCAGAATTGTAAACATTTATTATCCTGACTTAGAAATTTAACTATTTTAACGTCTATAGCCTTCCTTTATAGCTTGACCGGACTAACACCTACTTAGAGTATTTATTTCCCCTTTTATTTGTTTCACAGTTTCTTTTTTCAAAAGTATATATTTTGATTTATTTTGTTTCTTAGGCTCCCGCTGCGATTTGATACAGGAGAAGTTTTTAATAGAAGTTTTCACTGTAGGATATATATATATTATATTTTCATAATTACACATATGTTATACATAAAATATTATATTTAAGTATATAATAGATTTACATATTTAACTTAGTGAGTATTAGTCCATAGCTTTTTTGTTTCGGACTACTCTAATGCTGTTGGCCGCAGCTGGCCTTTACAGCTTCACCGGACGATAGGGGACGAGTGCATATGGCTCTCCAAACCAAAGGAATGACTGTTGGAGGAGCGGCTGTAGAAGGACTTACACCTGACGGATACGACTTTAGTTTAAGGGTACACCTACAGGTTCGAACCTCGGCTTAGGCTGTTGTAATTTCGATACCCGTTTAAATTAGACGGGGGATCGATCGGAGGGGCACCAGGGCGGTGTGTAGCACTGTGGAGCAGGGATGTTATGGATATGAAATTTCAGATACGGATAGGTTTCGAATGTAGGAATGATTATTATATACGGATGCGGATATGAAATTATTTCGGATTATCCGTTAGTTTCGGATAATTTCGGTTACGGATATTAATTTTTTAAGGAATTTCATAAGTAAAATACAAATAGCTAATGAAATGGTTACATATCGTGTCTCTATTAGACTCTACCCCTATCCGATATTATCCGAAACTTTTATTTCGGATTGGTTACGGAGCTCCCTACGAGCATCTCTGCTGTGGAGCACGCCCAGTTGATAATTAGTCCATATCGTGAATTGCTTAAAATAGTAATGATTCTTGTTTACTAAATATTAGTACATTTGCGCATGATACGAATGACGCGATTTTTTCACAGTTCTGAGCATAAACTGTAGCATTAGTAATATTTTTTTCCATCAATATCACTTTAAGGTACTAACGTTCCACCCTATATAAAGTTCATCCAATTTATATACACCTTTATTTAATGTGCATTAACAGGCGATACTTACTACGACTTATTTATTTGAATACCTACTCGTGGTAAAAAAACCTATATAGCCAGAACACACATTTCTTTCAACGTGACGGAATGGTTGCCAAAAGCCAATGCACCTTTATCACTAGGTATTGTTTATTGCGCAGGCAATTGTTTAGTTGGAAGTGGTCACGACAATGTGCATGATAATGTATTCTACGATCGTGTTTGATGATCCACTTTCATACCAATGCCCTATTTACACTCAGCCCGAGTTGGCAGGGAAGTGTGCAGCGTGACAGTGTAAACACGAGTGGAAACACTTCCCATGCCATTGGCGCTGCCACTCGCGCTGCCCGGCGCTCCCTCGATTGTCGGTTTCTCGTACGCGAGTCAAAGGACTGGCAGCGCGAGTGGCTGCGTGTTTTTACATTCAGCCCTCTCGCTCAGTTGTCGCCCGGCAATATTTCCGGCAGCGCGAGTGGCAGGGGAAGCGGCTGAATGTAAACGCAGCAATAGAGACCATAAACCATACACAAATTATGACAGACGTTAAGAAAGTTACTTTTATAATAATAACTAGCTAATCGCCCCGGTTTCGCCCGGGTGTACATGTAAACCTTACTCTTGAATCACTATATCTATTAAAAAGACCGCTTCAAAATCCGTTGCGTAGGTTTAAAGATTTAAGCATTCTTAGGGACGGACTGACAGCGACAGCGACTTTGTTTTATACTATATAATGATATCATCATCATCATCATTGCCGTGCCTTTATCCAATTATTTGTGATCTCTTCTTTCACTGTTCCCTATCAGTCGTCATATCTGAGTTTACTCTCCTTTTATTCTTATATCCTTTTTTAGTTACATACCTCGTTTTGACATACCCGAATAAACAAATACGTTTTGATACTCCCAAACAAACATACACATCGGAGTTTCAAATGAAACCCAAATTTACTTCAAATATTGACTTTTGATGATTATTTTTAACAATTTTTGAGGAGGCCGATAGAAGAAAGAGTGAATGAATACAAACTAAAGTAGGTATATCGAAAACAAATCTAACACGCCTGTGAACATTTAAATAGCAACTTTTTGCAGTTAGTAATCAACATAATTTTATTGTGTATATGCCACAAGAATGGCAACACTCAGCCCTGCCAGTACTAATCGAATCCAAAACCTAACATACCACATATATAATTTTTTATATCAATACATACATAATATACACATGTTCTATGTGAACATGAGGCTGATTTTCAGTGCCACTAGGATTGAAAGAGAAATATTAAAAATAATAATAATAATAGAAACATAATGACAGATAAATAACGAAACAAAACTCAGCCCTGTCGGTACTAATCGAATCCAAAACCTAACATAACACATAGATTTTTTTTTACTATTTAAAATACAGACCTAATTCATATTACATTATGATTTTTACACATACTTATTTATTTATAAATATATTCTTCTTCATTCTTGAAATTCCCAGAAGATATGATCTAAAGATCTGGGAAGATTGGAGCGGTTTATGCTAGCAGTGCGAGGAGCTAGCAGGAGCCCTAGCATAAACCGCTCGTTTATTCTAATATCATAACAACATATACAAACAAAGATACAAATATCTTACATTTTATGTTTTGTACGTTTGTTTATAATTGATATACTCAAAAACTTCATCAATTTAAACCATTCCTTCACCTATATAAAGCTACATTATCAGCCGATAATTTTCTCTATGCTCTATACTCGGACAGCACCGAGGAATACAGCTAGTATATTATAAAATTGCATTTCTATGGTATTTCAGTATTAACTGCGTGACGGATCCAGCGTCAGCGAAAGACGCACTAAAACTGTACCTCAGGTGGGGCGGTTATTTATAAAAATACAAAAGCGAAGGCTACCAGACCCGCGGCCAGATTACACCGTTATGTTCCCGAATCAAAGAGCAGCTACATATCTTATTTGTCGAACTAAATATGGAATCGCGTGCGCAACACGACGCGGAGGGAGGGGGGAACACTCCTGGTGCTCCGAGAGGGAGCGAAACTTCGGAGTCAGGGTGGGACTGCCGAGTCGTTCAGTCTCTCCTTCGTCGATCGTCCAACACACAACAAAATGGTAAGTGACAAGTGCGACACAGTGTACAGTGGTGACAGTACAGTGTTTTGTGACGACAGTGGTGATACAAGTGGTTCAAATGGAAAACAACACGATGGACACTAAACATACGGAAATGCTGATGACTTAGTTGCCTCTGAAGATGAATTCGTTGAACAATTCATTGAAGCTGATAATCGTAATTTTAAAGAAGCACCCGCGTACATGTTTTCAATAGTAACAGACGGTAGAAGCGGTTAATTTTCGAATTATAATGTGACAAATTTCGAATTCTACTTTTCCAATATCCACCGGTTTTTTTAAACAAATCATAGCAACACGCTCCTTAAATAAATCAGACCTCAACTCAGCAATAGTGAATCAAAACTTAAATATTCCAAACAATAAGGAAAACTTGAATCTTATTCAAACAAAGAAATAAAATTACGCCCCAAAAAACAACATAATAGAAAAGATAAGAAAAAAAATAACGAAACGGCAATGTCATCCAAAATTTCATAATTTAGGGACAATCTATATCAAATATGCCTACTACTTATCTATTCAAATTTAGTGATTAATATCTAATTTGGTAAACTAATTAATGAAAATCCTTTAAGTCGCTAATCAAGACATATAGTGATATCATATGAAAAATGAAATGAAAACTTCCTGCAGTTGTCTTAGTTGGTCAAATAATCCTTATTTGTGACAAGAAATAAAACAAAATAAGTACACCTGACGTTATGATAAGCGAAGCATAATTAATTTAAATATCTTCGAAGGTCTTGATGAAGTAGATATTTTTCATAACAGAGGCATGCAGAAATCCATACATAGAATTTGACATATAATTATTAAATAACTAATTGGTCCCTTTTATTCGCTACGGTAGCAGCTATTGTGATTAAGGAATCCTTTAACTAAAGAAGATACAATTATTAATATAGTTGAAGAAGGCTTAAATGTTAGAAAGGAACTGAAAAGTCTGTATAATAGGAATTGATGCACCGATGGGGATAGCATATAAAAAAATGTAGAGGGACATTTACTTAAAAATATAAAAAAAGTCAGTAATTAACAATAATTGGTAAAAAACTATATATATTCATGGAATAAAGTCCGAAAGATGATAATTACATATTACTTTATTAACTCTGAAGCTATTCCAAACGATACGAGATCTAAATAGACCTATCAAAGTAGGTATTGAACTAAACAGCACAATGTAATAGTAGGCGTTTAAAATATGTAACGTAGCGAGACATAATATTAGAAATAGAATAGAATGGAAATTTAATCAAATAAACTAAATGTAAGCACTTTTGAATAGTCATAACAATTTTTTTAATCTACCGCTCATTCAGAAAGCTGTCTCATCACAAGAAATATTAGAGATACTATAATTAATGAGCACTTATTGTTGATTCATATTAAACAAAACGTATCATAGTATTACTATGTAACACTAAAACATGGAACAGACGTTGATCTATTTATAAATGAATTTACGTAACTAACGGTGGAGCAAGCCGAATGTAAGCGGACGCCGGGATTGTGCTAAATTTAGAGGAGCTGCCGGCCACGCCTAAACTGGATGCAAGTGCTGAAATGTTCCCAAATTATACCGACATTGGTACTTAATCACTAGATTTTCTCGTGGCCCCTAATAATTTGATAAATGATCTTGACGGTAATGAAGAATTTTAGGAATTATATATTGTCCCAAAAATAGAACAACTAGATAAAGTTAAAAAAGATAGCGACTCGCATTTAACTGCAGTATGAATTAATGCACATGCAGGATATCAATTGTTTTTTTAAAAAAGTACAGTCAAATTGTCATTCGCTGAAACAATTGATTAAATTAGTGAAGAATTTTTGAGCTACAAACAAAAAATCAAATCGTCTCTCTTTGTAATACTAATAGATATCTTTTTCTCAAAATAATATGAAACCTATAGAGCAGTTAACTCTAGCCATAATTAAAATCATCACCAACAATGACAAACAAAATGGAAGAAAAACGACGAAACTATTTAGGTACCTACCACTGATCATATGATAATAATTATACTATTTTTGTACAATTCACACAGCGCCATCTAGTCCCAAGCTAAGAATAACTTCTGTTGTGGGCACTACACAAATTAGATATATTTTATTTGAAAAAAAAACAATCACACAACACAATTTTTTGCGCCTTGCGAGGAATTGAAACCGCGGAATATCGGAAGAAAACCACTGTGCTACAACGCTAGACCAAGACGTAAATAGTTCTCAATGCTGTGTAACAATTGAGATATTTAAACGATAAACAAATTACAGGCGGATAAGGATAAGAAAGTAAAGAAGAAGAAGGCGAAAGAAGACGCGCCTGCAGAGGAGGCTCCGGCAGCGGCGGCGCCAGCGGCTGGTGGCGACAGGCAATCCTCACGCGGCAGCCGTAAGGCCAAGCGCACCGGCTCCAATGTCTTCTCCATGTTCTCACAGAAGCAGGTCGCCGAATTCAAGGAGGTAAATAATAATGACATATACAGTCATAGAATCTTTAACCTTTATCTCAAAAATGTTAAGGAATTGTCAACTACCGACATCCTGATAAAATACTTGATATGCCCACATTTGGATGGGTATATTAGACTCTGATATAACCATAAAATTGAGTAGTTTTACAATTATATGTACAACTTAACTATTGGTACAATAGGTAAGTTTTTCATAAAAAGTAATTGATCAGCAATTTACTATAAATTGTATAAAATATTCTCAAACAATGTTTAAAGATTAGCCAATTCTTGAGTTTATTTTTAAATAATTTATAAGATCTCCATGCCTTGAGTTACTTTTGTTTTTGTTTAACACAACAGTCAATCTGAAATAGAAATAGAAGTAATCTTTATTCGAATAGAAAATAGAATAGAAAATGCATATTTAGCCAAAAAGAATATACGTCTACTTTCTTAACGGGCGTTATTTTATCAAATGCATATTGCAAAAGTTCTAAATTTGTGTCAATACTAACTACTGATTTTAAATTTAAAAGTTTTATATTAGTAGTTACAATAATATACCTACTGTACCTACCTAACCTTCTGTCAATCATACCAAATAACATGTGTCAGTGCCAAGTAATAAAAAATACGAGAATAATTTCTTAATAGAGAGAATATTGAAACGTTTATAATCTAAGATTTTCGAAAATATGAATCATAAATGATATGTAATTATATCAAAAATTCTTGTGTGTGAATAATTTGTTATCAATTTACATACTTGGCCTGATTACCTACTTAGTGTATGTGATACGTGATCGAACAGTTCGTTATTGTGTCAGGTTCGGCTCGTGCCAACGACGCACCGCCGGCTATTTACTAAACATTAACAACTAATGTTATCATTTCTCGAATGCCTCCAGCGATCGCAGAATTAGGTACTACAATAAGAAATATTTCTTTCCACGACTGCATATTTGATGTTATCTCTCGCTCTTGCAGGCCTTCCAGCTAATGGACCACGACAAGGACGGCATCATCGGCAAGAACGACCTGCGCGCCACCTTCGACTCCCTCGGTAGGCTAGCGTCAGAGAAGGAGCTCGACGATATGGTCAGCGAGGCCCCCGGCCCCATCAACTTCACCCAGCTCCTGACCTTGTTCGCGAACCGCATGTCCGGCGGGTCCGACGAGGATGACGTCGTCATCAACGCCTTCAAGACCTTCGACAATGACGGCAAGATCGACTCCGAGAGGCTCAGGCACGCCCTCATGACCTGGGGCGACAAGTTCTCCGCCGATGAAGTGGACGAGGCCTACGACCAAATGGAGATCGACGATAAGGGCTTCATCGACACCACCAAGCTGATCACCATGCTCACCGCCAGCGCCGAGGATGAGGAAGGCGGTGAAGCTGCGTAATAACACCGTTATCGAAGGTCTGACGTAATGGTCGTCGCCACCCGACCACTCGGTTCCATAACATCGGATTAAAGAGCAACATGCAAACCGAGAACTTTTTATTATAATTTCTATTATGTAATAATTTATTGTTTCCATTTTTTTATTTATATATAATGAAAATATAGTTCTACTATTACCAACGCGTGTAGTTCTCTCCCCGAGACGATGTGAACGTGTCTGGTCTCGAACTCCAGCACCACACGACAGCAGATGTAAATGATACCATGTATTCATTTTGTGCTTTTGCAAATAAAGTTTCAATCAAGTCTGATTATAGTTAAATGTGCCACACAAGGGACATTTTATATTAACATGAATTTTATCATTCACACATCACACAACGTCAACTAACGCTTACCTTCCTACCTTGTGAATAATAGTAATATTTAAGGAAAAGACAACTCACACAGCGCCATCTAGTCCTAAACTAAAAACTTTTGTTATGGGTACTAGACAACTGACATAAATTCGTAGTTTTGTATTTCAATTACATACATAATATACATAGAAAACACCCAGACCGATACAAACGATTACACTCATGAATACAAATGTTTGTACCGTGCGAGGAATCGAACCCACGACCGTCGGAATTAAGAAAACGTGATTAACCGCTAGACCACCGAGATCGTCGATATAAAGTCTAAGTACACTGTCGAAAATATTATTCTAAATTTTGATAAACGTTGAAAAACATGCTGACCATACCGTGATATGGATGAACTGTGTGACAGATGATATGGCAAGAAAGGGAGTAAATAACGAGATGACTGCGAACAGGGATGAATGAAAGAAACATATTACACCGACCACAAATGAATGAGACAGTTAGTCAGTCAGACAGATAGTCATGCTCACTAAAATGTCCAGACATGTGGCGGCGTGGTGGTCCGGGTCAATGGGCTCCCTAAAATATGGTCGAGCGCAGTGATGGCTGGCTCATCCGTCATACTCGTGAACGAGTGCTGCTTGTAGGTACTGGTCTGCTCTTATAACTACGACTGATTTAATCTTATTGCATGATTATATTTGACCCAAAAATTAGTGCTTGTTGGTAGTTTGTATTCACACGTTTCGACTTGTAAATGTAAACTTACAAGGATTATTTAAAAGAGCAACACACAAGTTTCTTGCTCGTTCTTCTTGTGATGAGACAGCTTTCCGAACGAGTGGTAGATAAAAAACAAATTGTTATGACTATTCAAAAGTTAAGTTTATTTGAATAAATGATTTTCTATTCTATTCTATTCTAAGACAAGGAAGAACCAATTTATGACCAAATACTTTAATAACCATAAAAGTAATAACAATAATAAAGTCCGTGGACAATTGACACAGTACCATCTAGTCACAATTTAAACAGAGCTCGTGTTATGGGTACTAGCTTGATATCTGATATAGTAAATTTATTTTTAAAATACATAGATACATATATATAACGACGACCTCGGTGGTCTAGCGGTCTAGCACACCGCTTTACGACCGATGGTCGCGGGTTCGATTCTCGCACGGCACAAACATTTGTATTCATGAGTATGATTGTTTGTATCGATCTGGGTGTTTTCTATGTATAATATGTATGTATTTACAAAAAAAATATTTATGTATATGTATTAGTTATCTAGTACACATAAGACAAGCTTTAGCCAGCTTAACTTGGGTCTAGATGGCGCTGTGTGAATTGTCGTGAGATTATTATTATATATTATTATACATATAAAAGACTCAAACCGATGCAAACAATCACACTTATGAACACAAGTGTTTGAACCGTGCGAGGAATTGAACCCGCGATCACCGGAAATAATATACCAAATAATATAATATCCATAAAAGTAATAATAATAATAACATCCCTGAACAATTGACATAGCGCCATGTAGTCCTGAGATAAGCTGAGCTTGTGTTATGGGTTCTAGATAACTATAGATATACTCAGATATTATATTTAATAGCTGCATCCGCGACTACGTCCGCGTGGAATTTAACTTTATTTTTCTAAAATAAAAGTAAGCTAAGTTACTCCTTATTACATCAGCTACCTGCTAAAAAAAGTCCTGTCAAAATCGGTCCAGCCATTTCAGAGATTAGCCGGAACAAACAAACAGACAACCAGACAGACAAAAATGGTAAAAAATGTTATTTTGGTGTATGTACCATATTTATATTCATATGCATGTAGTAAAAAACGGTTATTTCAATATTACAAACAGACACTCCAATTTATTTATATGTATAGATACTATACTCGCACTTACTCGTAGAGGGGGGTAGGGGATTGTTAGTGATGTGGACTCATGACCCCATTACTAGCAATGTACCATGTCAGGTTGACCTCCACACAGTTCCCCCTGGAAATCATCCTGATAAATTCTTGAAAAATTTATCAAAATTGACTAACTCACTTGAGAATGATAATCCTCCACTGGTGCTCCGCCAGTGTATACATTCAAACAAAAAAAGTCATACTCAGATAACACCAAACAATTATACTTATGAATACAAATGTTTACGAGGAATCGAACCCGCGACCATCGGAAGTAAAACGGTGTCCTAAACCGCTAGACCATCGTGGTTTATATATTCTTTAAACTGAACCACAGAATGTCAACTAACGGATTCGCGCCAAAAATATATATTATGTGAGACATGAAAACAGGTTTCATTATTGCACCAGATAAATTACATCAATCAAAATTATATAGAGTAATAAGGTACAAAAAGTGGCCTTGTCGCTAACGCGATCTCTTCCAGACAACCTTTGGGTAGAGAAGAAAAGACAAAAAGAAATCGTTAGTGCTATTATGTAATATTATATTATCTGTGATGCTATTATCCAGAGAGAAAATAAGGGACTTCATTTGTATGAAAAACACAATTCTCGAGTGTCATCTTAATGTAGGAAACCTTGGTAATTTTAGTAATTTTTGTAGCTGTGACGTGGTCGTATGGAATGAGTAGTCATGCTCACTAAAATGTCCAGACATGTGGCGGCGTGGTGGGCCGGGTTAATGGGCTCCCTAAAATATGGTCGAGCGCAGTGATGGCTGGCTCATCCGTCATACTCGTGAACGAGTGCTGCTTGTAGGGACTGGTCTGCTCTTATCACTACGACTGATTTAATCTTATTGCATATTTATATTTGACCCAAAAATTAGTGCTTGTTGGTAGTTTGTATTCACACGTTTCGACTTGTAAATGTAAACTTACAAGGACTATTTAAAAGAGCAACACACAAGTTTCTTGCTCGTTCTTCTTGTGATGAGACAGCTTTCCGAACGAGTGGTAGATAAAAAACAAATTGTTATGACTATTCAAAAGTGCTTAAATTAAGTTTATTTGAATAAATGATTTTCTATTCTATTCTATTCTATTCTTGGAGGAGTCTCACAGTACCCGTCCGTCTGACCTCTGAGATGAACGGGTCTCCACGAGCATGGGCTGATCGTGAATTTGTGGGGCCCTGGGCTAAATCGACTTAGGGGCCTACCTAATTATATTGAAGATAAAGAAGCCTTTATTTCTGTACTATTATACATTTTTTTTTCTACATTCATGTTCATTCATATTATTATATTATACTATAAATTTATTATTATTATATATTTTTTTTTACTATTATTATTTGTTAAGTAGTTTAATTTTTGTATGTTTAATTATTAATTTCATTATCTATATTTATCCCGCAGTACAGAGTGCCTTATGGCAAAGGCCTCCTCTAATTCCTTCCAGTGTACTCTATTTTGGGCTGCTCTTCTCCAGTAGGGGCCTGCTATCAGCTTGATTTCATCCTCCCAGCGTCTCTGTGGTCTACCTCTTTTTCTTTTTGTTTCCCTTGGATACCATTCAGTTACACAAGTACTCCATTTTTCAGGTTTGCTTCGAATCATGTGCCCAGTCCATCTCAATTTTTCTGTCTATCTGTACAAGAATGTCTGTCAGGTTAGTTTTTGCTCTTATATCCTCACATCTGTGTCTGTCTTTTCTGCTTATCCCTAACATACTTCTCTCCATGGCTCTTTATATTCCTCAACTAAAATAATACATCGACCAGAATCAAGTTACCAGAAATTCCTCGTTCCTTTCGATAGACGCGCACTTGCATGGGCTGATTGATCTCAGGGTTGCCAACCTTATGATAGGTTTTTAAAAATTCTATATTTTCTTTATATTCTAAATAGCGTTTCAGTAGGCACTAACGGCCCCTTGTATCCTCGGGGCAATGGCCTGCAGCCCAAAAAACCCTTAGGTAGATCCGCCCCTATCCACGAGGGATTTTCCCCACATTAAAAAAAGTGTGTCTCTTAAGTAACTCCTAGTGTAAATATTACACTATCACATAAATAGACAGTAGATTAATTAGACTTGTCATAAATGTCTGTAATGGACATGAATACAAGTATTTTCAATTTCAATTTCAATAGATAGAATTCAATTTATATAGAACTGTGGCCGACGTTTCAGTTTTATTCTGATGTATAAGCTATATTACTGTTTCATCAATATTCGTTCAGTAGTTTTTGCTTGAAAAAGTAAGCAATATCCACCCATACTTACAAACTTTGCGTTTATATTAGTAAGATATTGTTAATTGGAAAATTTAATGATCTCCCGCTTCTCAGAAAACGAATATCCGTGCGAAAACATTACATACAATACTATTTTAATATTTTGTTCAGTATTTTCCTTTCCTTGGAAAGGCAAAACGACTCGGCCCATACAGTCATTGTCTTCAGTAGTGTGTTCTTATTAAACTTATCTTATCTTATTATTGTTGTTAACAATATATAATTTTTTTAAATAATTGTCTTCACAAGTTATAAATCTTGAAATCTTAATATGACGTACTCAAAGATAGATTTATACATACATCACTGTCAAAAATTGTGATGTTATGTTATCTGTCAACTTGGCACTTGACAGTTTACTCCTATTTATTTACTGTATTTGTAAGCAAATCGTTTTCTAAAATTGTATCTTTATTCTAAGTGTAAATGAATACTTTAAAATGATATATGTTACTTACAAAATATAAAGACACTTCTGTGTAAACCTACTCACCTTTGTGGTCGTATTTGAATGAATTAATACGATTAGAAATAGACGTAAAAATGACTGCCGACACTGTGGACAATCCAACCAAAACGTTTAAATACTCATTCCCTACGTGTACGAACGAGGATGTGTTGTTCAAACTGGAGGTGCCCGTACAGATACCTCACGAGGGCTCCACGAGGGAGTTGGTGCAGCGAATCCTCAACATGTTTCACATACCGGTCTACTTGGAAGATGGTAATGTACATCCAAATCTTTCTAATATGTAATTCTGAAGGCCTCGGTACTCTACCTTATTTCCAAGAGTCGCAGATTCGCTTTGTATTCATAAATATGACTGTTGGTACCAATCTAGGTGTATTTATGTTTTTAGAAATGAAAATGTATCTATGTATTTATATCATTTACTAAACAACTGAAGATGGCGCTGCGTGAATTGTCCTAAGATATTATTATTATGTTTTCTGTGTAGTGAAGAAGTCTTCATGATATATAAATAATCTTTATTCAAATAAGATTATTTATATATAGTGAAGCGCCATCTAGACCCAAGTTAAGCTAGCTGAAGCTTGTGTTATGGGCACTAAATAACTGATACAAATACATAATTTTTTTTTATAAATGCATACATATTATATATAGAAAACACCCAGATCTATACAAACAATCATACTCATAAATACAAATGTTTGTGCCGTGCGAAGAATTAAACCCGCGACCATCGGAAGTGAGGCAGTATGCTAAACTGCTAGACCACCGAGGCTATCAAAGTTAATATAAGCACTTGAATAGTCATATAATACTTTATTGATTCTACAACTCATTCATTTTAATTAAAGTAAGTTACATTTTGTGGTTTCTAACGAAAAATAAAGTTTACATTATATATCATCCGTAAAATAGAAAAATGGCAGTATTCAAAATGTACATTTTTTAAAAAACAAGCATTTAACTTTTTTTTTAATTTATATAAATTATTTTTCCCTTTAAAGTATTATATCATTTTAAAAGTGTTTAGATAATGATTAAGATGGTGTGGTTAATTTAATTGACTTATATAAAAGGAGGCAATTCTAGTTTCTAATTTTGAAAAATGTCACATTTCTATTTAATCGATGATATATGCTAGTAATAATTATATTGCTTCAGATCTGAATGAGAAACTAGCAGAGTTTGTGGCAGAGGAGACAAAGAATTTCCACAATGACAGAGACGAGAAGCTACTGAACCAGCTCAAAACTAGTGAAATCAATGTAGAAGGTATCATCAAAAACTGGGAGAAACTTTTCAAAGATAATGTGATGGAGTTTGCTGAACAGAAAGGCACGTCTGATGAAGAAGTGTTTGCAGCTGCTTACCACAAGTTGGTGCATTCACCGGCCTTGGAGACAATATTACAAGTGGAAAATTCGTATGCAAAGACAGTCACAAACATGTTAAAGAACAGAGATGAAGATATTGAGAAGCTTACACAGAGGTAGGTGTGCAAATTTACAGAATAACCTTCATTGTGTACTTCTATTACACTGTACAACAAAAAAATAAAAATTGTTTATTTCCTTCCTTCGATTTATTTCCGTTTCTTATTTGATAATATCATCTCGTTTAATGAGTATTCTTTAAATTTAACAATTTGTCCCTCACATCTTCTGTTCTTGAGTTACAGCTGACTTCCCTCATTTACTATGTTCAATTTAGATATGCGTTTTTTTTTGACGCTGAAATATATTTGCTGTTGTTTTCGATATGGCTTTGTCAATAACATATTGTATAGTAATCCCAATTGTATTTGCTATATTTGTGGTGAATATGTGTGTAAAACATCGAAAACCTACTTCGAACTTGATTTCTTAAGGGTCGGCAACGCGCATGTGGCACCCCTGGTGTTTCAGGCGTCCATAGGCTATGGTAACCGTTTACCATCAGATGGGCCGTATGCTCGTTTGCCACCTAAGTGGTATAAAAAAAAATTTTTCGTCAAAATGACTGTAACTGATAACTGTCCATATAAAAAAATTAAGTTATTAGTAATTTACCAGTTTTTTCTCCATATTCGGAGCCATAAAAATACCCAAAAGTAGAAAAATAATGAAGATAGCAAAACTTGTGTTGACCAGTCTTATTATTTCTCTCAGGAATGATTTGATTGGCTGGAAAGACAAAACCATGAAAACATTAGTTTTATTTTTTACCGGTTTTCCTAACAAGACACTCTTCAATTAAATCATTAAAATAATCAGCAAAAATGTTCAGTTTATATGCTGTACGTTGGCGGGCCCCAGAACTCGAACTGAATACATTAGTTAGCTCATTGTGAAACCTTTGTTTGGTCGTGAACACTTGGTTTCCAGGGAGAACTGCGTGGAGCTCGACCTGAAACTGTACATTGCTAGCAACAAAATCCTAGTCCCCATTACGAACTATCCCCTTTGTGGGGTACACAATTAAAAGATCTTCGATTTTCAAAATATGTGGACTGTATTTCAATTTGTTTCTTATTCTATGGGTCGGCCGGCCGGAGTGGGGTTTTCTTGGTCGTTGCGCCGGCGGTGGTTCTTCGTCGGTGGCGTATGCGTAAGAGAGCGCGATCGAGAACCAACCCGCCTTTTACGGGCGCCCGAGCGCGTCCTTCCCCACCCCCGCCGAGCCGTGCGCGTCGGCCGTCCCACCCTCCCGACAATTCCTGCACATGTCGGTGACCGACGGGCCGGAACAGCGAATACGCACACATTTAAAATTAAATACAATAGTAACAACACAAAAAACTACAAAAAACCACGTGCGACTAAATGCCACATGTTCAGGCTACACTAAAGCTGTGATCCCTAAGAATTTACACAATGGGCGGACATAGAATTCACAGTATCTATGCCGCTACAAAGGGTATATGGTACAAACAATAGTCTAACCTAAACAATAGTCAAAACACTGGAAAAATACAAATTTATACACAAATTTATTTACATATTTTCGATGCCGACTCGTGGTCCGCAACAGCCTCCCCCGGCGCAGATCTTCGCAGCCCTTATCCCTAGGGAGGACCACTAGCCTTCGGGTCGGCCTTCGAAAAATTCCCCCTCGCGTCCTCACGTCCGCACTTCGCACCACGCCGTCGGGCCCCTCATAGGTGCGCTCCACTTGCCCGCGCGGCCACAGATTGCGAGGTAGCAGGCCGTCCACTATTAAAACCATGTCGCCCGGCTTGATGTTTGCCGTGCTCCGTCGTACGTCGTCTCTGGGCGTCAGCGTCGGTAGGTATTCTCGTAACCACCGCTGCCAGAATCTATCCGCGAGCGCCTGTGCTGCGCGCCACGTTCTGCGGTCGGCAACGTCGGTGGTACCTACGTACGGTAGGCCGACGGCTGAGCCCATCAGAAAATGGTTGGGGGTCAGCGCCTCTTCGTCCTCGGGTCGCACTGAGACGTGGGTTAAGGGGCGTGAATTGACGGTGTGTTCTGCTTCCGTCATTAGCGTTGCGAGCACCTCTTCTCTCGGCGCCCGCTCGTGCAGTACCACTGCTAGCGCTCTCTTCACGCTCCTTATCAGTCGCTCCCACGCTCCTCCTTGGTTCGGTGCGCCCGGGTCGCTGTACCGCCAGTTTATCCTCTTGTTGCTGACGTACTTTTCCAGTTCAGGGAGCCATTCCTTAAACGCAGTCGTAAGCTCCACGTCGGCTCCGCGAAAGTTCGTTCCGTTGTCCGACATAAAGGTTCGTGGCCAGCCGCGACGCGCTGCCATGCGTCGTATCGCCATTATAGCAGAGTCGGTCGATAACCCCGCTATGAGTTCTATATGCACGGCCCGGGTGACCATACACGTGAATAGGAGCCCCCATCGCTTCTCTCGCCTGCGACCTATCGTCACCCACATAGGCCCGAAACAATCCATACCGCATCTTGTAAACGGCCGGGCGTATGCGTCGAGTCGCTCCTTTGGCAAGTTCCCTTTCACTGGGACGTCGGGGTTCCTCCGGCGTACGGCGCATGTTGTGCATTTGCGTAATACGGTCTTGACGGTCGGCCTTAAACGCAGCATCCACACGTATTGGCGCAGGGTGTTCACCGTCTGTTCTCTGCCGGCATGATGATGTAGCTCGTGTTCTCTCTTAATCATCATCTGCGCCAACGGGTGCGCTCCGTCCAGTATGGGTGGATTCTTCATTTCTAGCGGCACCTGTGCTGCGTTTATACGTCCGTTCATCCTTGTAAACGGGATCCAGGCGGAACAGACGACTTGTCCTGTCTACGGTCTTTCCTTCGCGTAGACACCGCGTTTCCTTCGGGAAACTGTCCTGTTGCGCCTGCCGTATTATTAGTTGCTCCGCTTTGGCGAAATGCTCTGTGCCTAGCTTCTGTGCCCGTCGCCTGCATTTATCTGCGAACAGTAGCACTTGCGCCATGGTCCTCCTCACTCGGTCATATGAAGAGAACCGTGCAATGTCGATCACGGGTTCTGTCTCCTCCCGGACGTGTGCTACCATCTCTGCTGGGACGGGCTCGCTCTCATGAGGCCATTCTTGCTCCGGAGCGTACAGAAATGCCGGCCCGACAAACCATCTGTCGGCAGCGGTCATTTGTGTGTATCCCGCGCGGGTCGCGTCGTCGGCTACGTTGTGGGCAGTCGGTACCCAGCGCCACTGTGTCGGTTTCGTCAGTTCGGCGATTTCTGCCAAACGATGAGCCACGTATGGAGTATATCTGACGGTGTCGTTCCTTATCCAGTGTAGCACCGTTTTCGAGTCCGTCCATAGGAAGACTTCGGCCTCGCGACTATGTTCTTTCAATATGTCAGCGGCCAGTCGGGCTCCTATCAGGCTCGCCTGAAGCTCCATCCGGGGTATACTCTGCGCTTTCATGGGCGCTACCCTCGCTTTGGCTGCTACCAGGACGACGTTAACGCTACGATCCTCGCGTTCCGTCCTCCAATACGCGGCTGTGGCATATGCCTGTTCGCTTGCGTCCGTGAATACGTGCAGTTGCGACCGTTGGCTGTCGTTCGTGCCATACCATCGCGGCAATCTCAGTTCCTCTATATAGGCTAAGTCATCTCTCCATTCCTGGAACATCCGCGCTTCCTCGGCGGGCAGAGGGTCATCCCATTCGACCTTCTGCACCCACAGCGCCTGCAAGATGATTTTTGCCGTGATGGTGTAAGGGCTCAGCAGCCCGAGCGGGTCGAACAATGACATCACCGCTCCTAGGGCTTCCCTTTTCGTCGGTATCCGCGTGCCGTGCTTCACTTCTCGTGGGACGCGTGGCATGCCGGTGTTGAACGCCAGCTGGTCTTCGGCTGACATCCACAATAACCCCAATGTCTTTCCGTATGGATGTGCGTTGGCTCCCAGTTCCTTCGGCGTCCTCGCTCGCTGGTCCTCACTCACATTCTCTAGCAGGCTCGGTCGGTTTGTATTCCAACCCGCCAGCGTGAATCCTATCCCGCCATGAACCTCTACTACCTCTCGTATGGCGCGGGCTGCTTCCTCTTCGGAGTCAAAGCTATCGACCCAGTCGTCCATGTAGTGGTTCCTTGTTATGGCGGTGTACGCTGACGGGTGCGACTCTCGGTGCTCTGCCGCGTTCCTGTCTCGAACGCTGTGTGCGATGAACGGTGAGCTCCTCGCCCCGAAAATCATTGAGGTCATTACGTATTTCTGCGGCGGGTTAATCCTGTCATCTCCTCGCCACAGAAACTGTTGTGCTGCTCTATCTTCTTCCCGTATCTTAATCTGCAGGAACATCTCTCGTATGTCCGCCGTGATAGCTACGGGCTTCTCGCGGAAACGGTATAACACACCGTTAAGCGACCGTAGCATATCTGGCCCATCCAGCAGTGCGTCGTTCAAGCACATTCCCTTCGAACGGGCCGCGGCGTCGAATACGAGTCGCAGCTTTCCGGGTTTATTCGGATTCGTCACTCCGAAATGGGGAAGGTACCACGCGCGGTCGTTGTTGAACCGGTCGTCGGTTACTTCCTCGGCGTAACCCTTGTCCAACAACTTGTTTATCTCCGCGGTATACGCCAGCCGGAATTCCGTAGAGCGATCCATCCGCCGCTCTATTCCCCTCAGTCGGCTCGCTGCCATGTCGTAGCTGGGAGGTAGAGCGACGTTATCTCTCTCCCACGGCAATCCTACGACGTATCGCCCATCCACTCTCGTCGCTGTGCGGTTGAATGTGGCGACGGCGCGCTCCTCCTTAGCAATGGGTAATCTCTTCGACGATATACCCAACGCGTCGATGTCGTAATGCGCTTTTATTATGCCCTCTATATGCCGCATGTCTGGCTCGGCGTTGCGCTGTGTCAACCGCACGTGGAGGACATGTTCCTCGTCTTCCACGACACTTCTGGGTACCGTTCCGTGGATGACCCATCCCAGTCGTGTCAGCGACGCTGCGGGTTGATTGTGCCTTCCTGTGAGCAGCTTCCGCGTAACAATCAGATGCCAGTTGTCTGACCCGATCAAGACCTTGGGTCTGGCATCTTCGTAGCACACTTGGTCGCAAGTGAGTTGTCGCAGGTGTCCGTACGCGAGTATTTCCGGGTTCACTCGCTGCGTTCCTAGGGTGAGATCCCGGATCGTACGCGCCCTCACCGAGTGTTCTTCGTCCGTATGGTGTCGCCCTCTGATGATGACATCAGCCACTCGGCTTGAGGCTTCGTGCCTGCTCGAGGCTGCTCCCTGAATTCTCAGAGATCGCGTCGGACCTTCGGCTCCGATCTGTTCTGCGATCTCCGCATCGATGAGTGTAACCGTCGAGCCTTCATCTAGCATCGCGTACGTCTCTACTTCGCGTCCCGTCTTGCCTTTCACGATGATGGGACACACCTTTAACAACACTTGGCTGTTCTCTGGCAAGCGTGCTGCGGCTGTAATCGCGGTGTCCTCTTGCCGCTTCGGCGGCTCTTCTTGGGGGGTGCAGCAGGGCGTGGTGTGGCTTACGACACTCTCTCACACCACATTTGCGTGCCTTACACTTGAACCTTCTGTGCGTGCTGTTCATGCATTGGAAGCACATCTTATTTGTTTTCGCCCACTCCCATCTGTCCGATAACGACATGTCGTTCAGCTTCTTACACTTCGGCGTTACGTGTGCGGCGCCGCAACAGAGACATTCGGTACTCTGTTCGCTCTTTTCTACGGCGGCGTATACGGCCGCGCCACGATCCGTCATCTGTCGCCGAGGTGCCGACATCGTTGCTTTCGGTATGGGTTGCCTAGTGGGTTGCTTCGGGGGCTGCTTCGTGGGTAGCGCGCTCGTTCGTCTCGTTGGTGATGCTATTCGCAGATGTCGGGTCATGAGATCGGCTTCGCTCATTAAAAACTCTGCCATCTTGATGATCGTAGGTCTAGTGTCCTCCTTGTTTTTTTCAGCGTAGTGACACCAGTGGACCTGTAAGTGAGGGGTCAGCTTCTCTGACACTTCACTCTCAAGCGCGGGATTATGTAGAAATCTCGCCCCCCTGTCGATATCCGCGACGATGGTGGTGATGTTCTGTAGTTTAATGGCGAAGTCAATCACCTCTGTTGTCGATGTTCCTATTACCGGCATCCTTCTCAGATCTTTGAGGGCGCGGTCGATGATGGCCTCTGTCCGGCCGTACCGCTGCTCCAACGTCCTCATGATCTGCGACGGTTCTGTAGCGGATACGAGTAACGCTGCGACTGTCTCTCTCGCTTTTCCACGTAAGCAGGCCCTCAGCCTGGCCAGGTTCTCCGCTGGTGTGATCCTGTACGTCTTTGTAGACTGGTCTACGGCCGCCTTAAACGCTAGCCATTCACTTGCTTCGCCGCTGAAGATCGGGAGATCTTGGGCTTGCCTCGGCGCTACCCTATCCGCTCGTTCGTCCACAGCTCGTTCAATAGCTTTGGCCAACCGGGTGAATCCTTCTTGCATCCCGGCTTCAGGAGCGGGGGACCTCCGTCTTTGCTTCGGCGTCCTCGGCGGTGAAGCTTGCCTTTCTGTTGGCTCTTTCTGCGTAGGCGGTGGGGAATTAATTCTCTGCTCCCCCCGTACTTCGGTACGTTGAAACCAATCCGTTATACGTTGCAGGCCGGCACCTTCCTCGGAGCACACGCTATCTCTATCAGTCTCTTCATGTACCGCGGCGACATCGGCTGCCAACTTCTTTCTAATTAAATCAGCCTGTAATTTCGCCATCTGTAGCGCTGCCTCGTACTCCAGCCTCTTTAATTTAGCTATACCGCTAGCGGTAGACCGGCGCGATCGCACCGACGCGGCCCGGGCCGGACGTACATCTGTCGTCGGCGGCTGCGACGGTGGCGCCGGTGCGGAGTCCGAGGTAAACGCGGCGCGGGCGGCTTGTGCCTGTGGCGCGCTCGACGGCGCGGCGGACGCGGACATCTGCGTGGTTTCTGAAGGGGACACTTCTGTCTGTTCATTTTCCCGCGTGGTCTTTTTCTCTGCTCCCGGGGCTTGGCTTCTCGTAGTCGGCATCGTGTTCTGGCACTTGCAAGCCCCTAACCTACCGGTCCCTACCTACCTAACCGTCCCTAACAATCCCTCAGGATAACACCCGAGGGGATGGACTATGGGGATAGGAGGGTAGGAATTACCCCGCAGTGGTGCGTATGTACAGACGGGGCGCTCAGGGCCGGTTCGGACTTTCCGACCCCTTTGGCAGTGCCTACAGTCCGGCCCCCGCTATACGATACACACGTACAGGCGTAATAGTGCTATTCGGTTGCGCCACGGTAACAAGCAACAACCGGCAGTGACACACCACCCACTGCACCGCTCAATGGCGTTAACCCACACTCCGACCGTTTGACACCGTTAGGTGGTAAGAGATGTGAGCCGCGGACACACCGCTTAGACGTTATCTATCCTATATGGCGTAGACGTTATTTATCCTATCCTCGCTGCACCCTCAAGTTTTCACCTTACGACGGCAGCTAAATTCGGTAAGCTGCTAGCGTCGCACCGTTGGGTGATCTTCCTCGGCGAGGTACGTCGCACCGTTGGGTGATCTTCCTCGGCGAGGTACGTCGCACCGTTGGGTGATCTTCCGCGGCGATTCGTCGCACCGTTGGGTGATCTTCCACGGCGATTCGTCGCACCGTTGGGTGATCTTCAGTCTTGATATGCGGCTGCGATGGACCACAAAATTGTGGGGTACACAATTAAAAGATCTTCGATTTTCAAAATATGTGGACTGTATTTCAATTTGTTTCTTATTCTATGGGTCGGCCGGCCGGAGTGGGGTTTTCTTGGTCGTTGCGCCGGCGGTGGTTCTTCGTCGGTGGCGTATGCGTAAGAGAGCGCGATCGAGAACCAACCCGCCTTTTACGGGCGCCCGAGCGCGTCCTTCCCCACCCCCGCCGAGCCGTGCGCGTCGGCCGTCCCACCCTCCCGACAATTCCTGCACATGTCGGTGACCGACGGGCCGGAACAGCGAATACGCACACATTTAAAATTAAATACAATAGTAACAACACAAAAAACTACAAAAAACCACGTGCGACTAAATGCCACATGTTCAGGCTACACTAAAGCTGTGATCCCTAAGAATTTACACAATGGGCGGACATAGAATTCACAGTATCTATGCCGCTACAAAGGGTATATGGTACAAACAATAGTCTAACCTAAACAATAGTCAAAACACTGGAAAAATACAAATTTATACACAAATTTATTTACATATTTTCGATGCCGACTCGTGGTCCGCAACACCCTTCCTCCCACTTGTGTATAGAACCACTCATTCAAGATAGAGAGATAGTCTTTTTACTACACCCGTAAAAAAAAATTACCTCCCATACAGGCAAACAGAGGAAATGGACGAGAAAATGCATCTACTAAAGTTATCAACAACCGATGACCAATCATCAGAGCTCAATGATGATATCAACGACCTCGCGCGCCGCCATTTCGATGAGCAGTCACTGGTGACCGCTCGCTGGGGTTCTCAGATCGATGCCTTGTGTCAAACGCAGCGAGCGCAGCATCGGACCTGGCTGATGAACACTCTGGATGAGTATCAGACCACGTCAGCGTTAAATACACCCAGGTGATAACATATTTTTTAATTATTTTATTCTTCAGTCTACTAACGCCCATATTATAAACTAGCTTTTGCTCGCGGCTTCGCTCGCGTTAATTTATCCCCTTAGGGGTTGAATTTATCAAAATCCTTTCTTAGGGGATGCCTACGTCATCAGCTTTATGCATGCAAAGTCTCACCCCGATCGATTTAAAATTGACAAAGTTTCATACCAACTTTCATCCCCCAAACGATTTAAACGATAGAAGGGTTACCCCCTTGGGGGTAGAATTTATCAAAATCCTTTGTTAGCGGATGCCTACGTCATAACATCTACCTGCATGCCAAATTTCAGCCCGATCCGTCCAGTGGTTTGAGCTGTGCGTTGATAGATCACTACGTCAGTCACCTTCGAGTTATATATATTTAGATACCTTACAGGTTACATAAATGTCTGTGATTGTTAACAGCGATGTAAAAAGATAGTAACTCAGTACATTGTTTGCTCCAACCATTTGTTGTCTGGATCGTTATAGACCAGGGTAGGCGAAACAATTTCACGCGTACCATTGACGGTTTGAAGAAACTGACTCATGCTATTTTGACAATATCTTCACCTACCTATGCCTGCTAGTTATTATTTTCAGAGATGAATAACATTAAAAACTCTGTTAGAAACCGTTTGACAGATGAATCCAGTTCAGCATGCATTTTGCTAAAAGTAACATCGTACAAGCCTGACATAAATTATTTGTCATCTAACCTGCAGCAACAGAAGTCACACTAATTTTACAGTAATTTAATTTATGCGTGTAATGAAAACAATCCAAACTGAACCTCTTTTGTTTAATTTATTTCATAGAGAGTTTTGATAGTATTTATTATTATTATTCTCCAAATAATCGGAGAGTTAAAATTATTTGATGGCACCTCAATGACCTCATTAAACATTTTTTGGATAAAATGGCACGTTGATGCTTGAAGGTTCACCTACCCTGCTGTAGTCTATATTTACACATGAAATATCATTGATGACGGAGACCATGCAGGTCGTGCACACCTTTGTTCAGGATTGACGTTTAGTACCTTCTGGTCTTCTCATGACGTGGCCGTACCAGCGTCATCTGGACTCAGAAATTTTAATTTGAAATATATTTGTGCCCCTAACAGTAATTCCCCACTGGCGACGTTCTCCCCTGAGCGGCTGATGACACCAGCGATGGCGCCCCACCAGCGGATGGAGGAGAGCTTCACCATCCACCTCGGCAGCCAGCTCAAGCAGACCCACAACATTCGCATCGTCGCCATGGACCTCCTGGACTTGTGCACCGTGCAACACGTGGACAAGTTAGTTGGAATAATTATTTATTTATTTGCTTTATTGACTAATAATAAAATATGGTACATAAAAGAATGGATTTCATGCTATAGCATTCTCTACCAGTCAACCTTTGGGATGTGCAGAGATAGGTAGCAATAGATGCGGTTTAGCACACCACTTTGCGTACCGATGGCCGCGGGTTCGATTCCTCGCACGCAACATTTGTATTCATGAGTATGATTGTTTGTATCGGTCTAGATGCTATATATATTATGTTACATCCACTAAATAAGTATGTATGTATTTATATCTATGTATGTATGTATCTATATTTTTTTCTTCGACTGGCAACACCGACGACAATTGTCATTTTCAGCTGGCCGTAATAATAAATAAATTTTAATTGTTTATCATACAAATATTATAATTGCAATATTGTTATTAGTGATCTAATAGTGTAATTAGTGTCGATTGTTGTTTGTGTACAGTTTAGTGGTGTATTACTTGCAAAAATCGACATTACAAATAGTGTACCGGCCATCTGTCAAACTGTTCGTGAACAACTAAGTTTTATTCAAACTTATTTTGCAATTGTTTGTTGGATTTATCCCAAGAAACTCATAATCATTGCAAGTTTTACATAAAATATTCATATTAAGTTAAATTAATAATAATTATATTGAAGATCGGTTGTTGCATACGTCGAAGGAAAAAAATACCCACTAATTTAATTGTAAGTCTTTTTATACTTTGTATTATTATAATTTAAAGGGAAAGAGCACAATTTATCTACATTTATTTCGTTATTCAGTTAAAACGTTTATTTAGATTATCAATTTATCAAATATAACTTGTATATAATATACCTAGGAGAATTTATTCACAATTTTAACACTTAAACTGTATAGTAAGGTTCAGCTGCTGTTCTCGTTGTAATACTTAGCTTCTTTTAGAAATAGCTCACTTCACTCTCCCTAGTAACTATTTATATTCTTAATAATGTCACTATCTACCCGTTCCACAACTGCGCGGCAAACAGAGATGAAGCTTAAAGTGGCCCTACAAGAACTTCAGGCATCCAAAGATCTCAGTGACAAGTTGATCAGGGAAAGAGAAGAGAGTGAAGATGAAATTTTAAAAATTATAAATAAAAATACACAATTAAAATCTGAATTGTCAGAACTTTATAATAGTCATCAGGAAGTTATTGAGCAGCGGGATCAGCTTCAAGAACTATTAAGTAGCTTTCACCAATGTAGTGATACACATGAGCAAGCCTTGAGGCGTATCACTGAGTTGGAGCTTGAGTTAAAGCAGGCATATCTTAAAATTAATGATCTCGACACAAAATTTGAATCTCAACAAAGTAATGAGATTAGTAATTTATATGATGAGCTTATTAGTGTCGACTGTATGCCTCCTTCTACTTCAGTTCCATGCAGCCAGCCAGTTGTGATTGACCTTACTAGCGACACATCACAGGGGAACTATAATAATAACATATGTATGTTGAGTCATAATAAATTAAAAAAATATTTAAAATTAAAAAAGTTTATAACTAAGACTCGGAGTATATTATATAAACGTTCCAAAAATGGTCAGTTGCTAAAAAAAACTAGTTTAAACAATTTAAAATTGCATGATTATATTAATAAGTATAATAATAAACTAGTGGAAAGCCAAAAGTTATATGACATGGATACAAGTTACCTAACTTCAAAAATAAAGAGTTTAGAATCATCACTTCATGATTTAAATAACAAGTATACTATCTCACAAAAACAAATCCAGGAGCATATTTTAGCAATGGATGATTTGATTGATGTCAGTAAATACAATGCTGACCGTTTTGAGTCATTAACTAAACATTGTACATGTGATCATTCAACTTTGCCAAATAATAATTCAGTTTCAACTGTGCAGATAAATGAAGTTCAGGGGATTTGTGTCAGTGACTATACTCCTAAAAGTAGCACAATGGTGTTTTCTGACAGAATAGGCTGTAATTTTGGGTCTATATTGAAGTATCATCTTAAGGGTGATGTATTAAATTACTGTATGCCAGGGGCATCATTTGCACAAATTATTAACAAAATTAAATCTACTAAAATGAATAAAATGACCACAGTTGTGTTATTTTTTGGTAATAGTATTAAATTAAATAGACAGGATATAATTAAAGGTATTCAATATTTGTTACAATTGAATGTATATAAGATTGTATTGTGCGCTCTTCCTTATACAAGTAGCCATTATCATAAAAAAATTAACAATAAGGTACATTACCTTAATAATTTATTACATACATTGACATGTCGTCATAGTGACGTTTTTACATTTTTTGACACTAATAGTTTTATTAGTGATTTTTATTTGACAAAAGATACAATGTATCTTTCTAAATCTTCTAAGAATAAAATAGCCACTTTAGTGGCTTATAATATTGACTTCATGAACAGTTTACATGGTAAACTTCAATATAAAAATTGTGACATAACAAATGATTCTATTAATTTTTGTTTAAATAGTGATATAAGTAATTTGACTGCAGATTTAAACTGCTAACAAAGACAAAGGGAAAGCAATTAGAATTGGTAATTGTTCATCAGAACATACAAAGTTTTCCCGGCAGTGAATTAATTATACAATTATTTTTGGAAAAATACAATATTGACATTATCTGTTTCACACATCCTTATGTAAAGTGCGAATACTGTAACTACCATATAGTAATTTTTGTAGCTGTGACGTGGTCGTGTGGAATGAGTAGTCATGCTCACTAAAATGTCCAGACATGTGGCGGCGTGGTGGGCCGGGTCAATGGGCTCCCTAAAATATGGTCGAGCGCAGTGATGGCTGGCTCATCCGTCATACTCGTGAACGAGTGCTGCTTGTAGGGACTGGTCTGCTCTTATCACTACGACTGATTTAATCTTATTGCATATTTATATTTGACCCAAAAATTAGTGCTTGTTGGTAGTTTGTATTCACACGTTTCGACTTGTAAATGTAAACATACAAGAATTATTTAAAAGAGCAACACACAAGTTTCTTGCTCGTTCTTCTTGTGATGAGACAGCTTTCCGAACGAGTGGTAGATAAAAAACAAATTGTTATGACTATTCAAAAGTGCTTAAATTAAGTTTATTTGAATAAATGATTTTCTATTCTATTCTATCAGTCGTCTAGTACCCACAACACAAGCTCTGCCTAGCTTGGCACTAGATGGCGCTGTGTAAATTGTCCAGGGTTATTATTATAACATATTATGTGGTTGAATCGTATATTAGCTAATACAGACAATTATACACATGAATACAAATGTTTGTACCGTGCTAGGAATCAAACCCGCGACCACACTGGATCTGAAACAGTGTGCTAAACCGCTATACTCCCGCAGCCGATAGAAATAAAAATAATCTTTATTCAAATAAACTCATTACAAACACTTTTGAATAGTCATATTTTGATTCTACCACTCATTCGGAACGCAGATTCATCACAAGAAGAACGAGCAAGAAACTTGTGTGTTGCTCTTTTGAATAGATGTTTTTTTATATAAATAATTACAGCATAACAAGTAAGAGACATGCGATAATCAACATAGAAATCGCTACGCACTCATTATTAGTGTAATTAGATAGTATTGTCAGTGCTATGGATTTTAACTTTTCTATAAAAACATTATTATCGTTAAAGAATTCTTCAATTTTATAGTTAGCTTTTTTGCAAAGGAAGTGTTTTATATGACATTTTAATCTTTGAATATAAGGACACAAAATAATGATTTTTTGCTCTGACACTGCGTGCAGCCCTACGGAGGCATCTCGTCGGCTGCAGACGTCGCTGGCGCTGTACTCGGGCGAGCTGTCGGGCGTGGTGCTGCTGGCCCCCAGCGGAGCCCCCACCGCGCCCGCAGGGCTCCACGCCGCCGCCGCCGCCTCCGCCGACCACCACTTCCCGCCCCTCGACGTTCAGCTCAAGGATATCGCCGACAGGATCAAGGAACCGGTACACATTTCTTAGTAATGTTATAAGCGAGAAAGTTTGTGAGTATGGATGATTGTTACGTTTAATTGAATGACGAATAGTTGTTCATGCACTGGATTTTCATTTAATGTTAGACATAGACACCTATATATAGTAAATAAACTGGCTTTAAAAAAAAAAGTAATTCAATTGAGTTTCTTGCCAGGTCTTCTCTATTGGATCTATATACTGAACTGGACGATAGAGAAAAAATTGTAATGTATCTATAGATCCAATTAAGAAGAACTGGCAAGAAACTCAATTGAATTACTTTTTTTTTAAAGTCAGTTTATTTACAACGTATATTTATGTAGATGTCTATGTCTAACATTAAATGAAAATCCCGTGCATGAACAACTATTGCCATGCACGCTCGTCATTCAACTAACACTTATGAATGTAATGTGTACTGAGTAGCGTCATCGGTTACAGTTGGAGGCGCGAAACGTACAGCGAGCAGGGTCTGGGACTGGGTCAGGGTCTGGATCTCGGGGCGGGCGCCTGTCGGCCGGCGACGTGTACGTAACACGTCACAGCAACCTGGCAGACGCTCACCTCGTGTTCCACCTGGTCGCAGACGACGCTGCGCTGCGATCTGGTAATCATCACCTTCTTCATTACATTAATATTGTAAAACTAAGGTGAACTTTGCAAGTATTTCATAGGTGAAAGAAAAAGAATAAAAAAGATATAAATTTTATTTTCTTTTAAAAACATTTTTCTTCATGGGTTTTCTTTCTAGTGGATTTTTTTGCTATATGAGAATGTTCGTGTAATACTTTAGCAACATCCAAACAGCTTTCAATTTGCATATTAATTTTGGCTATTAAGACGGCAGATAATATTGCGACTTCTCACTGCTGCAATAATCATTCCCTAGTGAAAATATCCTATCAACAGCATCATTAATGCCTAAAACGGCAAGCAATATGCACGCGTGAAATTCAAATCACTATCAAAATAATTTTAAATATTTAATTAATGAAATTGAAATAAAATAATTAAAAAAAATGTTTTAGTAATTCAAATGAGTATGAAATTATACAAATGAGTACAGAGTACAAGATTTGAAGAGTACGGTTTGCGAAAAGAGTACAGAACTGACCAAATGAATATAGTTGGTCACCTTAGTAAAAACGAGCCTTAATATTGTCAACAATGGCGAGGGGTTTTCAAGCAGTAAGGCTTTATAACTCTTTTTTAGGGCAGGTTGCGTTGTTTTCTGTTGGAGCAATCTTTTTACAGTCTTTCAAACACAATATAAATTGTTTCTGAACAAATAAATATCAAAAATATTACTTTTAGAAATTTTCAACCGGAAGGAATTTATTGACTAAATTAGACTAATTCGGGGTGGTGGTCACAAGCGCTATTACAATAAGGGATTGTTAATAATGTGGACTAATAACGCCATTGTTGGCAATGTACCAAGTCAGACTGACCTTCACGTGGTTCCCGGAAACCATCGTGATAAATTCGTGATGATTGGCTAACTCCTCGTTCATCACGGCACCAGTGGAGCTTCTTTCCTCTACTTTTATCGGGTATACAAGGTGTGAGTGTTATCTTCTTGTACACTCGATTAAAGAAGAGAAATGAAATGATGAACGACGGGCTTTACCCAAGTGTGGGAGATAGTGGCCTTAGCTATATGTATTTATATATTTCATAAGAAAAAAATAGAATTACGGTTTTGGGTTATTAAGCCAAGTCTCGTTTTAAAGCGAATATATAATTGGTTCTCTGGGAGCAAGGTCTTTTTTATGGATGATAATGGAATGGTGCACCCGCCTGCGCTAACGGTCAACGTTGGCTGGGCACCAGTGGAGGGTGATAAGATGAACAAAAAATCAGGTCAGTTAGACCATCGTGACAAATTCACCAGCAGTTTATCACCATGGTTTCCAGGGGGAACTGCTTGCTGCTCAACCTGAATGGTACATTGCAAAGAGATCATCAGTTCACATTACTAACGATCTCCATTTCCCCCTGGGAGAGAGGTCACGTGGTACATGGTGTAAGTGTACAAGTAACAAGTGTGTTCCTGCAGGAGACATCACGTCGCGCCACCCGGCCATCCTGGGGCTGCGCAACATCCTGAAGGCTGCGTGCTGCAATGACGTCACCACCATCTCCCTGCCGCTGCTGCTGCGACATGATCTCGACGAGGTATGGTAACCAGTTCATAAGTACTAAGATGTGACTCCAGTCAATCAGAAATTTTTTTACTAGTAACCAGTTCAGTACTTGTTTTCTAAGAGGTAACCCCAAAGAGTCTGGCTCTCCTTCATTAGTAACCAGTTCACTAAGTGTGTTCTAAAAGGTGACCTCAATGAGTCTGGGTCTCCTTCACTAGTAACCAGTACACTAAATGTGTTCTAAGAGGTGATCCTAATGAATCTGGGTCTCCTTCACTAGTAACCAGTTCACTAAGTGTGTTCTGAGGTGATCCCAATGAGTCCGGTGCTCGTTCACTAGCAATAAATTGTATTAAGATGGGTGTGTGCGCGTGTCAGGAGACGACGGCGGCGTGGTGCGGGCGGCGCGCGGAGCTGGTGCTGAAGTGCGTGAAGGGGTTCGTGCTGGAGGCGGGCGGGTGGGGCGGCGCCGAGCTGCGCACGCTGCAGTTCGCCGCGCCGCCCCGCACCGCGCCCGCGCTCTTCATGGCGCTCGCGCACCACCTGCCCGAGATCTTCCGCCTCTCCAACCCCGTCAAGGTGAAGCCGCCCCCCTAGTGCCCCACTCCCTCCCCCTCCTAGTTCCGCCCCCGCGCTCTTCATGGCGCTCGCGCACCACCTGCCCGAGATCTTCCGCCTCTCCAACCCCGTCAAGGTGAAGCCGCCCCCCAGTTCCGCCCCCGCGCTCTTCATGGCGCTCGCGCACCACCTGCCCGAGATCTTCCGCCTCTCCAACCCCGCCCGGTGAAGCCGCCCCCCTAGTGCCCCACATCAACCCTAACGCTCCAAATATTATATAAAGAAGACAACGTCCACATGGTCCTTTTGTTTTTTTAATCTTATAACCATGTTAGTAAATATAATATATTGATGTAAATATTAAGATCTCTTTACTCTTGTATCTTCCAATAACAGTTTTAATTGTAAATAGAATTTTAATAATTTTTTTTTTATCTTAGGACAATTCACACAGCGTCATCTAGACCCAAGTTAAGCTAACTAAAGCTTGTATTATGAGTACTAGACAACTGATACAAATACATAGATTTTTTTCGTAAATATATACATATTATACATAGAAAACACCCAGACCGATACAAACAATCATACTTATGAATACAAATGTTTGTGCTGTGCGAGGAATCGAACCCGCGACCATCGGACGTAAAGAGATGTTCTAAACCGCTAGACCACCAAGGTTGTATCTTTAAACTTTCAGATAATCGAATATACAATTAAAAGACAATTATTCCATATCATATGATAGCCGATACTACTTACACATACTATATTTTATGCTTTTATAAAACTGTACTGTGATGTAAATATAAAGTATGCCCAATAAATACTATATTATATAAACCATACCTTTTATTGTGTCCTAGTCAGTAAAATGAATAAAAAAAATAGTTAGACCCACACAAAATGGAGTGATATTAGGGTAGTGGCAGGTGTTCATGTGGAACAGAGTGGCTCAAGAAAGAGGAGAATGGAAACGATTGGAGACCTTTGCCGAATGGCAAACAGATCTGCAGAAATTATAAAAGAAGCAAATACTAGAACATTTCTTTCGTGTTTAAGTTTTGTTTCTTTATATGTATGTAAAGGCTATCTGTACATATAAATAAAATTGGAGTGTCTGTTTGTAATATTGAAAAAACCATTTTTTACTACATGCATATGAATATAAACACCAAAATAACATTATCTACAATTTTCGTCTGTCTGTTTGTTCTGGCTAATCTCTGAAATATATTCCTATTTTGACGGGATTTTTTTGGCAGGTAGCTTATGTAATAAGGAGTAACTTAGGGTAAAAAAATAAAGTTAAATACCACGCGGACGAAGTCGCGAGTAAAGCTAGTAATAAAACTAGACTCGCGGTTGCGTGTCAAAGCCGAGTTTTAAGTACAATGGTCTATCCTGAAATGTATTTATAACAATATATAATATTATTTCTTATAACTTAGGATAATATATATACTGTAGCCTTCGCAAGTTCTAAACATGTTACTTGTCGGTTCCTATTTTATTATTAGTAGTAATTAGCAATCGAAAGTAATAATTGATATATGAGAACTGGCCAAGTTAGACCTTAGGCTACAGTATATTATCCTAAGTTATAAGAAAAACTTATATTTTATATTGTTATAAATACATTTCAGAACAGATCATTGAACTTGGCACCCATTTAGATCTTTTGTCGTAGAAGTCAACAATCAAGGCATATATCATAATATTAAACTCGGCTATCATTTCACATTTATGTTTTTGATGGGATATAATAATAAGAAAAGTAAAATAAACAGCGGGAGAGCTTAAAAAATTAAAAAATGAGAGTAGTAGTAAAATGAGAGTAAAAAATGACAAACTGAAGACGCCACATAATGAGATAAAATAAAACATTAATATTGTGTTTCACAAATTTTATTTTAAAACCATTAATACAATAATATTCTTTATTCGAATCTGAATCATAATTTATATATCTAATTAAATCTAGAACATAAAAATTGTTATACAACATTGTTCCCATTTTGTATTTTCAATAAATGTTTAATATTAAACAATTTTTCAACACACTTGCTCGTAAAGTGAATCGAATCACCGATATATAAAGCAGGTCTTAAAACACGTGTGCGTTATAGCGAATAGAGAAGTTATATTCCATAACCGCATTTATTTTTTTTAATTGGATTGTTTGGGCTATTGTCAGATGTGTAGCACCTGTAGCACTGCGACCTTACATAGATCTATTGTGCTCGCCCTTTTCAGAGTTCGCTACCTAGACCCGTCAGGGACAAGAATTGAAGGATATTCTTAGGAGCGATCGTTTTTATTCATCAATCATCATCATCATATCAATTTTAAGGTCTGTGGCAGGCAGATACTGCAAGCGACCTCGCATTATTTTCCTTTAGTTTTATCAAATTTTGAAGAGACAGCCGCGCGGCTATAACTTTTGATTTACAAAAGTAAAACAGTGATAAAGCAACAGTGTGCATCCATTTTAAGGTCTGTGGCGGCGACTAAGCGACCTCACGCTTGAGGCCCCCCTTGGGCCTAGGAAAGTTTTTAATTATTTAAAATTTAGTTATTCAGTTTTATTTATTTACATACATTTGCTCGAATTAAGAGAGTCATCAGTACTTTACGGAATTTAAATATATCCAAATGTTTATATAACAATTAGAATCACTCTCACAGTTCCCGTGAGTACAGCTTCCGCTGAGAGAAGCATCTCAAAGTTAAAATTTATTACGACCTACTTGAGAAGCACGATGAGTCAAGAGAAAACTGCGTTATCAGTTCTATCAATTGAAGCTGATACAGCGGGTAGTGTTAGCTATGACATAATCCTGAAAAGTTCAGTGAGGCCAAAAGCCTACAAGTTCATCTATTTTTATTTCTATTTGTGTAATTTTTATTATCATTTGATTAGCAATAAATCTCTTTCACTCATACATTAGTTTAACTATAATTCTGTTTCTGTAATTTAACGTTTTCTTGACTGAAAAAAAGGCATCGCGAAACCTAATTTCGCCGACGTCTTTACGTCGCCGACGTTTTATGGTTGAGTTTATTTACAATCAAGTGTGTTGAAAAACATCGTGCGATATACGTGCGTATTTAGCACACTCAGCTCTATTACGCCCTCGACCTCGGGTCGAGCTGAAATTGCGCCTCGTGTGTTATAATTATCATGAAGATGGATTTATATTTGTCTGATGTGTCGTGACGTGATGACTAGTTGATGATCTTTTCACATTTATATGTCATGTTCTGAGGCCTTCTGATGCTATTTTCAATAAATACCGTCGTAGCTCTAGGAAATATGTAACTCTAACTCGTCATAACACAACACAGGTTTGTGTACATTTGTCTGACGAGTCTTGACGCCCCGTTCCCACACCCCTCTGCTCTGAGTCTACTGGGATCAATGGCTTCTGATGAACAACAGAAGCCATCACAACACATTACGCATTACTAGTGTGAACGTTACCATACTAAATGTACTGAACGGATACCGTTCTGACACGTCATATTACGACACATCCAGTGGCGTAGTTAGGTAACCAAGGGCCTGGGGCAAAACCAAAAACATGGCCCCACTGCTCAGCAACCCACACACATTACAGTTTTATGAAAACGCACATATCGCTATCCGTCAAATTAACAACACTGCCAACTCACAAAGATTTTAGAGTAAATTCGAAGATATAACTTTCGAATTTCTCTCAACTTTGCCACGATTATAGTCGGGTTTCAACCTGTCATATTTATTTTGAAAATGGGAGAAATTTTGAAAAGTTCAGGTCGATCTAAATTTCCTGGTAAGGGTTCGAGGGCTCCCTGAGAGCCCCGGGACACTGCCCCGCCTAGCCCTCAGGTAGCTACGCCACTGGACATATCAGACAGCTATAAATCCAACTTAACACACTTATATCGTAATATACTATTATTGCCTATATAATTTTATGTGCGTTATGTCAGCACCATAATTACTTTCCACAATACAACTAAAGAACATTCCAAATTGTAAAACAATACAAACTAAAATAGAAACGCAGTACTAAAGCAATACCACCAACAATACAATTCTGTGAAACATATCGTTTCACAGTGTACCTGATATTTAATATATAAAATTTATAATCTTCTATCAATATTTCATTGAAAATATATGCAATTCACTTCTTAATTTTAGTGGTTGTATCACTTTATACCACTTATTAATATTAGACATATTAAGAGCACTCCTGCAGCAGTAAACGGTAGCACGAAAGTGTGTTCCACAAACTTACACTTCATGTAAAAACTACGTGTCAGTACTAAACTAGATCCTACACAATATATATATCGATATCAAACTTCTTCCAGCACTAAAATAACATATGTAATGCTGTTCTTATTATTGCTTTAAATTTAAACATATTTTATGTAACAACTAATTATTCTTTATTCTGAATACACAGCACTGCGTTTTAGAAAGACTTGGTGTCATCTTTATGAACACAAAAGCGAAATTAAACATATACATACGACTAAAATATAAGAGCTTGCTAAGTTTTCATGCGTGGAATAGGGATGCCCGAGATTTATCGATGTTTAGTAAACATCGACGTTTCTTCGAGGAGAGAGAGACAAGTTCTTAGCATTTTATGAATTGCCGTTCCATCACATAGCAGCAAGTTTCAACCAGATCTCAAGACTTATCACAACTACAGGTTTAACATAAGTGTAAAAAGCAAGTCAAAAGACTTGCAGCCTAAAAATACAATGACACTGATATCTAAATTATCGACATTTAGCGACACGACAGTTATCGTACATCAATATTTATAGAACAATGTTTTTTTAATATCGGTCATCCCTAACTAGTAGTACCTACACACCATCTATTTCCATAGGGGCTTCCATTAATCAAGCCACACAACTTCCATGATTTTTTGACTCCGCTGTCTTGTTCTTGTCACACCTGTCTAATATTTGTAACAAACCCCCTCTAGTGGACATCGCATACTGTGCAAATACATTTTTGTTTTTCGGTAATATTTCATACTTCTGTTAATAGTAAATGTCGTAGTGTTTAATGTTCGAGTTGTGAACTTGTTAAGGTTGGATTCTAAAGGACTTGTACTCAGAGCCGTAAAACATAAATAAAAAAAGTCCTACCCACCTCTTCACGAGTGACGAAATTTCTAGATGCCCCCTATATCAGTAGTTATGTCAGTAACTCTCAATTGCAATTGAATGAAATGTGATTACGATTTTATATAAACCATAGACTTTATAGCATGTCTGTATATGATCACAAAAATAGATTTTAATCTGTTTTAAATGAGAATTGTGAGCAAGCAAATTACATAATTAAATAAAAAAAAAACCCCGTATTATCAATACTAATTTAGAATTAAAAAGCCAACCAGGGAAATGCTGTTAATGCCTTAACTATAATAAAGAAATATGCAACTATTTGCTAAAACTACAATATAAAATAATTAAAACTAAATTTTAAATTGATTAAGAATTATACCTACTTATAATTTTGGCAACATTATAATAAAATGACGATTAATGAGGTCATGGTATAGTCTGTATTCAAAAAAGGGCGGGAAACACAAAGTTTGGCGGTCGTATTTTTGGAGTATTAAATTATTAATATTTGAATATTGATCAGATAAATTGTAAATAGTGTATTTTTCATTACATTTATCTATTATTCATTAGTTTATTAGTAGCAACAAAATTAGGTAAGTTTCTGTATTTTATTATATATGGACCCACCGGAGGACCTCGGGGTACCGCCCCCGAGGTCGCTCTACACGTAACTATAAGTAATAATGAAGATTCCATGGACACAGACTGTTCATTATTTATATTATTAACCGGGTCTTAACACGAACTCATTTTATGGCAAATATAGGTATTTACCTTTCTCGACTAGGTTGCACTAGCCGTGGTCACGAGCTGACTGGAATAACAGCGATGTCACTAGATTATTCAACGAAAGTTCGAGAAACACAGCAATCACGGTATCCGCACACTGCGAGTGCTGTGTGTCGCGAACTTTCGTTGAACAATCTAGTGACGGTAGATGAAAAAACTGCTGTCACCACACCACATTGACATCGCTGTTACTCCAGTCAGCTCGTGCCAAATGTAGTGAACATTTATGAATACATTAACCAAAACGTTATTAATTTTGTGTCAATACCTGTTAAATAAACCGCCATATTTTAGTGTTAACTGATACAAATCGCTAATTAATATTAATTACCGATTTTGCCTCAACACTATTTAAGAATCGCAAAAAAACTGGCAACAGATAATGCCAAATTTATCTCCGAGATAAAAAAACAGAGTATAGTACTATTTTTCTGACGGCGGAGTCACGGTTGTATGGTAACTCGTCTCCGACAATGGTGCCTATAAGTACACCGTGTGGTTTTTTTGGTAAGAATCACATACACCCCCTCGTCACCCCTCTGACAGGATGATTGTCATTTGAAGATTTTTCACACGATAAAAAAAACATTTCTCTATACCATATGCGCTGTAGAATGGTGCCGGTGACAGTTTCAGTAACGTTTCACTCTTGAAAGTAGCCGCGATTTACAAATTATGACTTAGTATTTCAGCTGTACCACATTTGTAATATATTAAATCATTAATAACTGTAGCAACTTAATTTTAACCCAGCCAGAATGTTCCAGTCTACAAATACAGGCGACTGTCAGCCGCACCGTGCTACAGTGCATATAGTATAGTTATATTTTATACAACGCGTAACAAAACGTAATGCTTACTCTCAATGTAGAAAGTTAAGTACAGATTATACTTCTGATGTAAGTAAATTGCAAATTGTAAGTAAATTGCTTAAAAGGTTTATACTTCAACTATTTATATTCTTATAATATAGAGTTGCCAACCGTCCTGTTTTCCCAGGACATGTCCTAGAAGTCCTGGGAAGTCCTGAATAGTTATAGCCTCTTATTTACTGATTGTCAACAGTATAATTTTATCAAATACTTTTTATTAAAACCTGATTATATTAATTGCTTGAATTTTACTACATATTAATATAATTATATGCAACACTATTACTGCGTTCTGTTTTTAAACTGAATGGGATTATTTTTTAAATTTGGGTTTGGCAACCCTATTTTGATAGTAATGTTGCTAATGTAAGTGATTACCGGTCGCCATTGAGTTAATGCAACACCAGACGGATTGCAGTAATTTCCTTTCCTGAATATCTTACCCTATAAAATTTATATGTATATAAAATTCTCGTGTTGCGGTGTTTGTTACAAAACTCATCCGAAATGGCTTTACCGATTTACCGTAGTAGGTGTCAGGCGGCCAACATCTATTTTTCAAACTCCTCTATAAGGTTACAAGGTCTATAAGGATAACTACCCCTAATTATTATTTTTATTTTTTGAAAATTTTCTTTTTTTTATGATTCCTCATTAAAAAATGCATATAAACCTAAATTTTCAATCTTCTACAATAAACCCCTAATTTTAATAGCGATTTTAATTGATATGGCAAAACGGGGGTCAATTATGAATTACAATCATGTAAGGATCTAACACACGACTATCAGAAGCTGAGGCAGTGTATTACACCCCAGACCTACAAGATCGTCTATCCCTGGTGTTTCACACGACCATAGGCTACGGTAGCCATCTATCATCAGATGGGCCGTATGCATGAATGCTGAATATCGTGGTACAATAAAAATACATCAGTATTCTGTGCAGAACACTGTTAGATTGCGTTAGTTCTGTTAGGCATTGTACAATTCACATGTCAAGAAGTAATATCAACGTCATCCATAAAAAAAAACTAGATATTAATATAAAATAAAGGTCTGCCTATAAAATTGAGAACACATTAAGACACCGTATCACACCTGAACGTCAAATATCATCAGAATCCTAGTTATGAATACTTTAAAAATTCTCCAAAAATAAAGCTGTTCAGGAAACATCTGGAACAAAAAGGAAAAAGTTTTGGTATATTTTTTTACTTTTTATATAGTCCTTAAGTATAGAATAGAATAGAAAGTCATAACAATTTGTTTTTTATCTACCACGTTCGGAAAGCTGTCTCATCACAAGAAAAACGAGCACTTGTGTGTTGCTCTCTTAAATAATCCTTGTAAGTTTACATTTACAAGTCGAAACGTGTGAATACAAACTACCAACCAGCACTATTTCCATTTTCTGGGTCAAATATAAATATATAATAAGATTAAATCCGTCGTAGTGATAAGAGCAGACCAGTCCCTACTAGCAGCACTCGTTCACGAGTATGACGGATGAGCCAGCCATCACTGCGCTCGACCATATTTTAGGGAGCCCAATGACCCGGCCCACCACGCCGCCACATGTCTGGACATTTTAGTGAGCATGACTACTCATTCCACTCGACCACGTCACAGCTACAAAATTACTATATGGTTATATATATAGTTATCCTTACTTATGATATAAATGCGAAAGTAACTCTGTCTGTCTGTCTGTCTCGCTTTCACGCCAAAACCATTGAACCGATTTAAATTAAATTTGGTACACAGATAGTCTAGACCCTGACAAAGGACATAGGCTACTTTTTAATGTGAAAAAAGGGATGCAAGGGGTTGAAAGGAAATATGAAAGGTTCTATGGAAGTATCGTCATTTTACGCAGACGAAGTCGCGGGCGCAGCTAGTAGTTACATATATAGTGCATCTGTCTGTGTGTATAGATTACACATAAAAACTGTCATTAGAAATCTATGACTGACCTTATTGTAAAATTTGTACTCGTTTGGCCGTGTTACCGCATCACGGGGTTACCTCTTCCCGCCGCGACCTGATTTACTGTTCCCTGCAGAAACAATTTTTATAAATAGATAGATAGATAGATAAAAAAAATATTCTCGTTAAAAGCACACACACACAAGGCACTGTAATAATAAGAACAAAAATAAAAACACAACAAATATACAGATAAGATAAAACGCAATACAGTTAATAAAAAAAAACGTCATGAGTAACGTAGTGTGTGTGCATAGCCCATATGCAAAAAGGCAGCACTTCAGTGTATTGTTTACTGCATACAAGCAACAAACCACTGATATTCAAGCACTGCCCAGAGACACGCGAGGACGCATGTTTTAAAACCACTAGTTATAATGATGACTTAGGCCCTGATGCTGGCCATCGATGGTTCAGGGAGAGAACCTCGACTAATAAACTCTCCAATGCCTACAATACTCACAATTACCTATCTCTTATTTGTTTTTATAATAATAAACTCCCTAAAAAATTTTCGCTCCAAACTCCCGCTACGTAACTGAGGTACATCCGTCAAATCTACTTGTCCATGTCATAAAGATTATTTAAGCCCCTACCGTTTCGTTTACTCTTACTCTTCAGGTTACTCTGTCTCGTTCAACACGCAAGTTTCTTGCTCGTTCTTCTTGTGATGAGACAGCTTTCCGAACGAGCGGTAGATTAAAAAATGTAATGACTATTCAAAAGTGCTTCAATGTAAGTTTATTTGAATAAATGATTTTCTATTCTATTATCTGAGTGCCTTAGATAAAAACATGATTATTGACTTTACCATTTTCAATTAATGGTGTTTCACACGATAGTTAACACATGTAACAAGACCACAGCTTCAAATCAGGCCTATTACATTATCATAAATAGTAATATAATAAAAAAACTATAATAAAACAAGTAATAGATACAACATATAGGCATAAAATATATAGAAAATTATTATCAATTGGTATAATAAAATAAATATGAAAAACAAAAGAGAAAATAAACTTATTGCATGCTTCTCAATTGGATCTATATACTGAACTGGACGGTAGGGAAAAATTATAGTATAAAAAATTGAGGTTCATAGGCAGCTAAAATGTCCTACATGAATAAATGATTTTTGAATTTGTATTACCTTGCGTAGCTCTTGTTCGGCGTGTGTTCCCCGCCCCTTCCACCGCGCGGGGGACGGCGGCTACTTCCGCCTTGCGGCTCCTCTTCGCCGGCGGTTGCTTCTTATTTGATTCTAGAATAATATATAATCATTGTAATCTGGATGTGAATTGTTAGTAAGATGAACTAATTATTCTATTGCTAGCAATAGAAATAGAAATATAAATAATCTTACTTCTAAATAATAAACTTAATATAAGCACTTTTGAATAGTCAAGTTTTTTTTATTCTACCGCTGTTTCGTCGCGAACTTTCTAGATTAATTTTATCGTTAGTTTTTTTTTTTTATATATACCCTCAATATCGATGTTTATTACTCGCAACGCATAGCAATAGCAGTCGCACAAGCTGCCATGCACCACGCCCAGTTGTATCTGTGACTACGGCGCGAGTGTATGTCTATCGTTTCGAAAATTATCTCTGCATTCAACCTCACCTCACGTCTTCAAAGACCGGATCTACCGAAGGTGGATGTTCATCGAAGGCATTAGCAGAACAAGGTACGTGTGTGCATTATATTTGCTATTGTCAACGAGTTTTTTAGAACATCGATTTATTCGTATACGTAATAGTCCCTATGTAGCATAAAGCCACCGCTATTTCGGATTGGTGCGAATGCTACATCTTTCTGGTGCCGAAACCCGGGACATTCCGCCTATTCGGGTTGTTGTGGTATTTTCTGGTTAAAGTGTAGGTTTTAATCTTACAGGCATATAATCGCTATAAAAGTAAATATATATATATCGATATAAATATCCTGTGATCAATTTATACGCTCGTATATACTACCGCACAGGTTAGGTATAAACCGTGTTCTTTGTGTTTACACAAATAGATAATTAATTTGTGTTTATTTTCTAATCGATACCTATCCTATCTTCACCCTACCTTCAAAGCGGTGTGAGCACGAAAACCGGTATTTGTTCTATTGTTCATCTAACAATTTATCGTATTTAATTTCTTTTTTTTTACTTATCATTTCGTATGAGTATATCTTACAATTATTATTTATCGTTTTATATTCACGCTCATACTCTAGAGATAGACCGAGGCGCTAACTAATTATAATTAATATTATAATATCACGCTTATTTTATTTCGGAGCGGACAAATTAATTAACTGTTTTATTTGGGATATTATAACAATTTTAAATTCACGCCTAATAGATTGGGGTTGACAGAGACTACAAATTTTTTTTTTTTTTTTTTTAATTTTTTATCGTGTTTAATTAAATCGTGTTTTTTTTTTTTATTAATTAACTCTTTTATATAATACAAATAATCATGTCACTTTTAACGAAGCACACTTCTCGTAAAGTAGGTACTTTGAAAAAATCGAAATCGAAATCTATCGATAATGATTATACTGTACAGGACTTAGCGTCATTGCGCAGAAAACGGACTATTGCTTATGAACGGTTGTCTAAGGCGTTGGAAATCGGTAAATTGGCTTTAAGTGATAATTCTCAGCTTGATTTGTTTTTATCATATCATCAGGAAGTTAAACAAATCGCATCAAACTTCGAAGACGCTCATTTTGTAATTATTCGTTTATTGGATGACGAGGAAATCGATGATAACGAAATACAAGAATCTTTTGATGATATATATTTTCAGGTGTTGTCAATACATCGTTCTTTAACTAAAAATGACTCGTCCCATATCCCAAAAGGCTCATCATCAAATATTCGTTTACCTAAACTCGTCCTCCCGAATTACTCGGGCAATATTAAATTATTTCCCGAGTATATTGATACATATAACGCATTGATACATAATTCTACTTCTCTTTCGGATACCGAAAAGTTTCATTATTTGATATCTTCTCTGAGCGGCGATGCATTGGCTGTAGTGAAGACTTTTCCTATGTCTCACGAATATTATCGGGATGCGTATGAAGCACTTGTTGCCCGTTATAAGTGTAAACGGACCTTAGCTTTCACGTGTTGGAGAGATATTCTCAGTATCCACTTTAAATATACTAACGCCTATGAATTTCAAAAATCATTAGATCAGTTTGAGGAGAATTTAAGTATTTTAAAAACACTTGACTTGCCAACTGCACATTGGGATTTCGTTCTAGTTTATCACATTTTGTCGAAATTAGATAAAGACCTACGCCGAAGTTTTGAAGAAAAATACTCTGACATTGAATTACCATCATATGATCAGCTCAAAAGGTTTTTGCGATCTAAATGCGAAGCATTACTGCGCGATACTCATTTTTTGGACTTGCATCAAACAAATAAATCTTTTCTCAAAACCGGTACGCCTATGCAGTTTCAGCCCAAACGGATGAACGTGTCACATACACTTATCGCCGCAACTGATGCCACACCCGCTGACAACAAAAGCGGTTTGTACTATGCAAAATGTTCATATTGCAATGAGACACATTCTATATCATCATGTCCCGACTTCCTTCAAAAATCACTTGAGGAACGTATGAAAATTGCCAATGACAAACATTGGTGCTTTAATTGTCTGAAGCCCTCTCATCAATTAAAAAACTGTACTTCTATTTTCTCGTGCCGCACTTGCAAACGTAAACACCACACCTTACTCCATCGCGATAAAACTATCGAATCAAATCCTATCTCATCTTTGGTTTCAAGGTCTGAATCAAATACAACTGTATTACTGGCAACTGCAATCGTTCAGGTTAGAGATGCTTCAGGTAATCTGCAATCGTTTCGAGCCTTATTCGATACGGGAAGTCAAAGCAATTTCATAACGGAATCGGCCATGAATCAGTTAAAGCTAAAACCACGTCATTCAAACGTGAGCGTTTCTGGACTGGGAGAAGCAGAAACTTCTATAACTGGAGGTATCACGTGTTCCATAGCTACTAACGATCGTGTTGTATTTGATACTGACATGTACGTGATTCGAAAAATTTGCGGTGATCAACCAATCGCTCATTTGAATACATCAAATTGGTCACACATTCAATCGCTGCCGTTAGCCGATCCTGGTTTCGATATTCCAGGACCAATCGATATCTTGTTTGCTGCGAACGTATTTGTAGATTCGCTTCTAGATCAACACCTCAAGGGTGGTGTTAATCAACCTACGGCGTTTAATTCTATTTTTGGGTGGTTACTGTTAGGTAAAACTTCATTGTCATCTCATACGCTTTTGCATTCAGTTCCAAATATAGATATCGATTTAAATTCTCTCGTTCAACGCTTCTGGGAGCTGGATTCCTTACCGTCTTCTTCAAGATTGACTCCAGACGACGAGTTATGCGAAAAGAAGTTTATTAATGATCACACTCGAGACATCTCTGGACGATACATGGTTCGCATCCCTTTCAAGGAAAATACGGAACCTATTTTTGAAGGTTCTCGAAATCTCGCTTTGCGAAGATTTTATGCAATCGAACGAAGACTTTCTCGAGATTCCAACTTGCGTTCTCAATACACAGACTTTATGAGCGATTACATTGATAGTGGACACATGTCACTTGTCCCAGCAAACGAAGTAGGTTTAGGAAATACTACATCCCTCATCATTGCGTTTTACGTCCTGATTCTACCACTACTCGTCTTCGAGTTGTTTTCGACGCTTCGGCAAAGGATTTAAATCATCGGTCCTTGAATGACACTCAACTCATCGGGCCTAAACTACAACCGAATATTGTATCAATTCTTTTGCATCTCCGGGAACATAAAATAGTTTTCATGGCTGACGCTCGACAAATGTATCGACAAATTCTTATATCCCCTGACCACCGTGACTATCAACGCATTTTTTGGAGAAATACGCCGAATGAGACACTTCAAGAGTATCGTTTGAACACAGTCACTTATGGGCTTGCTTCGTCTCCATATCTCGCATGCCGTACTTTACGACAGTTGGCTAAAGACTGGGGAAACTCATACCCGCTTGCTAAACAAATCATTTTATCGGATATTTATATTGACGATGTTGCTACTGGATTTCAATCACTAGAAGCTGCTCAAGAAGCAAAATCACAACTCATTGCTCTTTTTAGTCATGGATGTTTTCAACTTAGGAAGTGGATAAGTAATGATATGCGATTACTGTCGGATATTCCTAAAGAAGATTGTTTAATGGGTTCCGTATCGCTTGACAACACAGAAAGTGGCATTTTTAAAGTTTTAGGTCTCAAATGGGATCCCTCGTCTGACAGTTTCCTTTTTGAAATACAGTCTTTAGATCGACCATGTACCAAACGTTCGATTCTTGGCGAGCTTGCTCGTATTTTTGACCCCTTAGGCTTTCTTTCTCCTGTTACGATCCAAGCTAAATGCTTGATTCAGAAACTTTGGGTTCTCGGCGTCAGTTGGGACGAAACTCCACCTGTTGAAGTTGTTAACTCCTGGAATACCTATCGCGAGCAATTACCATTGTTAGGTGCACTCAAGATTCCACGGCGATTTACATGTACTGATGCGAGATCATGTGAACTGCACGGCTTCTGTGACAGTTCAGAGGCGGCTTATGGAGCAGTTATTTATCTACGTGTTTCTGATTCAAAAGGCAAAATCAATGTATTTCTTGTCTGTTCTAAAGCTCGTGTAGTACCTTTAAAACGTACCTCGTTACCTCGACTGGAACTCTGTGCAGCTGTACTTCTGTCGGACTTATATAAATTCGTACATGACGCGTCCATAATTAATATAAAAATTGATGCTACCTATTTTTGGTCTGACTCGACAGTCGTTCTTTCTTGGTTGCGCTCTCATTCTTCTCGTTGGGCCACGTTTGTAGCTAACCGTGTCAGTCATATTCAAGATATTACACCTGCTGAATGTTGGCACCATGTGTCCTCTGGAGATAATCCAGCGGACATATGTTCCCGTGGACAGTTTCCCAGTGAAATTGTCGGCAATGAGTTATGGTGGGCGGGACCTTCATGGTTATCGAAGGATTACACATTCTGGCCTCCTTCATCGATTACAATAACATATGAAGATAAAAGTGTTATGGAAACTGAAACACGAAAATCCATTGCTTTAACGTCAAACACTATCATTGATCCTACAAAGTCTGAAGATATAATCAATAGCTCGCTAAATCGTTTCTCATCATTGTCAAAACTTATTAACGTTTTTACCTATATTTATCGATTTATCAATAATACTCGCAACCCTAATCAGGCCAATCGTAATTGTTACCTGAATAACGTCGAAAGACATAATGCATTAATGCGTATTGTTAAACACGTACAAAATGAATCGTTTGTTAATGAAATTTTATGCCTTAAATCTCAAAAATCGTTACCTAAACCGTTTCGGAAACTCAATCCGTTTATCGATAATCAAGGTATCCTCAGGGTGGGCGGAAGAATATCGCGATCTGGTTTAGAATATGAACAAAGACACCCTGCTTTTCTACCATCCAATCATCAGTTAACGTCATTGATTATAGATTTTATCCATCGTAACTATTTACATCCAGGTATAAATACTACAAATTTTTTATTACTGCAACAGTTTTGGATCGTTTCCGCAAAACGTATCATACGTCGTCAATTAGCGAAATGTATACAATGTTACCGAACTAATCCACGACCTCTACAACCTTTTATGAGCAATCTTCCATCTTACCGTGTTAACCAAGTGAAACCCTTCTCGGTCGTCGGTGTGGATTTTGGTGGGCCTTTTAGAATAAAGCTTGGTTCTCATCGGGGTGCTAAGATAGATAAAGCATATCTCTGCTTGTTTATCTGTCTGGCCACTAAAGCGGTACACCTCGAGGTGGTGTCGACACTCTCCACTGAAGGCTTTGTAGCTGCTTTGCGTCGTTTCACAGGACGTCGTGGTAGATGTAATGTAATACATGCGGATTGTGGTACTAATTTCGTTGGTGCTAGAAACCAATTGTCAACTTTAATGGAGCAAGCGTCTAGTGCACAAAAAATTGAATTCAAATTCAATCCACCATCAGCTCCGCACTTCGGCGGGGTGTGGGAGATTCAAATTCGGGCAGCCAAATCTCATTTATATCGTGTGGTCGGTAATCAAGTTTTAACGTTCGAAGAGTTATCTACTCTTTTTATACAAATTGAATCAGTATTGAATTCACGGCCACTATGTCCCATTAGCTCTGACCCTAACGATTTATCAGTTTTAACACCTGGACATTTTCTCACTTTAGAACCTCTAACAGCTGTTCCTGATGAAGATCTATCAAATACTAAAGTTACTCGGCTTCATCGATGGCAATTGTTACAATCTTTTCATCAACATTTTTGGTTCAGATGGAAGCACGAATATCTTAATTCTTTAACGCAACGAGCCAAATGGACCAAAGATTCTAAACCGTTAAGTATCGGTTCGATGGTGATTATCAAAGACGATAATCGTACTCCATTGCATTGGCCTCTAGCTCGAGTTGTTAATCTATTGCCAGGAGCCGACGGAATCGCTCGGATTGCCATAATCCGAACCGCGAACAATCATACAATGCAACGACCACTAGTTAAGTTATGTCCTTTACCTATAGAGGATTAACCAAAATCGTTGTCTTTTAGATTTCTATTCTTTTTTTTTTTTTATATTTTTATTTTATTTATAGTTATAGTTTCTTTCATCGTCATTTCGTTTCTAAGATGTCTGTTTAACAATGTTACATTTTTTTTTTTAATAACCAGAAAATACCATAGGCATTTTGGTAGGCGGGATGTTTCGTCGCGAACTTTCTAGATTAATTTTATCGTTAGTTTTTTTTTTTATATATACCCTCAATATCGATGCTTATTACTCGCAACGCATAGCAATAGCAGTCGCACAAGCTGCCATGCACCACGCCCAGTTGTATCTGTGACTACGGCGCGAGTGTATGTCTATCGTTTCGAAAATTATCTCTGCATTCAACCTCACCTCACGTCTTCAAAGACCGGATCTACCGAAGGTGGATGTTCATCGAAGGCATTAGCAGAACAAGGTACGTGTGTGCATTATATTTGCTATTGTCAACGAGTTTTTTAGAACATCGATTTATTCGTATACGTAATAGTCCCTATGTAGCATAAAGCCACCGCTATTTCGGATTGGTGCGAATGCTACAACCGCTTATTCGGAATGCAGATTCATCACAAAAAGAATAAGCAAGAAACTTATGTGTTGCTCTTTTATATAAATATTGATTTACTTAACGTGACAACGTGACTTAGTACAATGTGCTAAGTCACGTTGATTTCCATCCGGTTTCTCTTGGAAACCATTATGACAAACTCCAGGTGAATGTCGTGGTGGAGAAACTGACCTGACCTCATGCCTATCATGGATGATATGATAAGCATGAGGTCAGGTGAGTTTCTCCACTGATGCCCCGTAAAACGTCAGCACAGACTGTAGCATCATTCCATTATCATACTTCTATTTCTAGTATATAATATTAAATAAAAATTTGGTTTTTTTATACCCGCTGGTAGCGATTACCGTAATTGGTTACAGTCGTGACATCTTGTTTATTATTATACTTGTATATGCATGTACAACGATAATAATAAACAAGATGGTGACTACATATTGTTACTATAACTAACTACTCGCCCCGGCTTCGCACAGCTGTACATGTATTATATATATAAACCTTCCTCTAGAATCACTCTGTCTATTAAAACGCTTCAAAATCCGTTGCGTTGTTTTAAAGATTTAAGCATACATAGGGACGGACAGACAGCGACAGCGACTTTAGTTTTATACTATGTAATGATATGTATAACAATGGTTATATGGTAATTACCTTTAAGAGACTTGTCTGGTGTTTCTGCGGCCAATTTTCTTTTACGTCCGCCTCTTTGGGTTGCGTTGTCCACTACCGATGCAGTCTGTACGACAAATAAATGTTATATATAAAACTAGCAGGTCCCACAGACTTCTTTCCGCCTCAAAATTAAGTATGTCAAAGGTTTTTTTGAAGTGTCTTGATAGTGAGTGTAGAGTTCAAATCATCATCAGCCCACTGCAGCCCACTGCTGGACATAGGCCTCTCCCAAGAGTTCAAATATTAGTAAACTATTCAGTTTATTCAATTGGTTGTTACATTGTCTTATCATTAACACTCAAAGCGGAGTCGTAATACAGACTGGTTTTAAACTAAAATTAAATCTAAATTATGTGGAGACAAACTTATAGAAGGGTACCGAAAGTGATCTCTTCTCATACTATTACATAAACAAGCAGACATATATATAGACATAAATCTGAATAAACTACCTGCCGAGGTTTTCTCACGAGACTACAGCATGGGGTTTTTGATGAAGGGTATATTAAGGTTTCTTAAGGGTCGGCAACGCGCACGTGACACCCTCTGGTGTTTCAGGCGTCCATTATATAGCGTCCCATAATATGTATAGAATTTACTAATGTTTTATTAATTTACACAAAGAACAAAAATATACATTACCTTCCTCCCTCTGGTAGGCTTAGCTTCCTGTTTTTGTGTTACCGACGCGTCTTGCTCAGCCTTCCTGGACCTTGCAGGCCGTGATTTACTCTTCCCTCCATCACCTGCTCCTTTACTAACATCTTTGCTTGTATTCGCTACTGCTTTCTTCTGTCGCCCACTTGTTTTACTTTCCACATTTTTATTGCCTTTAGCTTTAGATTGTGCTATGTCGTCGCTCTTAGTTTTTCTAAGTTTACTAGGCAGGTCTTGTTCCACTGTTGTTTTTCTTTTACGAGTTGTAATAACTTCAGAGATTGTGGTGTCAGCATTAACTTTTCTCGCTCCGCGCCCTTTCTTAATTGGTGTGACGACGGGTTTCGGTTCTGATTTCTTCACACGAGATTTATTTTTTTCCAAAGATTCGTTTTTCCCACGGGCTTTAGACTTACTGGTTGCAATTTCTTCCGATTTAATGTTTTTTCCACGAGTTTTAGTTTCTTTTACTTCAACAATAGCTACAGTTTTCCTGCCTCTAGTCTTAGCGCTCGTGTTTACAGCTTTACTCTGCGGTTCAGCTTTCTTGGCGTTAGGCTTATTTGGTACTTTTTTATTATTTTTCAATTGTGGTTGAGACTTTCCAACATTAGTTTGACGCCCTTTTGTGGCTCTGGATTGCCGTGGTAGTGGTTCTGCTGCTTTGGATGATTTCGGAGATTCTACTTTCTTTCGTTTACCTTTATTCTCGACATTTCCTATGGCGTCACTAACAGATGCTTCATTGTTACGCATTCTTCGCTTGGTTTCTGGCTGTGCTGTCTTTGAAACAACTTTAGCCTCCTTAGTTTCCTTGCGCCTAGTATTGGCGGCTCGTGGTTTCAATTGTGGTGACGGCTTGCTCACCACAACACTCGCTTTTTGAACTTTAGCTCTAGTTTTTTTTGGAGTTTTCACTATACTCGTTGCAGTTTCGTCTTTCTGTTGGCGAGTTATTCTTTTCTTTGGATTCTCTTTAGGAGACGCTTGTACAGGTTTCTGACCGATCTTTCCTTTTCGCGTTGTAGACTTAGGAATTGGAATCGGTTGTTTCTTAGTAATAACAAGAGAAACCCTTTGTTTTTTAGGGGTAGGTTGCGAGTTGTCGTTCTTATTCCCTCTAAGCGCCCTCGTTGTCCTCACTCCGGGACTTTTTACTATGATTTCGGAAACTCTAGGTTTCTTTGGTGACAATTTAGCAACTTTTACGTTGCTTTCCACTAATTTAGTTCTCGTAGTCCTTCTTCCTTTAGGTAACTTTATTCCCACAATAACTGGTTCCTGAATTGACCTGGAAATAAAAAAAAACTACTTATAATTCTATAACTACTATAGATTTTTAGTAACAATAGTATTTTTGTAGTTCCACAAGCTACGTCAATGGTACTCTGTGGAGCTACTCAAATCTTCAAAGCAAAAAGATAATTAACCCAATACAAAAAAATCACCCTTGACTAGATTTCTTTGCAAATCGGGATTTATGCTTGACTGAGATAATAAGTTTTCATAACACAAAATACAAGTACCTTGAGGAGCTTATATATAGAGGATAACAGGAATTTGGAGTGACTATAATATCTATATACAGTGGACGCGCGGTAATCCGGCCCCCCTTGTAATCCGACAATGTCTATTATTTGTTATTGAATATTACTTTGACAATATACTTCTTCAGAGTGCATATACATACATATATATATATAACATAGAATCTTATCACTGGATCTGTAATTTGTCGGATTACAAGATACTCTTTTGTAAAAAATTCCGGACTATAAGCAGGGGACCCTTAAGCAGCACTCTATAATCCGACAAATACGATGGTCCGACACTGCCCTGCAAAACATTTGTCGGATAACCGGGGGTCCACTGTATGTATATTATATACATACAGAGGACCCCCGGTTATCCGAATTAAAGAATCATCATTGGATCTATAATTTGTCGGATTACAAGGTAAAAAAATTCGGACTATAAGGGGTCTTAGGCAGTACTCTATAATCCGACAAATTCGTTAGTCCGACACTGCCCTGCAAAATGATTGTCGGACTACCGGGGGTCCACTGTATTATATATTACAAACACTTCCTGTTCCGTTTACTATAATTACTATTATTATATGATGGATGTGTTTATTTCATGTTTAAAAAATGTGCCTCAGCAAATATATGAAAAAAATTTAAGTACCTATATGAACAAATATATTTGGTTTAGCTATACTGTATCGTACTGTGGAATGATACTTACGTGACATGAGTTTCGACAGCTGCGATGGGTGACACGCGGCCGAGCTCAGATGCGTTCATCGTCAGGTTGCGACCCTTCACCGGAGTCGAATGCACCACCACGCGCTTCTTTATTGGCAAAACGTTTGACCTGCTCTCATTCCTGGTCTTGTCTATAGAAACTTCCACTAGGGACCTCTTCTTGATTGGCAAAGTATGAGCACTGTATAATTCCGATGCGGATTTCTTGCGATCCGACGCCTGTGTGGTCACGCTTTTTGTAATCGTACTATTGCGTACTCTAGACTGGCGGAAAGGAGAATTGCCTTCCACGGTATCTGTCGCTAATTTCTGCAACTCGCGAGTTAAATTTGATTTTGTAACGTTACTAGCAGGTGTTTTATCTTTATACAGTCGATTTTGCAACTCTTGCTGCAACCACTCCTCAACATTATTGGTTATCGCATCCATAGACAAGTGCAGTGATTTAGCAGCAGATTTGCGTGATTTTGCCTTGGAATCTTTCTTTATAAATGTTTTAGAGTATACAGCCTTTATTTGTGGCTTACCAACTAAACGATCGAACAGACTGTCTGCATCTTTACGAGAGTTATTTGACAAATTAAACAGCTCCTCTACGCCGCTGACGTCGTTCAAGTCGTCTCGCTGCTGCCGCCGCTGGCGGAATATACCGCGCACTCCTCTCACATCGGTCAAATCGTTCTTAGGTGATTTTTTCTGCAGGGCTCCTTTAACGCCCGAAACGTTCGTCAAATTATTAGCAGGACTATTCCTGCTAAATAATTTTTTCACGCCTCGAACATCAGACAAATCATTTCTCGGCGATTTGTTCTTCCTTTGCGATTGGAACAAAGATTTCACACCAGACACGCGTCCTAAGTCATTTTTAGGGGATGCTGCAAATACTCTTTTCACTGCAACGTCGCTCAAACGATTTTTAGGCGACTTAGCGAATACTCTTTTTACACCTGTAACTTGGGACAAATCATTCTTGACCGATTGTCTGGTTCGTGGTGTTCGTAACAAGTTTTTGACACCACTGACGTTCCGTAAATCATTGTCAGGGGTTTGCTTACGGAATAAACGTTTTATGCCAGTCAAGTTAGGGCTATTGTTGGGAGTACCCAACGGACTAACAAATACTTCAGGGGAATAACTTCCCGTCTGTTCCAATAAGGAGTTATCTGGCGTCCGTCCCGTTATAGCGACTGTGTTACGCGTCGGGCGCTTAACTATAACAATATCGTCATCATCATCAAAGAGCTGTTTCCTTGAAAACTCTGACATACTCTGTGACAATTTCCTTTTAACAGGACTGTTGAATAATTGTTTCACAATATCAGAAGCGTTCAGATCATCTATTATAGATCGTTTGGACTGTGGCTTTTTGGCAGTAGAATGTTTGTTTTTGACAGCTTCCTGTATTAATTTCACGCCACTTTTTGGTGTTACTATTTCCTCGTTTACAGGACCTTCGTATTTATCGTATGAATTTGCTAACGAGTCCTTACTTAAACGAGTACGAAGTTTTCTGGAACCAAAGCTCAATGATTTAGATAGAGGAGCGGGACGGCCTCTTTTTCGCCCAGAAGGTATGACGCCAATAGTCTTTCTTTTAACAATGATTGACGAACGACCTTTCTTCCTCGATTTGGGAGACCTTTGCGACGCCAAAGAACTTTGACTAGAATCCAACAAACTTTGTATACTCAATACCGGAGTTCCAGCTTCTTCAGGGCTATTTCTGTTTTCAGGCGTACTTGTACCTTCACTGTGTTTAGTGCTTCTGCGAGTCGATACGTTCGTAGTACTTTTCCTTGTACTTTTGTCAGCTGGGCTAAACAATTGAGATTTGTTAGGCCTACTCAATCTTTTCGATGATTTAGGCGACACGTCCTCCATTTCAGTGCCATCTTCAGAGGATATAAGAAAATCACTGTCGTTAATACGTGACCGACTTCGCGAGGCCCGAGAGATTCTTGTGCTGTTAACTGGGATAGACGTTTGGGCGTTTTCCGGCGTTGTTAGTGATTTCGACCTTCGATTGCTTCTTGTTGAAGACTGAGAATCATTTTTGGATTGACTTCGGGATATATTAGGACTGGATTGGGACCTTGAAGTCGACGTTCGCTTAGGTTTCTCAACATACGGTGTACTTGAGCTCAAGAATGCTGGATCAATTGTAGATCTCGTTTTCCTTACGTTACTTTGTGGAGTGCCAAAAGTACCACTGTTTGTTGTCCGAATAGAGTCATACACGGAAGAGTTAACAGATTGTGTGGAATCTACCGACACGAGATCTACGATGGAATAAGATTCTAGATTGTTCCGACTCGGCGAACGAGGACTCAGTGTTTTAGTTCTAAATGCAGATGCAACTGTTGTGTTGTAGCTGTCATCAGACAAGGACTTGGTAGTTCTCTGTGAATATCTGGTACTTGGTTCCAAATTTTCTGATCGTAGAGCGCTCTGCAGTATAAGACTTCCGCGTGAGGACTTTCTAGTGCGCGGCGACTCAGGGGTCAATGTACTCTGATTACGGGAAGTGGAAATTTTGGTAGGCGTGCCTAAAGTCTTTTCGAGAATCTTGCTACTTCGGGAGTGAATAGATTTCCTAGGAGATGGAGATTGTATACTAGGCGTTTCAGAGTAGCGTAAAGTCAAGTCATCCTCACCATAAGAACTACCCGTGTCATGTTTGGAATATGTGGTGTCACTAATCATAAAAACATCTTCTGAATCTTCATTATGGTTCTCCAAGTTGCTCAAGTCAAATTTAATTGATTCTGTTTTCCTGACGCTTTTCTTTGCAGAAGGATCTTTGAGTGCAGACTTTTTAGGAGTTGGCAGTAATGGCGAGGTCAACACCTAACGCAGGACATGCAAACAAAACTTATTAATAAAAATAAAATTCCAAGATTTCTTCAAAATATTCATATTAATAGTACCTCTATTAGTATTCACATTTAGTAGAAACCTAGTGGCCACTTTGCCAAATTGAATATGATTGTTAATGAAAACCATATTGATTAACAATTTGCTACGATTTAGAGAAAATAATAGATGTGGATGGTGACATTGTTTTAAATAATTTATAATTTACAAATAAAAATAATACTATTGATTAGTTCAGAGAGATTACAAATAAATGTTACATTACAAGCTATTTATATTTCTCTAATCACATACCCACATTTACTGTTATTAAGTGCAATTTGAACTACTGTCTGTTTTATTCTGAGGTGTCTATAGGTGTTCATAATTATTACTATTACTATCTTATTCATGAATAATTACTCACCGACTGATCAATTGGAGAATTTCTAGTCCGCCTGCTGCTTCTGATTGATGATGATGATACAGTACTGTTTGGAGTATTTCTATTTACTGACATCCTATTTTTAGGTGTTCCTGCAGTCTCCTTCGATATTCTGTTATAACTGCCGCGCGGAGTCTTGCGCACTGGACTTGATTTCTTTACAAGTAATGTTGGAGTCTTGGGACTTTTCTTTGCATTTTTAGGGCTCGGAAGATTCTTAGGTGTATGACCCGTCATCAGCATGATAGCTGCTTGCTTTGTATGATCTAAAAACATGACTTGTTTTATGAGTAATGTAATAAAAAACATGTTAATATTAAATATTTCGAATTATTGCTAAGGCAGATAGCATAATACAAAGATAAATGGATTGTACTTAAATTTTAAGAACCCTCTGAATCAAAATCATTAAACAAAAATTATCAATACAGAACGACTTACCAATTTTTAATGGGGCTTGGATCTTCGTGACTCTTATCTTCTGGGCGCTCTGCGCTTTCTTCAACACAGTCATCCGCAATGGAGTGGCCTTTTTAGCCGACACGACCCTCCTGGGAGCCAGCACCGGCACCGGAGTTTGTAACTTCACACTTTTTCTTGGACTCGTCTTCCGAGATTCGATCCAAAGCGTCGCTTTTGTGGTGCCCTGCAGGTTGGCTACTGGACTCTTGGCGCTCGGCCTCGCGTTAGATTTACGCTTGGATTTATCACTTTCGGAATTGACAGAAGTGTCTAACTCATTGTTAGAGATTCTTGGTCTTTTGTTTGTTTGTGCGTATGAACGCGGCGTACTGTGCTGATCTGCAATTATAATTATTTTTAAACATTGTTGTAACTCTGTTTCTAAATATATTTAATAACATTTTTACTTCATTTATATTTGCTATAGTATATGGGGCCGTTCAAGTATTACATAAGCACTATGGCGGGGATCTTAGCTTTGCTTATTTTGAATGACATGGGGGGTCTAGATGATGATCACGTCATAGGTAGTTATTTACTTTTTTTACGCAAAAGCCAACCAACATTGTGTTTGATAAAAATAACAATTTCCAATGAATGTATATTAATTGGAAAATGTTTACGTAATCATGAGGGAGGGGGTAAGAGCTTTGCTTACTTTTGCTGGCAAGGGGGATGCGGGGTAAATAATTGTAATAAAACTGGTTACCTAATACTTGAACGGCCCCTATGTAAGAATAATAATAACACTGACAAGTATTATCACTCACCATTAAGTTCGGTAGTATCTCTTCGTTGTGGTTGTACAATTGCCACTTGTTTACCGCCAGCACTAGCTGAAATTATTATTATTAATTGAGTTATAAAAATATATAAACGAAATAATTGAAAAGAATTAGAGGGAACATATTAAAACCAAGAGAGAATGCATAATAATTCGCTTTAAAAACTTTACTGACTTATGGGTCGAAATAGAAAACTGTCTATTGACAATAAACTACTGATTTATAAGTCCATTCTAAAATTTGTATGGACATACGGCTTACAACTTTGGGGAAGTGAATCAAAGTCAAATATCGACATCATTCAAAGGGCCCAACATATTATATTGAGAACAGTATCGGGTGTCCCTTGGTACATCACCAACAATGAAATTCACAAGGAACTTGGCATAGTGACAGTAAAGGAGGAGATCCTCAATTGTAAAGACAAATATAAAAAGCGACTATGTAACCACCCAAATCAACTGGCTGCTCAATTACTACAAATACTTTACCCCAAGCGACTAAAAAGAGACGATATTGTGTAATATTTGCAGTATGCTTAAAGAGTAGATTCTCCTGCTGGGGTGGACACTCTATTAATAGATCCCACATCCAAAAAATCTGCGCATAGTTCTGAAACTGATTGCAGATAGGAGTAAAAAAAAAAAAAATTTACTTCTACCCTGAATAGCAGAATGATTATTAAAATATGACTTTTTGTTTTCATATTAATTGCTCAGCAAAATTTTAGCAGATTTGTTGTGTGAATCTGTCAATGGGAGAGAACTGTACCTCCAGAGAGGAAACCGTCTCATTTTACTTTACTGCAAAATGTTAGAAATGAAGATATTTTTATATACATTAAAATACCTGAATAGAAATATATATGTAAAAATGTAAAATGTATAAAGAGCGATGGGTGAGTCCATATAAGAGTGGCACCCGTGGCAGTGCTCACCGGGCATGGAGGCGCGGTGGCGCATCTCGAGCGCGAGGTGGAGCGCGGGGTCGCGCGGGGGCGGCGGCGCGGGCGCGGTGCGGCGGCGCGGGCCGCGGGCTGCGCTGCGGGCCGCGGGCGGCGGCAGCGCGGGCTGCGGCGCGGGCCGCGCGGCGGCGGGCCTGTCGTACTCCCAGCGCAGGCGGCGGCCGCCCAGCGCGATGGTGTCCCCGTGCCGCAGCGCCGCCACGCTCACGCCGCGCCCGTTCACCAGCGTCTCCCCGGTGCTCACGTTGCGCACCACCGCCTGTCGACCGACCGCCGCTCGCTTTATGCGCTATATTCGTAAGCTTGTCAATGAAGGACGAGGTAATCGGGACCTAAATCCCTTTACCCCACATTTTTTTTTATCAAGAAGAATATCTTAGTGAATCGTCTTCTATGGTCTTGAGTCTTGATTGCTAGTCAATATTGGTCTCTTGCGAGGAACTACCGATAGCTTCAATTATTATCTTATTAATAGAATAAATAAAATTTAATCAAATCTACAATAGGAACCTACCTTTGACATGGTGATATAAAATAACAAAAAAATATAACAATACAGTTCTATTATTTACTACCACAAATGGTATTAATGTTAATAAAATACATAATCAAAAGCTATTATAACCTGATTAGCATGTACGACGACCGTAGCATGGTGGGGACAGACAGAGGGCAGCATCACTCTGATGTTGCAGGCGGGGTCGCTGCCCAGCGTTGCGAGCCCCTCCGGCAGTGGGTACCGCTTCACATCACGACCCTGACGGTCCAGCACCACCAGCCGCCCGCCAGACATCACTATAACAAATAGTTGCTTTTTAATAATAATAATGTTAACACACACTGCACTTACTTGGTTTCGGCCCGTAAGTGTGGTAAAAAACCAGTAAAAGCTGAGACAATGCGACAATAGTATAAATAATAATAATAATAATAATTTATTTATTTGCTTGCTACATGGTAAATTTGAGATATTAAGAAATTGAAAGATTAGCTATTTCAACGATTTGATAGTTAAAGCGGGACAAGGAAACTCAATAACATAACCTAGTAGGTCTGAATGGACCAGAGTCATAGCATTGGCACTATGGACAATTATAGGGCGCTTCTATAAATGAACTTTATTGTACGATTACTATTATTATTACTTATACTATTATTATACCTTGTAAGAAAATATATGTAGTTAATTATATAAGTAGGGGTGCAATTGTAGAAATCCACGGTAATTTCGTATTCACGGCAATATTTTTTACATTATAGAAGATCGCGTTTGTTTTATACTACACTACGGATGTTGTGATATTTTTTCCCGCCACTGATGCCTGTTTTGAGGTTACCTTATCTAAAATGTCAATTCGACAATTACTATTCCAAACCACTTTCAAAAACCAGTAGATCAAATTATTACATACAAAATGCAATACAAAAAATGCATGTGTACAATAACAACAACGGAAACTAAGCTCTTACAAACTACACAACTCACCTAAACAACTTTATCAGAAATCACGTTTCAACACAAAATAATAATAAAATCATACTCAATTCAAACACAAAAAATAGTAATAGCGACAAACTGATATTTAAAAATAAATCACATTAAAATTAAGTCACAATCTCACAACACAAATGAAAATTATTAAGATGCCGTGAAGACAAACAAATAACAACGGATGAAATTATAAAAATGGCGTCCCCAAACTATCAAAGAGTTGAAAGAGTAATAAACAATTATTCTTTCTAGTCTATGATCATGAATACTCACAGCTCAGAGCATTCATTCTTGATGTCAGTCAGTTTATTGACAATCCGGGTTTGGGCTTTTATGTATGTTTTGAGCAATTGCGAAACGATTGTATTACTTTTGTTTTGAATTATTTATTTATTATTATTATGGTTGAAATTAGTAACTGTTACTGTTACTGAGTGAATTATTCCTTTATTATTTACATAAACAATATTTTTTGTTGAAACTATGGACTTAAATAATTCCCACAATCAAAGTTACTGGTTTGTACTTAGGGAAGATCAAAGTAATGTTATATTTAGCAGTAACAACTTTAATATACAGAATCCTCCAAGTATGTTCAAGTACATAAATGTAAATAGAATCCTTGGTATAGGTTCATAAAACATTTCGTATTCTAATTGAATTAAACGTTTCAGGGGTAAGTCAAGAAACTCGTTACATTGTTGACACAGGTGATAGTCGGCAGTACATACAGATAAATGAAGATCAAGGTACTGAACACGCCATCGCCGACAACAATTATAATAAAGATTTAACAAAACAGACCAGAGAGGAAAACTTTTGGGATAGAAATAAAATTCGATTACTACTAACACTCTGCTTAGACGACAGGTTCAAAAATGTTTCAAAAGATAAAACACTGTGGAATGAAATATCACCTCTCATTGGGGCGGAGGCTGACGAATGTAACAAGAAATATAGGAACCTTAGAAGGACCTATATGAGGCTTTTGAAGAAGAAACAATTGGGTAAAGATATCAAATGGGTGCACTACAGTATATGTGAGGAAGTGTTCAAGGAGTGCAAGGCGCTACCGCTATCAGAGCTAGAGCCTTGGGAAGATAACAAAGTGAAGAAACTACTCAGTCTGTATATAGAGAATCTTAATAAATTCCGTAACCCAGAATGTTTACAGAAGGATGTTTGGAAGGAGATAGCAGCAACACTGGGCACAACGGAATATGACTGTTACCACAAGTTCAAAAACTTGAAAAGAACATACTTCAATTGGTTGGAAAAAAGTAGAGAAACTGGGAAACTTATAAAATGGCCATACCATAATTATTTTGAGAAAATATTCTACAACTATAACCCCAATTTGGGACCGTGGGACAGAACTAAGATCAAGCAACTGATAGAGGCATATGCTCAAACAGCACACAAGTTCAGGAATCCAAAGTTCCAAAAAAAGGAACTTTGGAAAGATATATCTACAATAGTCGGAGAGAGCCCCAGTAATTGTGATAGGAAATTCAGAAATTTAAAACAAACATACATTAGAATTAAAATGAAATCAGAATCTGGCATCACAAAATGGCGATACTACAAAGATTTTGAAGGAATTTATAACAATCCAAATTACTCACATAGCAAAGAGGGAATGCCAGAGTTAATATGCAAGTATCAAGAAGAAGACTATGTTAAACAGCTACTTACATATTACATAGACAATATGGAAAAGTTCAGGGATCCATTATTGAGGAAGCATAATGTTTGGAGAACCATCGGACGAAAGTTAGGGTTAACGTCAGAAGAGTGTGATAGAAAATTTAGAAATCTAAAACAGACTTATGTTAGACTAAGGCACAAACAAATAGACACTGGCAAGTGTCACAAGTGGCCATACTATGCTTATTTTGAAAAAATATATGATGAGCCATGCTCAAGGATGAAGGAATGTAGCCACAATGGCAATGATGATATACCATATTCTGAAATAAAGAGAGTAATGCAAACAATGCAGGATAGACATGATAAGGACAAGTTTAATACACTCATTAAAGTAATACAAGACTCAAATAATATACAAAGAGAAAGAAATAAGATACTGCAAGCCCTACTGGATAGGAAATGAACCTGTTCAGTATAATTGTTACCAAATAAACATTATTTATTAATTTGAATTTTTAATCCGTGCCTCATCATCATCATCATTTCAGCTCCGGAAGACGTCCACTACTGAACAAAGGCCTGCCCCAAAGATCTCCACGACGATCGGTCCTGCACTGCTTGCAACCAGTGCCTGCAAGCAATCTTGATCAGATTGTCGGTACACCTCAACCCGTTCCTATTGACTCTTAATTCTCGTCGGTTACTGTACAAGTTGTAGTTTTATAATTTAATATCTTATAATGAAAAGAACGATTTTTTTATAACATGTAGGATGAGTAGACTGACAGATTCATATCATAGACGTATTTTGGTTACCCCTACTGTCTTGTCCGGGGGAAAGAGGATTGTTAGTACTGGATGCTCTTATTGCTAGCAATGTACCATGTCAGGTTGACTTCAAATATGTTCATCTTCCACGCGGTTGCCGCTGGAAACCATGATATATTTCTGGTGAACTTATAACGATGGATAACTGACCTCATGCTCATATTATCATCCTCCATTGGTGCTCCGCCAACGTAAACCGTAACCGCGCAGGCGAGTGACTATTCCATTATCATCCATAAAAGAAAACTGTCTTGTCCAAATTTAGCATAGGCTACCTTTTACTCGAATTCATCATACTGACATGATGTGATCTACTTAGATACCAAAATATTATTAAAATCCGGTTAGTAGTTTAGATTGTAATCTCAGGTGGGGGTAGTCGGTCTTTGTCAACTGATGACGTAGTGCAAGCAATATTACCTTAACCACAGATAATATAATATTACATACCTTAACCTACGGTGTGTGTATACATTATTACAAAGTATAAAAAAAAGTACCTGTTGCTGTCTGTCCGTTCTTATGTATGTTTAAATCTTACAAACTACGCAACGGATTTTGAAGCGGTTTTTATAATAGATTTAGTGATTATAGAGGAAGATTTATATATATAATACGTGTACATCCGCGCGAAGCCGGGGAGAGTAGCTAGTACAGATAAGATAAAATTACATAGTATAGATACATATATAAAAAAAATCAGTAACCAAAATTCCACGAGCGATGTCTACTTCAATAATAAAAATGCTCTTATTTTAATAATTTCAAGAATAACATTTTTATTTTATTGATTTATTACTCTAAGGATTATGAATAGGTTGGCGACTCGATTCACGTAATGGCAGTCAATAGAGAGCACTTTTCTATTGGATAATTTTTAATTTACGGACTAAGAAATTAAAGTAATGTAGAATCATTGTATATGAAATTGCAATATGCAAATCCACAGATCAAAATAAACTTGTTTCGTGAATATATGCAACTAAAGTTACTGCAAATATATATGTGATTATTTCTTCAAGTTCAGAGTGGGCATACCAAAATATTTAAAACAGCTCATCACAGATTTCTTTTTGCAGACTACAATTCCCACCATATTTTTTTTTTCATCTCAAACAGAATAGTTACCACTTTCTATAGTTCCCAGAAGGCTGTGGCTAGATCTTTACGATATCAACGATTGTGTTATTTCAAATTAATCTAATTACTTTATTGATAGTTGAAAGTCGCATAGTTTATTTTTAAGAGTATAATGCAGATACAGGAGGGAAATGATAATGAAATAAAATATGTAATAATGTTTAGAAATGTTTTATTGTTACCGTTCTTATGTTTTTATATGTATATGTACAAACAAACTATAATAGATCATCAGTTATCATTCTGAAATGAGAAATCGTTCAAATAGTTACCAAATTCAATTACGCCGACCGGCCCTACTCAATACAATTTCTTACATTGATTATGCTTAATTATGTCTTAACTTAAGAATACGTCTGTGTGAATTTAAGACTATAGTAATATTAAATTTGACATCCATAACACTATACCACAGTAAGGAATGGAAAAAAAATGTATAGAAAAAAACCTGTGAAAGATCACTCTCGACCTGCGGTAACCACACAGGCTCGGATCGATTAGTTCGTAGACACCTCGACCGGTAAGTAACTATCACGACGAACATATACTCGCGCGTCCACTCTCGCAATCACACAATCGATACAAGGCTAACCTAGACTGATTTACCACACTATGCAGTTACAACTATGAGATGCGCCAAGTCCACGCTGTCCGCTCGCCGGCCGTCGTCCGCTGCGAGTGTTACCGACCAGGGTATTCTAATCCTAGGTCCCCAATTCATAACAAACCAACTTCCAAATTACACTAGGTACAAAATACCTACAAATTTAGCCATGGAGCATGTAGTCAGTCTTAAATGGAATTGGTCTATATGAGTGGAGACAGAGGGCGGAGGACGGCGGACGGCGAGCGGCTGGACTCGCACTGGCGACGTCGACACTTCACTTCTTGGCGTTCTTCTTGGGCGATGAAGCTTTGCCTTTGGCGTTGTTTGATATTTTCGCCTTTTTGCCCTTGGGTTCACCATCCTCGTCGTCTTCATCCTGTAAATGATAAAACTAATTGAGACATCTGAACTTGGGATTCAAGGCTCTTACATTTTAAAGTAGTCTTTATAATAAAGAAAATAAAGCACTGTATTGCATATTGTTACTGTTCATTACAACAATACTAACGGATTATCGTCAAAGTTATTAAATCGCGCGCCTTTTATATCATTCGAGGTTTTTAGGAAATGTATATTACGAAAAAAAACCTGTGATCTCACTTATCAGAAGGTAAAGGGTAAGGGGGATGAGTATACAGAAAACCAACAGCCAATTCTCGTTACTTTTCATATAAAAAATATATAATTTTGATATTTCAAGGTTCCCAGTGTCCCAGACAATGACAGAGTTCCTAGTTTCCCATAATTTCACGATTGTAGAAATAAATAAATCAACAAGAATCGTGCAACTCCCATACAAGGACTGTCATTGGTTTGCAGAACTGGGTATGGTCCTTTTCCCTCTGTTGAGCAGTTTGGTCTATTATCTTTTGATAATCATATTAGTTGAAGGTTTTCAGTACCTCATTCGTCTTGCGCTTGGCTGCTGACGATTTTCTTTTATTCTCATCATCCTGTAAATGTAGTATCTAATGTATAGACTAGTTCATCAGTTGATAGAAAGTTACTACACAATCCTGTTCCAAACAGAGTGCTTTTACCATCAACCGTTCTTATTATATGACTACTAACAAATGTCCCACGGTTTGTTTAAGCCAGGTGACTTGTTAAGTATTTAAAAATATAATATTAATGATAAAACAACATTGAGTAGAATTGGCGAAAATTGAAACAAAATTCTAGTATCCTTTATAGAATAGAATAGAAAATCGTTTATTCAAGTAAACTTCTTTTAAGCACTTTTCAACAGTCATAATTTTTTTAATCTACCGCACATTCGGAACGCTGTCTTATCACAAGATCGAGCAAGAAACTTGTGTGTTGCTCTTTTAAATAATCGTAAATTTACATTTATAGTTTCCATATGCCATATTGTGCATTACTGTTATGAAATTGACTATATCCACAGTGTTTATAAAATGATAAACACTACAGATAAAATTCAACAGATAACTCAGTGCATTGTGTTATAAATTTCAACAGATAAACCTACCAGACAGATATCAAAAGCCCTTCCCTACTTGCTACTTACTCCAGTAATCAGATAAAAACTTTACGTCTGATTAATAGCATTACAAGCAATCATTTTAAACTCACCTTAAATTGCGAGTCATCGCCTTCCTCTTCGTCTAACATCTCCTCTTCCATTTCCTCCATTTCTTCAAATTCATCAACAAGTGCCCCGAGGAGGTGCTGACCAATCAAGTGGACTGGTCCTGAACCCTGTGCCCACAGAATAATAACATCAATATTTGTACACATTTAATGTATGAATGATGTTGGAGTTTTTTTAATCAGACAAATGCCTCGAGTGCATCATAAGCAGGCAATGCAGCATCAAAACGACACTGCATACCCATCAAGTTACACATGGTAATAGTTGTATCATCATTTTGGAACTAAATTAGTAATTAGCTTTATTTATATTATTAACGGGGTTTTAGTAAGTACATATACCAACAGTATGTACAGTGTAATATCCTTACATAGTATAAAATGAAGTCTGTCCCTATGTATGCTTCAATCTTTAAAACTTCGCAACGGATTTTGAAGCGGCTTTTTTAAACCTTTCAAATATCCGTCTGTCGTAGCGACAGATATTTGAAATAGATATAGGTCAGATATAGTTGATCATTTTGGTCATATATCATTCAAAATCATTTAGGATCGGCGTAAAATATATATTTTCTCTATAGTAATAAGTTCATATGATATAATTCCATCAGGAGTACCATCAAACCTTATTCAACAGGTGAGCCAGTACAGTACACAAATCAGTCTTATTACATACATGCCATCTATACATATAAATAAAATTGGAGTGTCTGTTTGTAATATTGAAATAACAGTTTTTTACTACATGCATATGAATATAAATATGGTACATACACCAAAATAACATTTTTTACAATTTTTGTCTGTCTGTTTGTTCTGACTAATCTCTGAAATGGTTGGACCAATTTTGACGGGACTTTTATTGGCCGGTATCTGATGTAATAAGGAGTAACTCAAGCTACTTTTATTTTAGAAATAAGTTAAATTCCACGCGGACACAGTCATGTGTACAGCTAGTGTAAAACAAAAGCTGTGAGTGAACCTTACCTGTATGAGTGTGAATGTAACTGGTGCATCTGGGAATTCAATGTCGAGGCGCGCGTGCCTCGTCTCGCCGGCCTTCAACACAGCTACCGGTATCTTCACAGAGTCCTGTAGTGACATCGTCTCTACCTGCGGAATAAGTTCAATTTTGCTGTTATTATGCACAATATTGACAGCAAAACATAAGACTTACGCCAATGAGTTGTAGACACATTTTTGTATCAATATTCTCTTAATTATAGACATACATTTCATGAATGTTTCTAAAAATTGCCAATAAAAATTTTTGTATTCAAAATTTCCTATTATTTAACAGACTTTATCTATACATATAAATAAAATTACAGTGTCTGTTTGTAAAATAGAAATAACCTATTTTTACTACATGCATATGAAAATAAGTACAATACATACACCAAAATAACATTTTTTACAATTTTTGTCTGTCTGTTTGTTCAGGTTCAACTCAAAATGGCTGGACCGATTTTGACGGGACTTTTTTTGGCATGTTGCTGATGTAATGAGTAACTTAGGCTACTTTTATTTTAGAAAAAGAAAGTTAAATTCCTCGCGAACGAAGTCGCGGGTACAGCTTAGTATATTATAAAATAATGAAAGAATACTATTTTATTTTTATACATATTTCATCATCATTGCCTTGCCTTTATCCCATTATTTGGGGTCGGCGCAGTATGTCATTCTCTTCCACTGATCTCTATCAGTCGTCATATCTAAACATACTCTTCTTTTATTCATATCATCTTTCACACAATCCATCCATCCTTTCTTAGGGCGTCCCCTCCCTTTACATCCATCCACATTCATATTATACACTTTCCATAAGACATGGTCCTCATTCCTCCGCATAACATGCCCATACCAGCTCAATCTGTTACCGCGCAACTTTTCTATAACCGGCGCAACTTTATATTTTTATACATATTTATAAAATCAAAATGTTATCATAGTACAAATGCCTTCAAGATAATAATACAAATGTTTTCAAGATAATTCCTATAAATATATCACTTTAGGATGGTGATATCATAAAAGTAATAATTACAACATGATGGTAATCTTTGCCACACATCACAAAATAAAATGAGTGTGTCCACAAAATAAAAGTCACAAGTAAAAAAAACTGCAAGTATATCATAGAGGGTTGGATGTGCTCAGTACTGATAACAATATGGTTGTATGAGATATTATCTGTAACTAATTAACATGTATTGTTAATTACTAATTAGTTACAGATAATATCTCATTATCATTATTTTGACATATAATTATTATTTGTTTGGAAGAGATTGCTAATTTTTAAACTTTACTGTTTTATATATATTATTAACCATGTGTTAACATGAATAATTTTATGGCAAATAAAGTCAGTGCATGACCATGGCTAGTGCGACCTAGTCAAAACATCAAAATAGGTAAATACCATTATTTGCCATAAGATTATTTGTATTAAGACCTGGTTAATAATATAAACAATGTATAGATGTGATTACAAGTTATTAGTTGATACAAAGTTACTACACAAGTATATGGGTATATGTAATGGTACAAGTATATGGGTGAAAAAAAAACGAATGAGACTGGTTAACATTGTGGATAGTTCAAACTGTTACTAATAATACAGCCAGCTAAGGAGTGAAACTTTCTCCGTGACAGTTTCCTGTCTCTTATAAATTTGGGTAATTCATGTCAAAAGATAATAGGCATTATTAGAATTTGCAGTTTAGACCACTTCTTCACTAACATCTGGTGTCATTGTGGTTAAACAGCCTCAAATTTGCATGTTTTTTTTTTATTGAGGGGGTTTGGGCTGTTGTCAGGTGCTAAGACCTGTATAGATCTATTGTGCTTGCCTCTATTTTAAAGTTCTCTACCTAGACCCGTAAGGGACAAGAATTGAAGGATATTCTTAGAAGTGATAGTTTTTATCTCCTCAGAATGTAGTGTATATAGGGTTGGCAACTTTATATTTTTGCATACAAATAAAGTAAGCAAAAATACTTTATTTTCAACCTTTTACGATGACGCATAAAATAAAATACTCATGTGTACTACCAATTTATAATTACTGAACGAAATGTTAGATGTCAAAAGCGATGAAAACAAAATTTGAAAAAAACTTTTTTTTAAAATTACTAAACTATTTTATACGTTTTTTTGTTAAAAACAGTTGGCAACCCTAAGTGTATACTTTCTAATTGCATATGCATGGCCTTCCAGGCCTACTGATATGAACCACCCCAATGACAAATTCATAGTTATTCTTCACTAGTGCCCCACCGGCAAATACTATTATTACAAATTTCCGTATCAAGCAAAAACACGTGGTATTAAAACAATAGGTCCTTTGTAGTTTAACAATAAGTTAACATAACAAAAGAAATGGTATTAACCTGAACAACATTTAATTCATCTGCCTTCGCGTCTGGTCCTAATAATGCCTGGCGGATGAGAAGTTTGTTGCTGCGGGGGTACTCCGCTTTCGCCTCCGGGTCCCATGTCTCGGACTGATGTGACGCCGAAAGGGTAGCACCTGGAATATATTAACAATAAACAATGAAAAACACGCCCAAACACAGCACACCAACGGGACTTAATACACAACTAGCGATTTAAAATATAATTCCATAAAACTGTTGAAAAGTCATGGGCAAGACAACATAAGTGATTGTACACAAAAAAGGCGATGGCCGTCACTCGTGTTGATTTATCAGTTATAACCTCAAACATACATTTTAAAACACAAAAAAATTACAACTCGAAATTGAAGTTAACGACTACAAAATAACGCTTTCCCAGAACAGGTAATCGTATTTAAATGTCTTAATTCATTACGGATACATTTTAAAAAATCCATTGCGTCGCTTGGACGCCATACTTTAAAATTGTCCGCGTTGCCGCCAATTCTAAAAGAATTGGCGATAAATTCACATACCCCGAAAATCAATATAAGGTAAATGTGCAGCGTAGAATTATATGCGAAATTCAAAAACGCCATTACGTTACCATCAACGATTAATCGAAAATGGCGGCAAGAGCATTAAAAACAATAAATCGAGAGTCTTATTCAGTTTATTGTGCAGTTTTCGTAATAAGATCAATACAAAATACATTATAATACTTGATATAAGATAAAGGATCCTAAAATTAATATTTATTAGTAAAGGAAAATGGCGAGCCGGGTGTCAACCTGACGCTAATATTAATTCACGTTTTAAGAATAAAGTATAAGAATTGTAATATAAATAAATGTAAAAACAGTAAGAGAATACTATTGAGATTAGTACTAACCATAGAAATATTCGTCCGTCATGGTGATTTCACTAATATATTGAGATTTTGCGACACGTTCACGTGCGATGCCGGCGCACAAAAATCTGGAGATTGGTATTGTCTACTACAAAATACAATTTGCCAGTTACCGACCATAGACATTTTTTTTTTTTCCATATTCGTCCATCTCCTTTTCAGTGAACCGACCATAGACAAGTTAAGAAGGAGTACAACAGTTTTGTTACCACAAACTATATAGAGATACTATACTATACGCTGTCGAGATATTATAATTGTACAATTTATAGTACTAATATAATTTAAGAAACAAATCATAATTGAATATTAATAAAAATGACGTATCAGAAAGTAGAACTACAAAAGGCGGTCTTATTACTATATAATAGAAATAGAATACTTAACAAATAAGTAAAAATTATTTTTTTTAAAATGGCATCGTATAAATAAAGAGAAAGGAATTTTAAAGGCGTCATTTAATTATATCACAGATATCATAATATTACATAATTATACAAAAATATTTCAGTAAATAGTAATTGTCGTTAAAATTTTAGAACATAAAAAAATCTAAATAGCTTCCTTTGCCTCGTTCAGAGAGGCAATAACGGTCGGAATTTTATCACCAATAGAAAAATTAAAAACGCTTCCAGTAGCCGTGGTCAGGTTTTCGCACTGAATATTTGTGGTCTCATACATGAAATAAGTAGAAATTCTCGTGATTCAATACTTATATATTTATATATCACATCACTAAACTTAGGACATCTACAACCCTTGTCAGATCTGTGTCGCAATATTGGGATAGCCCCTTATTGTTAAACTGAATTCGAAACAAAGGTTCCCACGAATACCACTTCCAAATTAAATGCAAATATTCCTTTAATAATTTATTTAATGGGACGGTAATTTTTTTTTCAATAAACAAGTGTCAGATATTGATCGATCTTTGTAATAGTACTTGGGTGATTTATATATAGTTGATGTATTATTTTCATCATCATTATAATCGCATTTAGTGCAGCAAGTGGTCTCAGATAATTTCTTAAATCTCTTTTTCTCTTAGTATTCGTGGGTTTAATTTTATAAGGGAACCAATTTTCATATTTCTTTCTACACGTAGCACATAATATATCTCTTTTGTTATTATACTTATTGTTGATAGATGCGAGACTAATTTTGAGCTGTATATTTTGATAATGTAACTGTCCATTTAATTTAAGTAGTTTTAAATACGTCTTACTACCTACCAAGTGGCACAGTAGAAAATTGGATTAGTTTGCTCATGAATAAACAAATCAACGTTAGGATTTTGGATTGGATGAAGTGAAAGTACCTAAACATGCAACATATTTTACGCAAGAATATAACCTTCTCATTTTGCATTTGTAGGTCGCCATACATTTTCTGTAAACGTAGTTTACTGGACTTTATTTTAAAATATTTTGTACCCATGTTACAAATAGCTTCATCTTTGTTCTTTATTTCTTCTTTTAATTTATATATTCAAACGTATATAATTACAAAAATTTAATTTATATATTTATAGATTCAAACGTTTTTAAAATAGTCATTTAGAATCTGAATCTATAAGATAAAAAAATGTAAAATTTACTACCTCAATATATATACTTACATCTGCAGTGGTGTAAGTATTATTAAAATAATCTCTTTGGTTAGTCTATTAAGTTCTGTTACCACATACCAAATATTCCTTCTCTTTGGAATATATTTCCCTAAAATTAAATGTATCAGTTTCAACTACAATGAATTGACGAGTAGGTATTCATATTGCTTCTATTACCTTTCGTCCATTAATTGTTGACGTAATTTTCTATTTGATTTCTGTACGCTTTTTAATTCTGCGTATAGTTTCTGCTTTTCACCAGCAAGAGCAACTATTACGGAGTCCCTACTAAGCAAATTTTAAAAAATTCAATATTTTGTTTCATTTGCTCGACATCGTTTTGTAGTTTTATTATTTCCTCGGATACAAGCAAGCTCTTTGCTGAAGATGAAGAGGACTTTAAGGAATTCTTAGATAAAACGTGTCTAAAATTCATCTAGAAAATTTAAGCAATAAATATATCAACTATAAAATATACACATGCTTATACATTTTGGTTAAATAAATGTTTTATTACAAAATTTAAAAAGTAGAGAGTAAAACTGTTTTAAAAATCATGTGACATTGATTGTAGATTAACTACAGACATCAATAGTAAACATTTATGACGAGATATTATTGTAATTGTAGGTTTCAGTATTAATACATTACAGAATTAAAGCATTTAATTTCATAAACTCAAGTGATCAATTCTAACAATTAGGGTATAAGTTATACAAGATTACTATTGTTTTTACTGACACTACATTGCTAATCAAAAATTACTCACTAGAAAATTACTACTTATACTATATTTATTAATTATAGGTAATCAAAACTTACTGAAAAAATGGAAAGGGTGAGGAAGAGGTGATTTGTGTTCGTGAATTGAACATATTTATATATTCATAAGAAGTTAATATAGGTACATAAACGAAAAACTGGGTTCTCAAATTGTTTTATTTCCATATATTAGGGAAATTATGAAAACCGTTCTGTTGACAACATTATTAACCATAGACAAATTGTTTTTATTTGTATGAAGTAGTTTCCCCAGCATTGGCTTATAAAAGTAATACTGTGGTGTGATTGGTCTACCTTCAATTTTCTCTTATTTACCAATAAAAATAACGATATCAACTACATGCACCAACAACTTCGTTTGTCTACGAATCAGACCAATGATTGTCTACGAACCATTTTATTTATGTGACAGTGAACTAAAATCTGAGAAGAAAATGACATAAATGAAAATGAAAATTGACACAAAATTTGTCAAAATACCGTATAAACATATTTGCGTATAATTCTATTGTTTCTTTTGTTTTCTCCCGCGTTTCCCAGGTTTGTTATAACCATAACACTTTTTGAATACACTTAGTACCTGTTTATCTGTATTTACAGTGTGTATAGTGTGACTGAAGTGAATTGTATCGCGTGAGCTCTTGACCTTAGGTCACTGATGCCTTGATGTTTTCTGTTGTGTAACGACGCCAAAACTGACTGACGAGCCATGCCAAATTTCTTATTAGTATCACCTACTACCGTCAACTCGATGATCCTTGACAGAGTCGGGCCTACTCCTATCATTGTGGTCACGGATGTAGGCCTGTTTCTGTCGTCTTACTGAATATAACGAGAAAATCTTCACGTTGCCCCTCTTTTGATGCAATACATAGTCTGTAAGTGAATACAACATGTTAAAACAACAAATTAATGGTTTTGCGTCATAATAGTAATCGATGTTGTTTTAGGTCACATCGCACATATACAAAAACGGCCCCGTTGAATTACGTTCCGCGGGTATCGCACAGCACACCTGTGCAAACAGCCTTACGGTTCAGAATCTCAAACAATGAGTACCTCGTAGTGAGAAGTAGTAGTAGATATAGAGCAGGTGCGAGTGAAGTGTGCTTGCCACCTCTATGTTACAATTGATGGTACAATGAGCGAGGAGGCAAACCAGGATGCAAGCAAGAAGGCCGCGTCCAACTGCCAGGAGGCCGCAGCGCCGGGTGCCGGAGCCGGCGCCGAGTGTGACGTGCTTGATGCCTCGACTAATGTGTCACAAACACATGTCACACAGGTACTACTGCACTCCACATACCAGTTCCAGACATTGATATATCACATTCACATGCCTATCTGGTGGTTATAATAATGAACAAATGAGTTTATTTGTCTAACACACTAGTCACCCTTGTTTCTTAACCATTTTTAATCAATGGATTTTGTGAGGGAAGTTTCCTCCGAACATTCCTCACATTAACAGAGTAACTATAGTGGTGTCCAAGTAAATAATGTAGAATAATAGATAATCAAAAATATATTTCTGATTAACATAAAATTATATATAAAACATGTTTATTACAATAATATACATAAGTTATATTGATACATTAATATGAGAGTAGACAAGTGGACAATACACTTTCTTTTCAAATATTCAAACTTCATCTGCCATACTAGCCAGTCTAGTCATTAATTGCCAACCTCATTCTAACAGATTTCAACCATCAAGATCAATTTCAGGTAGCTAACACATTAATCAATTTCATACAATTTAAATTAGTATTGAAAAAATAAATAAGTAATGAAAGTAAAAGTTACACATAGATTAAATTCATCTATGCTATGACATGGTTTAGTGTTTTGAGTAGTCACTAAAATGTCCAGACATGTGGCGGTGTGGTGGGTCGGGTCATTGGGCTCCCTAAAATATGGTCGAGCGCAGTGATGGTTGGCTCATCCATCATACTCGTGAACGAGTGCTGCTTGTGGGGACTGGTCTGCTCTAATCACTATGACTGATTTCCTCTTATTAATTGTTTAACCAGTTGGTTGTATATTCAATATTTTTTCTATTTAATTGAATCAGTGCTAATTGGTAGTTTGTATTCAACTTAAAAATGTAAAGTAAGAATAAATTATTTAAAAGAGCTACACACAAGTGTCTTGGTCATTCTTCTTGTTATGACACAGCTTTCCAATTGAGTGGTAGACTAAAAAAAATGTGATGACTATTCAAAAGTGCTTCAATGTAAGTTTATTTGAATAAATGATTTTCTTTTCTATAATAAATAAAATTAGAGTGTATGTTTGTAATATTGAATTAACCGTTTTCTACAACATGTGTATGAATATAAATATGGTACATACAGCAAAATAACATCTTTTACAATTTTTGTCTGTCTGTTTATACTTAAGCTAAGTAGAACTTGTGCTATAGGTACTAGACAATACATATAATTACGTAGATAGATTTTTGTTGTACAAAATGTCATGTTGGCAGAAGATGGAAGTCTTTTACCCGAGGAAGCCAAATAACAAGAAAAAAAATAAACCAAAAATATAATAATTATATGTGGGAATGACAGAATAAGGAATGTGTATATATGAGGAAGTTTGAAAGTTGCGCCGGTTATAGACAAGTTGCAAGGTAACAGATTGAGCTGGTATAGGCATGTTGACAGTTGCATCAACTGATGCAATGGACCATACCAGCACATTGGTATGGTTTACTAACCCTGTCTTTGTGTCTTTATTCTGATTTTTAATAAGATAATCGTTTTGTTCTCACTCCATTCACAAGCTATAGTAATAATAATAACAAAAATATGTTTAGATAAATGGTGTAGGTAAATCATCCATTATCAACCACATGTTATTGTTTGCAGATGACAGCAAGCTCTGAGCCCCCGGTGGCTGAGAACACGAAATGGATCTGTGAAGTGTGCACATACGAGAATTATCCACTCTCAAGAAAGGTATTTGAACTGTTGATTCCATTGTTTATGTTTTTATATTGCTCTCTGTATCATACGAGTTGATTAATGTGCATGCTAACTTTAATGTGCACTTTGAATCTTTATTGCTTATAATAACATTTTATATTACTGAAATCTATAGGTATTGTGAAGTGAATTACATTCTGACGGTCCATGATAGGTTTTTTAAGAGACAAAGAAAGTTCAATTAACTTATTTATTTTATCTATATATCTATACATATAAATAAAATTGGAGTGTCTGTTTGTAATATTGAAATAACCGTTTTTTACTACATGCATATGAATATAAATACGGTACATACACCAAAATAATATTTTTTATAACTTTTGTCTGTCTGTCTGTTTGTTCCGGCTAATCTCTGAAATGGCTGCATCGATTGTGACGGGACTTTTTTTGGTAGGTAGCTGATGTAATAAGGAGTAACTTAGGCTACTTTTATTTTAGAAAAATAAAGTTATATTCAACGCGAACGAAGTCGCGGGTACAGCTAGTTATAATTATAACTAGGAATCTCTATTGATTCGACTTATAAAACATTAGCCTATTCGCGTGACTGAATCTACTGTCCGTCCACTTGCCATCCTGTGTCCTCGTATCTCTTGGACGCTGTTCTTTCGAGTCATCAGCTGTTGGAAAGTATTGGGACATACTTTCCAAGAACAATCGCTGTATCCATGCCGATTGTGTAACTACAGGTAGGCAGTTGTATGAACCTAGGGGGGTACCCGTACCAGGTGGTATATTTTGCTTGTTTGTAATAGATAAAATTAAAAAAAATTAGGGATTTTACTGTATCTTATGTTTTATTTTTATGGATCAATTAAAAAATATAAATGATTGATACTGTATGTAAAAACGTCTATTTCAGTGCACGATGTGTCGCAGTTCGAAGCCGCTGTTGGGTGAGGATATATTTAAATTACAAGATGGCGCTAGTGCACTGCCCACGCAAGATGTCTGTGGTGAGTACGGTAAGTTTATCTGTCGTAACTTACATTGCCACGTCAACAAACGTTTTAATAGTATAAGTACCATATTTCAAATTACTTGTAAAAATATTTACGATTACTCCTTTTTTATGTTTGCTGGGTGTTCACTATTCACAATAATACGCACGGCAACATTATCGCGATATCCAATGCCGTAAATAATAAAAAAAAGTAAAAAAATAAAAAGAGATTACGAGGGTGGGAGTCGTTTCGCCTTTTGTCGTTGTCGAAAAAAGTGTTCTGATTATCGCTGTCGTAATTGTCGTAATTGTCGATATTTTATATAGATTTGTTAACTAAATTCGTGAATATTATTAGTTTAAGTACGAAATAATAAAGGAACGCAAGAGTTGATACTGGAAAGCACCTATTGTCGGTCTTGGCGGTAAACAGGTAACCCGTTCAAAAGGTAAGTTCGGACAAGCCCGGAGTTCTGGGAAGCCTTGCTGAAACCGAACCGGCAATCCTCGCAGTACAAGGTGAGTGCCTTCCAAATTATCAATTTCTTGCTCAATTCCAATTGTCGTAAATACAGTCCACTAAAGACAGCTGAATTCAAAATTATACGTTAGCTGTTTTCATAACATTTTTTGGTCCTTCGAGCCGGATAGTTTTGATAGGCGACATAATAATTATTGTTGTTAATTTGTTTTACACATTTTGTCGAGTAAAATAAATTATTATTGCGTTCGTTTTAATATAATTCAATAAAAGTCATTGTAGTTGAAGGTAGATAATTTATTATAGTGTAACTTAACTTTTTTTAATAATTTGAATTTTCGTGAGGCATAGACCAGCCACATACAGCCATATCGATTATATTAAATTTAAATCGATCGATTTTGTTTTCGTTGCGTATTATTGGGTAAAAATATCTAATTGTAAATTATTTCACGTAATTATCGTTTTATTGATTTTAATTATTTTTTTTTATTAATTTGGAGTATTTCTACCATGGCAACTAATAAAGACATTGAATCTGATACTGGTGATATAAACCGAATTTCTCGTGATTATGCGGTAATGAGATTGGAAATTATGGAGCAATCTGATTTGTTAGGGCTCTCTGAAGTAGATTTTAGGGATTTATCTAACGAATTTCACTCATCGCAGCGAAAATTGTTGTTATCGTTGAACCGTTTAGAGCGTACCAATGAACTTGAAATTACAGTTAAGTTTGATACAAAGATGAAACAAATTAAACAAAGATTTGTAGAAATGAATTCTATAGATAAAAAATCTATTTCTAATATAAATGTTAATAACAGTGAACCACAAGTTTCCGTAAAATTACCCAAAATCAATATAAAACCGTTTGATAGTAATTTGGATAATTGGATTTCCTTTATTCAATTATATAATTCGCTTATTCATAATAGGACGAATATATCAAATGTGGAGAAGTTACATTATTTATTGTCAAGTGTACAGGGTAAAGCTTACGATTTGATTAAGAATTATCCTCTCACTAATGAAAATTATCTAAATGCTTATGAAACTCTTTTGAAATATTATAACAGACAGCGACAAATCGCTACAGCTTATTATGAGAAGTTGCTATATTGTGAACCCATTAAATTTAAGACCAGTTCAGAACTTGAACGCATTTATCGTACATTTTCAGAAAATTTGGCTATTCTAGATAAATATAAATTGCCAGATAAGAATTTTATGTTGTTCCATATGTTGTGGTCAAAATTGGATAAATCTACAAGGGAAGCATTCCAACTTGAACAGAATACAGAAGATGTTCACAGTATACCTAAGTTTGAACATCTACAAAATTTTATTGAAAAACACTATAGGGCTTTAGAGTTAAGTAGTGTTAATTCGTTGTCATTGGGTTCAAAGTTTAATCCGAATTTATACAAAGTTGGTAATCAATTAAAATTTAAGGCAAAATCATCTCTTTTAGTGTCTAATACAGCTTGTGTATTTTGTAAAGGACAGCATGTTCTGGCTAAATGTGAAAATTTTATAAGCTTGAGTGTTAAATCACGTTTCGATTTTGTTAAAGAAAATCGTTTATGTTTATTGTGTTTCTCGAATAATCACACCCTAAAACAGTGTCGTGCTACTTATCGTTGTGAAGCCTGTAATTATTCTCACCATACATTGTTGCATTTTGATAAACCTAAGCCTGAAGCTCCTGTTGTCGATGAAAAAGCCTCAAGTAGTACTGTTTTGACTTCAATAGCAAATATTAGTCATAGCAAAACAGTTTTATTCTCTACAGCTAAAGTTTTAATAAAGGATGGACAGGGTAATTATCAAACCGTTCGTGTGTTATTAGACAGCGCAAGTGCTTGTAATTTTATTTCGGAGTCCTGTGCCAAGAGGTTACAATTGCCTATAACTAAAACAAATCAGTCAATCAATGGTATTGGTCATTCTTTAGCAAAACCACTTGGATTATCTGTTTGTGAAATAAAGCCGACGAATTCCTTCTCATCAAGTGAACTTAAATTCAAAGCTTTGGTGTTGTCGTCAATTTGTGCCGATCAACCAAGTCAGCATATTAATGCCTCAAATTGGTACCATATAAAAAAATTGCCACTTGCTGATCCTGAATTCGATTGCCCAGGACCAATTGATATTTTATTGAACGCTAGTATTTTTGTATCATCTTTACTACCTGGTTTGAAAAGAGGTGTCGCAGGGCAGCCGTGTGCATTGCAGACGGTCTTCGGCTGGATTTTAATGGGTGAATGTAACGGCACTGATAGTTTTCACCATACACGTGGGGATTGTTTCCTTATAACAGATACTTCCCAATGTAATATATCGAATTTGTCATTAGATAATTGTATTAGAAGGTTTTGGGAGATGGAAAGTATCGCATCGTTACCAAAGATTTTATCTAGGGAAGACAATCGATGCGAGAAATATTTTGTTGAAAAGTCTTGTCGTAATCGGGAAGGTAGGTTTGTTGTTCCATTACCTTTTGTCGATCCTAATAGCAAACCTATATTTTATAATTCTCGAGATATAGCCCTGAAAAGGTTTTTGTCGTTGGAAAATAAATTAAAGAGAAATTGTGAGTTTCGCCAGCAATATAGTTCTTTCATGCAAGATTATAAAGATTGTGGGCATCTTTTGGAAGTGAAACCTCCATCTGAAAATCTTGGTAAGTTTTACTATATTCCCCACCATGGTATATTGCGGCCTGAATCCGTGACTACTCCTCTTCGTGTTGTATTTGACGCCAGCGCTAAGGATACTAATGGTATCTCCTTAAATGACACTCTTTTATCTGGTCCTAAGCTTCAGTTAAATATTACTGATTTATTGTTGCGTTTCCGTTGTCACGCTGTAGTGTTTACAGGTGACATTAAACAAATGTATCGTCAAATTTTGATTTCTGATGAGGATTCGGAGTATCAACGTGTGTTGTGGCGATCGTCTCCTGATGAGCCTATTCGTGACTATAAACTCCTTACAGTCACATATGGCGTATCTTCTGCTCCTTATCAAGCACTCCGCACTATTGCTCAAATCGCTGAGGATGCCGCTGCTGAGTTTCCAACGGGATCAGCTGTGCTTAGCCGTGATATTTATGTTGACGATGTTGTGTCAGGAGCTGATTCCATCGAAAAGTGTTTAGTCATAAGATCAGAACTAACTAAAATATTGTCGTTGAATGGGTTCCATTTACGAAAATGGACTTCTAACCACAAAGCTTTCTTGAATGATCTTGATTCATCTGATTTGTATTCAGAGGAATTTAAGAGCTTCGAAGAAACTTCGGATATCACACTTAAAATTTTAGGGCTTTTGTGGATACCAAATTTAGATTGTTTTACTTTTAGGGTTGCTGAGTTTGAAGAGAGGCGGCTCACGAAACGTGTCATACTATCAGATATTGCGCGTATTTATGATCCGTTGGGTTTTCTCGGTCCTGTAACATTTTATGCTAAGTTTCTTATGCAATTACTCTGGACTTCAGGTGTTTCTTGGGACAGCGATGTACCCCTGGAAATAGCTAAGCAGTGGTCGAAATTTAAATCACAACTTTCGTCTTTGTCGTCTATTTCAATTACCCGTCGTATGATAGGTTCTTTCGTCTCCGTACAACTCCATGGATTCTGTGATGCTTCAGAACGTGGATATTGTGCTGTTATTTACTGTCGGTCTGTCGATACAAATGGTCATTATTCTGTTGAATTTTGTTGTGCAAAAACTAAGGTCGCACCACTTCGTAAATTATCGTTACCTCGGCTGGAATTGCAAGCTGCAGTTTTGTTAGCAGATTTAATGAGTTCGGTGTTAAGTGCTTTAAAACCTCTGTGTGAAATAAAAGATATCGTTGCTTGGTCTGACTCTAGTGTTGCTTTGTCATGGATAAAATCCTGCCCGTCCAGATGGCATACATTTGTTGCTAATAGAGTTAGTCACATTCAGGAACTTATCTCTCCTGATTGTTGGCGACATGTCAGTACCTATTTTAATCCTGCGGATGTCGGATCACGTGGCATTTATCCAGCTGAGCTAGCTAAAAATGGGAATTGGTGGAATGGACCTAAATGGCTTTCGGAACCAGACGAAAACTGGCCGGAGTCTACATTAATTCCATCTTCTGCTGATGTGCAAACAGAGCAGAAGATTATGTGTCTTCATACTTCTTCTGAAGTCCATTTTATTGACTGCTTAATAAATAGATTCTCGTCGTTATCAAAGTTGAAACGTGTATTGTCGTTTACTTTTCGATTCCTTCATAATTCTCGTAAAAACAATTTTGATAAAATTTTTGTTGGTCCTTTATTGTCGTTAGAAATAAACAAATCTTTAATGTTTTTGATTAAACACGTGCAGTTACATACATTTTCTAAGGAAATTGATATGATTAGGAATGGTCGGTTAAATTCTCTACCCAAAAACTTTCGTAAGTTGTCGCCATTTCTGGATGATGCGGGTTTCGTCAGGGTGGGCGGACGCTTGGCAAATGCTAAAGTAGATTATAGTATCAAACATCCCCTTCTATTACCTCGCAATCATCGTCTCACACAACTTATAATTGAAGATTGTCACCAGAGATTTATGCACCCTGGTGCACAGACTCTCCTTAATATTCTCGCCCAAAGTTTTTGGATTTTGTCGCCGAAGAGAGCGATTCGTTCTGTGATCGCTAATTGTGTAAATTGTTTTCGTGTTAAACCTCAACCAGCTCCAACTCCTCTTATGGGAAATCTGCCTACATATCGTGTTAATCAGATAAAACCCTTTTCGAACGTTGTGGTTGATTACGGGGGTCCTTTTGATATTGCATTAGGTCGGGGTCGTGGCGTAAAAACGTATAAAGGTTACATTTGTGTTTTTATTTGTGCTGCCACAAAAGCTATCCACATCGAGTTGGCGTCGGAACTTTCTACTGAAGCCTTTTTAGCTGTGTTGAAGCGGTTTATCGCGCGAAGAGGTCGTTGTAGCCATATTGTGTCGGATCAGGGGAGAAATTTCGTTGGGGCTAGCAATTATCTTGACTCGGTTATGAAAAAGGTAACAGAAACTCAGGAAATTAAATTCTCGTTAAGCCCTCCTGGTAGTCCACACTTTAATGGGTTAGCAGAAGCGGGTATAAAATCGGTGAAAACCCATCTAGCTCGAGTTATTGGTCTTCAAAGATTAACCTTTGAAGAGTTCTATACAGTTTTAACACAAATAGAATCTATGTTGAATTCTCGACCTCTATCGCCTATTAGCTGTGACGCTAATGATCTGTCGGTTTTGACACCAGGTCACTTTCTGACATTAGAACCCTTGTCGTCCCTTCCAGAAGAGAATATTACTAGTCAATCTATTAGCGTTCTCCAGCGATGGAAGTTAGTTCAGAAAATGCATCAGGACTTTTGGCGCCGTTATCAACGTGAATATATTCATACGCTTAATCAAAGAGCTAAATGGAACAAAAATTACACTAATATAACTATTGGCACATTAGTACTAATCATAAATGAACAATCGAGTCCTTTAAAATGGACTATGGGTCGCATTGTCGCTTTACACCCAGGAATTGATGGTGTTTGTAGGGTAGTGACAGTTAAAACTGCGACTGGTGAATACAAACGACCAGTTGTTAAAATTTGTCCTTTACCTATGGCTAATTAAAATGTGTAATTCTTTTTGTTGTTTGTTATTATTGTTTTTCTTTTCCCGCACTAGTTAGTTAAAATTAGTTTAAAAATATGTCAATCAATATTAGGATCCATAGTTTTTATTTTGTTGTCACATTTAATTGTTGTTTATGTCGCTTTAAATACGTTGCATTTAGGTGGGCGGAATGTTCACTATTCACAATAATACGCACGGCAACATTATCGCGATATCCAATGCCGTAAATAATAAAAAAAAGTAAAAAAATAAAAAGAGATTACGAGGGTGGGAGTCGTTTCGCCTTTTGTCGTTGTCGAAAAAAGTGTTCTGATTATCGCTGTCGTAATTGTCGTAATTGTCGATATTTTATATAGATTTGTTAACTAAATTCGTGAATATTATTAGTTTAAGTACGAAATAATAAAGGAACGCAAGAGTTGATACTGGAAAGCACCTATTGTCGGTCTTGGCGGTAAACAGGTAACCCGTTCAAAAGGTAAGTTCGGACAAGCCCGGAGTTCTGGGAAGCCTTGCTGAAACCGAACCGGCAATCCTCGCAGTACAAGGTGAGTGCCTTCCAAATTATCAATTTCTTGCTCAATTCCAATTGTCGTAAATACAGTCCACTAAAGACAGCTGAATTCAAAATTATACGTTAGCTGTTTTCATAACACTGGGGCTCTTGGGCACGCAAGAATTCGGGGCCCTTTTTGAAAGAAAAAAGGCTCATTAGGTATAAGAACATAGGAATAGGCGAAGTAATTGGTATAATGGCGTAGTATATGCCTTGTAAATACCTGCTGATTTCTGAAAAGTGTAATGTGCCCAATAAAAATCTTTTGATAATAAATGTGTGGTCCCCTGAGAATGGGGGCCCTGGGCACGGGCCCTTATGGTATATACGTGTTTTGCTTGGCAGCAGCTTAAGGAGTAGTCATGGTTTCAGGTGCGGAAGCGGTAACGGAACGACTGAAACCTCTCAGGATATCATCGCCGCAGGGGCAGCCCTGCGAGGGCGCCTCCTCTGTCAACAAGTGGCCTTGTCCGGTGAGTGTACACTCATACTAGATTTAAAGACAAACTTGCTGTCCCCAAGTATAGTTTAGAAAAAGTCAATAGGTCTTTTATGGGAATAGGTATAAAAATTTACAATAAGATACCAAAGGATATACTGGAATTACCCTTAAATAAATTCAAAACATCTGTTAAAAGATATACTACTGAGCGAAGCCTATTACTCACTAAACGATTACTTGAATGACGAGCGTGCATGGCAATAGTTTTCATGTACGGGATTTTCATTTAATGTTAGACATAGACACCTATGCATTGTAAATAAACTGGCTTTTTTAAAAAAGTAATTCAATTGAGTTTCTTGCCAGTTCTTCTCAATTGGATCTATATACCGAACTGGACGGTAGGGAAAAAAAATTATAATGTAAAAATTTGACGTTCATAAGCGGCTAAAATGTCCTACATGAATATGTAAATGATTTTTGAATTTCAATTTCTATTGAATTTGAAATTGTGATATTGCATTGTGCAACTCATCTTTACAAAGATTGCGAACATGACTGACAATTCGATATACGCTATTAGTTTTATTAAAATTTAATTTTTTGTAATTTGTTATGACTATTTTTTTAACGGATCATAATGAAATGATGAATGTTTCCGCTTGCCCTAATGTTTTAGGCAGGTGGGACACCAGAGGGGATTAACGGTTTAGGAGGATGATAGGATGAGCATGAGGTCAAGTCATTTAGCACAGATGGTGGGTAGATCTGGTCGTTGAACACTATGTTCCCAAACTATATTTCAGTGATGATGATGCTACTACTTATGCCTTCAGTTTTTGTTATCAGCCAGATTAGAACTCATGCCCTTCATAGTCTAATCCGGAGTAGTAAATTGACCTAAGATGATGAGTATCGTGGTGGACCCAACGCAACATTGTAATTCCAGTCCTATTCTTCAGTCAAGACACATACCCGTTTGGTAGCTTCAAAACTGACGGTCCCTAGTCACGTGCCAATATTGCCTGAACCTAATTCCGCCTCTGGTATCGTAGCGTACTGGTTGCCGTGTAATTTAATGGAGTATAGGTGAGGCGCGTGCCTAGGTCGTGTAGGCCTCAGTCCGTTGTATCGTGTCATACTGGTCGGCGTGTAATGTAGTATAGATGTAGAGGTGCGTTGTTGTTTGCAGACGTGCACGTACGAGAACTGGCCGAAGGCTGTGAAGTGCGCCATGTGCGGCGCGGCCTGCCCCCCGCCCGCGCCCCCGCCCGCCCCCGCGCCGCCCTCCCCCACGCCCTCGCGGACGGCAGGTACCGCCCGCACACGCACCACGCACCCACACATCTCTAACACAAACTTAGGGGTTTAACAAAGACTTGATGTCTCCATTTTCTGCACGGTCAACGCTATTTTAACTTATACTTTTTTTTTCTTTTGTCTATGTTTTTTATAGATAAAAATGTAATGTCATGGCCATCTTTAAAATATATACACGTTAAGAAGAATATTTAATTTCTTACCAAAACTTTACCTGACGGGAGAGCTCAAACCAGCTACAGGTCTTAGTACAAAGAAATAGCCCGAACCTTTTAATAAAAAATTACATTCTCAAATGCAAACATAATAATCAACACATGTAGCTCGATATATTTGAAACCAACGTGATAAAAGACTATCCTATCGTCAACTCTCGGGATATTTCACTGAAACTGACTCTCTTAATTTTTTTTTGTCAATTTGAATGACAAATTTGAATCCACAACTGTTTGATTCAATCTCACAAACCTTGAGGTTCGGAAACCGGATAAAAATATTATTAGGACATGTTAGGAAGAAAATTACCATATATATATTCTCTTTTTACGCACACACACACACACACACACATAGATAGTGGAAATATATACACTACTAGCAGACTCGGCCACGCATTGCTGTCGCTAAGGTTCTTGAATAAAATAATATAGCGACTATAAATTGAGATGTAAGCTATCCTATTTCAAGTTGGATCAAATTGCACACAATGTGCAAATCAAATTTGCATCGGTTCAGTAGTTTGGAGTCCATTGCGGACGAACTACGTGATTTTTATATATAAAGATGATATGAATATAGTAATGTTTATGGAATAGAATAGAATAGAAAATCATTTATTCAAATAAACTTAATTTAAGCACTTTTGAATAGTCAACATTTTTTTAAATCTACCGCTTATTTGGTAAGCTGTCTCATCACAAGAAGAATAAGCAAGAAACTTGTGTGTTGCTCTTTTAAACAATCCTTGTAAGTTCACATTTTACAAGTCGAAACGTGTGAATACAAACTACCAATCAGCACTAATTTATTTAGGCTCAAATATAAAAACACAATAAGATTAAATCAGTAAATAATAGTGATATGTTATGTCCCATCAGGTACAAACGATATCTGCAACAGTCAGAACTTGTCTCTGCACGACGTGGACTCAAATACACGACGCACCTCGAAAAGAAGGACGAACAACGTCGACTGGATATGGCTGCAGGCCTGCTTGGGTACGTACATTCAAATTGTGACAATTTCACATTGTTTCAAACATTATTAATTACTAGCTGTACCCGTGACTTCGCGTGGAATTTAACTTTATTTTTCTAAAATAAAAGTAGCCTAAGTTGTTCCTTATTACATCAGTTATCTGCCAAAAAAAGCCCAACTAACAATTCTCGCCAGTAATCTGTGGTTGTCGTAATTCCTTTATTCGTCCCCACATAATATCTGCCTTTATGCTCTATGCGTTTACATTCAGCCGCTTCCCCTGCCACTGCAGCCGCGATTCTTAACGCGGGAAGCGTGAAAACCAGCGTACGCAATCGTGAGCATTGCATTTTACAATTTTTTTTGCAATTTTATATAATACTAGCTGCACCCGTGACTTCGTCCGCGTGGAATTTAACTTTATTTTTCTAAAATAAAAGTAGCCTAAGTTACTCCCTATTACATCAGCTACCTGCCAAAAAAAGTCCTGTTCAAATCGGTCCAACCATTTCAGAGATTAGCCGGAACAAACAGACCGACAGACGAACAGACAAAAATGTTAAAAAGTGTTTTTTGGTGTATGTACCATATTTATATTCATATGCATGTAGTCAACAGGCACTCCAATTTTATTTATATGTATAGAAGACGTTTAAAATTTATAATTTGCCAATAACTTTATAATTATATCGTTGCTTTATAAGTCAGATATCTGGTATTTCGCAATGGAAATTAATTATTACATAAATACAGTAAAGCACACACGATTGTTGCGCTCTCCGTTTGCGCACGCTGTGTTTCTCGGTCTTTTTGTCCACATGCACATTCTTTCCCGCGTGAAAGAACGTAGGTGTAAAGGCAGGTATTGTGGCGGCGTACAGTGTAATAAGGGTGGAGTGCGTGTGCAGGCGTGGTGGAGGGCGACGAGCGGCGCGTGGAGGCGTACCTGGCGAGCGGCGGCGACCCCGCGCGCGCACTGGCGCCCCACGAGCTGCCGCTGCTCGACCGCGCCTCCGCCTTCGACGTCGGACACACGCTCGTGCACCTCGCCATCAGGTACGCCCCACCCTATTGTCCTACCCGCTCGTTAGACGTGCTAACCTGGTCTCGCGTACCTCTCTCTACGTATCGGTGATAGGTATCACGCCAGTAGACGTGCTCCATCCTAGCTCCCGTGCCGCTAGACTTGCCTCAACACGCCAGCAGGTGTACCCTACTCTGGTCTGATGTACCTCTCAGTACCCTAGCTTCCTCGGTGCTCATCTCGAGTATGCTGCAGATACCACGTCAGTAGATGCGCTCTATCCTAGCTCTGTAACCACTAGACGTGCCAATCGGCCGCACTCAGTACACCAGTGTGACCTACCCTGGTCTGGCGTTCTCTCTCTATAGTACCTTACCTTAGCCGGTGCTCATCGTCTGTGCTGCAGCTACATGTCGAACTGGTAGCTGCCCCATCCTAGCTCCGTAACCGCTATTCGTGCTTATCTGCCGCACTCAATAAGACAGTCTGATATCAGTATTATTGTAAACATGTACAACATTTATTTGAAAAGAACACGTGCTGAGTTTCTTGTCAGTTCTTCTCATCTCGAAATCATTCCGAACTGACGGTAGGTAGATTTGACATATCATAAGAGTCTGTAATAGACCTACATGAATAAAGATATTTTGGATTTGAATTTGAATTGGATCTACGTGGTCATACAAAAGGATAGACGTGTTGCAAAATATTGCGCCAAACACCGAGTGTGTTTTGCTCCAGTCATCAATTTTTAGTCTGTGGGAGATTATAAAGATGACATGGATCACTCATTCACTAGTTTTATTTTAATTTCAGATTTCAAAGACAAGAGATTTTGGCAAATTTACTTTCTCGAATATCCGGCGGTGGTTCCGGCATCAAAAGGTCACCATCATACATAGGTATGTTATACTTTATTGTGTCATTACATAGTATAAAACAAAGTCGCTGTCGCTGTCTATGTATGCTTGAATCTTTAAAACTACGCAATGGATTTTGAAGCTTATTTTTAATAGATAGAGTGATTCAAGAGGAAAGTTTATATGTGTAATACATGTACACCCGTGCGAAGTCGGGGCGAGTAGCTAGTTGTATATAGTTATAGGAAGTTTGTTACGCTTTCACACAAAAACTACTGAACCGATCATCATGAAATTTTGTACACATTTTCTTGGAGGTATTAGAATGAACATAGGATATTTATTATTAAAAAAAACTAATATTTTTTAATAAAAAACAAAAAAAATATATAATATATAAAGCTATATATAATAGCTAATTCAGCGCCATCTTAGCAGCCAGTAATAAAGTTATAAATCAATTAAAATAAATTGACTATATCAAGATTATGTTACTTCAGCGCCATGTCAACCAGCAATGAAGTTATGCGAAGGAACCCGCTGGTAAAAGCTAGTATGTAATATTGTGTATTAATATTATAACGTGTTCAGCCCCGGACCTGGCCGCGGCGATACGTCGGCACATGGCGAGTTGCATTCGAGTGAATAAGGGCAACTTTCTGAGTCGGTACATGACGGAGTTCTGCACCTTCTCCCTACCAGCAGGTACACACAACTGACGCTCTAAAATAATTAAATGTAAATTAATAATAAGTATTTTTAAAAAAACTATTGGGTACAAAAGATTTGACCTATAAATACCTACCTAGACGTCATATGTTATGTAAGAACTATAGGTACAGATAACCATGGAAATGCGGGGTACTTACTATGGGACACAGTCACCTAGATACATCAAAATAATAATTGCATTTAATAATGTCTAGTAAGACAAATTCAATATTGTCTACTAGGCACTGCTGTATCTAAACTGTGTCACCCCACCTTACATTTTCCTATTGTTATTTAGTATATAAGATCATTATTTCTATGTACACATTGTCAGTTTATTATCATCTGTAATATACATCGTCTCGACCAGCAACATCGTATCATTCACCTGCAACACTTACTATATGACCGTCACAGCGTATCACTGCATCTAAATTGTTGAATGTTAAATTTGCTACTGTAAGACATACTAACATAAATAATGACGAGGTAATAATCAAAGAAAAGTGATGATTACAGCGTCCTGGCTAACTTGTTTGTAGTAGGTTTGACAATATTTTTTTAATAATCTTTTAAATGTAGTAGTGATGTAAGTAGGCATAGAATGGAAGTTTATAGTTTATGGTTATATTTTTGCTCAAAGAATTAATAAGTGATTTAAAAAATTACAAATATGGTAATTTATTATGCGAAGTAATTGTTAATAGTATAAATATTAATGAGGTTTTTTTTGATGATATGGATTTTTTTTTAATTTCGCTTGAATAAAATTTTGTAGTTAGTGATTGATCAGTTAATAATTAGGTATTGTAATTATTGTTTGGTCGGTTGTTTATTAAGTTTCAGCTCGGAGTACATATGTACGTTAGGTTGAGTTAGTCAGAATTTGTTTGTATGAATCATAACAGAATATCATGTATAGATTAGAATAAATTCATTTTTGAAATATCTTTATTTACGTAGGTATATTATAGACTCTAATGACATGTTAAATTTATCGTCAGGTTGGAATGATGAGCTTGAAATTCAGCTGGTATTTTTTTTCAAATAAATGTTGTACATATTTACCATAATATAGATGAATAGAAAATAAATTAACATTGCATGAGTTTTTTTAAATTGAACTGTGGGTGTGGTCATGACTGTGTACCGTCGGTGTGTCGCAGAGATAATGGAGCTGCCGGGCGCGGTGCAGCAGCAGGTGTTCGACGAGGTGCTGGACCGGGAGGCGCAGCGCGCGCTGGAGGGCGGGCCGCGGCCGGCCGTCAACTTCAGCGGGGAGGTGACGGCGCGGCTGCGCTCGCGGCTGTTCGCGCTCTGGAACCGCTCCGCCGGCGACTGCCTGCCCGACGCGGCCGCGCAGGCCGCCTACGGCGTCGCCGACCGCGGCCAGGCGCTGCGCGCGGCGCTGGCGGCCGCCATGGCGGCGCCGCTGTACGCGCGCTGGGCCGCCTGGGAGCGCCTGCAGGCGGCGCGCCCGCCGGCGCCCTACGCGCCCTCCGAGCCGCAGCTGCGCGGCGAGTGGGCGCGGCTGGCGGCGGCGGCGGCGCGGCCGGGCGCGGCGCTGCGCCAGCCGCACGTGTTCGCGCTGGCGCACGTGCTGCGCCGCCCGCTGCTGGTGCTGGGCGTGGAGCTGGTGGCCTCGCACCGCGGCGAGCCGCTCGGCTACGCGCGGTTCCGCGGCCTGTACCTGCCGCTGCTGTGGGACCCGGACCGCTGCTCCAAGTCCCCGCTGTGCCTGGGCTACACGCGCGGACACTTCTCCGCGCTCGTGCCCATGGAGCCCTACCGGCCGCGCCGAGACTACATCTGCCGGTGCGCGACTTCACGCCGCGTTACTAACATGTCAAGCTTACGCTAAAACATCTTCTGCACTATGACCTATAGGAACTATAAACTTTTCACATCTCTATACAAACAAAATTTCTAAAATTATAAAAATAACCTATAAATGTTATATTACAAATTATTTTAGTATCCAATAATCCATTTATAAAAAAAACTATATATACATATAAATAAAATCAAAATATTTGTTTGTAACATTGAAATAACTGTCTTAAACTACATGCACATGCACATAATATAAATACGATACATATACCAAAATAATATTTTTTACAATTTTCGTCTATCTGTCTGTTTATTCCGGCTAATCTGTATAACTGAACCAATTTTGACAAAACATTTTTAGCAGATAGCTGATGTAATAAGAAATAACTTAAGCTACTTTTATTTAAAAAAAATAAAGTCAATTCCCACGCAAACGAAATCGCGTGTACAGCTAGTAGTCTATATAACATCACATTACAACTAAGAAAAACGAAAAACAATAAAAAAAAAAATAGGTAAAATGTAGCAGAAACAAATTTGAAATTTTAATTTTTAGCTAAAAAATACTAGAAAAATATGTTTATATGACTTATAAATAATAGTGTATGAAATATTTGATTACAGTGACGATGAAGAAGAGACCGAGAATGTAACGTACCTGCCGCTCACAGACTCCGAGGGGAAGTTGTTGCCTGTACATTATTTGACCTGTGAGGAGGTGAGTACACGTTCATTTTGAGACCGGGAATTAAGTTATCTGATCTACAATAGAAGCATAATCCCTGATTTGATTTGAATTATGATGTCGGCGTCAGTTACTGAGTGAGTGAGTAACTTCAATGACAAATGTGAGCAGTGTGATGAGAGTGGCGAGTGTGAGGAGTGTGACGAAAGTGGCGAGTGTGGGGGTGTGTCGCAGATGGACACGGAGGGCGTTGTGCGGCGCTGGCTGTCGGCGTGTGTAACGCACGCCGACAGTGGAGCGCGGTGTGTGGCGAGTGTGATGAGTGTGACGAGTGTGGGGGTGTGTCGCAGATGGCGGACACGGAGGGTGTGGTGCGGCGCTGGCTGTCGGCGTGCGTGACGCGCGGGGGGGTGCTGGCTGCACGGCAGACGCTGCACCCGAGGCCACTGCTGCAGGCCCAGATGCTGGAGGAGTGGCTCAACCACTACCGCCGCCTCGCGTTAGTACCCACACATTATGACATATACCGAACAGATAAAAAAAACACTGGACAATTAACACAGCGCCATCTAGTCCCAAGCTAAGGAAAGCTTGTGTTATGGGTACCACACAACTTATATAAATACTTAGATTTTTTATAGATACATACATATTATACATAGAAAACACCCAGACATAGAAAACAATTATACTCATGAATACTGTTGTAACTGGCTAATCAGATATGTATTTTATATTCTAAATTTGTATTTTGAAATTTATAGTTTCTCTATAGATTCTTTTTTTGATACTTCAATTCATTCTTTCTGTTCCTAATTATCAGTTCTCTATTATTTAATATATTTTCTCCGTTTACTTTCATGTGACATTTTTGACAGAAAATATTTTTTCTTATTAACACAAAAATATTCACAATAAACCGTCCTCTTCAACGAATTTAATTTAAAATCTATAATGTGTTAAGCTCGTGCTGATAACGTGTTGTAGTAATAAGAAAGAAGACTAGGTAAACGGAGAAAATATATTAAATAATAGAGAACTGACAATTAGGAACAGAAAGAATGAATTGAAGTATCAAAAAAAGAATCTATAGAGAAACTATAAATTTCAAAATACAAATTTAGAATATAAAATACATATCTGATTAGGGGTGGCTAATCAGATTTAATATATTTTCTCCGTTTACCTAGTCTTTTTTCTTATTACTACAACACGTTATCAGCACGATATTCAACAAGCTCAACCCGAATAAGAAAAAGACTCTTTCGTTGTGATTTATTTTTTGTGCTAATAAGGAAAAATATTATATTATTCCTGTCAAAAAAATGTCACATGAAAGCAAACGGAGAAAAATTTACATAGTAAGTCGAATTCCTCATCAATTCCGTCGTTGTCTTTTACTAGTAAATAAGGGTATCCTTCGTGGATATTTAAAATGCCCAATTCTAGGATCTGTGGTCACGAATATGCGCTTACGGCGCGGATCAGAAGGCAAGGAATAGCTGATATTGACAAAATTATTAAAGATTCCGTTGCTGTTATATATTCCTATGAAGTCTCACTTTTGGAATCTGTCTTATGGATAAGGTATTTTATTATTAAAAGGGAATTAATTGATGGTATCTTGAAGATGAAAAGAATAAAAGAAAATTATATATTATACATCAGAAAAATATAGTACTGTTTTTTAAGATGCTATATTTTGTATAGGCAAATATTTTATATTTTCTGATGTTATTTCTTTTGATAATATTGGATTTTTTGTTTGGTCGTTACATATAATATTTTTTTGTTAAATGTAATAAATATAAATAAAATGTCCTTTTTAGAATATTTCAAAAGCAGTGATATGCCTGCTGATGTTTTTAAGAAACGCATGGTAGGTATAGGGTTGGCAAAATATTTCTTTTTGTAATTCCTTTTTTTTTTTTTTGCTTTTTGACCATTTCTGATTAAGGGGGAGTGTTGTAACTGGCTAATCAGATATGTATTTTATATTCTAAATTTGTATTTTGAAATTTATAGTTTCTCTATAGATTCTTTTTTTGATACTTCAATTCATTCTTTCTGTTTCTAATTGTCAGTTCTCTATTATTTAATATATTTTCTCCGTTTACCTAGTCTTCTTTCTTATTACTACAACAAATACAAATTGCAACGCGAGAGAAATCGAACCCGCGACGATCAGTGGTAAAGCGGTGCGCTAATCCGCTAGACCACAGAAGCCGTCAAAATGTAACGGGAACTATTTATATAATTGTAATGCTAACAGTTTCTATCAATTACAATTCAAAATCCTTGCCACTAATGTACTTATGAGACACAGTTACCTAGATACAGTAGAATCTCCATTAACGGGTCTCATTCTCTCTAATTATCAATTTAGATATTTGAAGATTTGTTCAATTTAGATATAGGAGATAGAAGATGAAATAAAAACTGAAACTGTCAAGTAGCATCTCACGTAGAAGCTTTTAAAGTTAATGTTGCTTTTAAGCAGTTTGAAAGACAACACGAATCGGATCCCATACAGTTGAATAGAATAGAATAGAATAGAAAATCATTTATTCAAATAAACTTACATTGAAGCACTTTTGAATAGTCATTACATTTTTTTTAATCTACCGCTCGTTCGGAATGCTGTCTCATCACAAGAAGAACGAGCAAGAAACTTGCGTGTTGCTCTTTTAAATAATTTTATTATTACTTTACATTTTTAAGTTTAAGTGTGTGAATACAAACCACCAATGTTAACTGATAGTTACAACTGAAGCGCATCAGGGACTTGCCGCAATGAAAACATGTGATTTATTACGCCAAAGATCAATAACAAGTTATGTCCAATCAAAAATTTTAATTTACATATGTATTATGTAATTCATTATCTATCGTTATAGCTCGTTAATGTATTATCTAAGTAAAGCCCATTACATAATGAAAAATTATTATGATATGATGTGCTTTGAAATCGGTTATCCGGATTTTCGGTTGTACGGAATACCCCTGGTTTTAATTGATCCGGATGGCATTCTACTGTACATCAAAATAATAATTGCATTTAATAATAGTTAGTAAGACAAACTCAAAAGCGCAAAACACAAGTTTCTTGCTCATTCTTCTTGTGATGAATCTGCATTCCGAATGAGTGGTAGAATAAAAATATGACTATCCAAAAGTGCTTGTAATGAGTTTATTTGAATAAAGATTATTATTTCTAATTAATATTGTGTACTAAGCACTGCTGTATCTAAACTGTGTCACCCCACTATGAATTAGTGGTAGTTTGTATTCACACACTTAAACTTAAATTGTAAGTAAGAATAAATTATTTAAAAGAGCAACACACAAGTTTCTTGTTTGTTCTTCTTGTGATGAGACAGCATTCCGAATGAGCAGTAGAATAAAAAAAAAACTATGACTATTCAAAAGTGCTTCAATGTTAAGTTTATTTGAATAAATGATTTTCTATTCTATTCTATTCTATTCCCACTTTACATTTTCCTATTGTTATTTAGTATATAAGATCAATATTTTTATGTACATATTGTCAGTCTATTATCATCTGTATATATATCTGTATAGTCTCAACCGACAACATAGTATGTTTACCCCGCAACAGTACCCAAGTGTGTAATGAGCGCGGTGTGCGTCCCCGCAGGCAGCAGTCGCAGGGTCCGTTCCCGCCGCGGCTGTCGGGCGCGGACCTCTCGAGCGACCCCGACACCGACGAGGAGTGACCCCGCCCGGGGACTCGCGCCGGACTCGCCTGCAGAGGTTTCACTGCTGCCTCCACACCTCACATTGTACTGCGCCGCCCGGCTCGCCCTGGCCTCTCCGCTCTAGTGCGGGCCGCACGTCACCTCGCGTGTCGGTTGATAACCGATAAATTTAACGAATTACCGGTAATCGTTCCGACCGAACGATCCTATAGATCGTATGTCAGATATGGATAAAAATAGATTCAAAATCTACGTGTACGTTGCGTCAATTTTCGTATCTAAATTAGACACTCGCGAAATTTACTCGTTATTTCAATTCTCGTAATAATAATAATCTCAGGATAATTCACACAGCGCCATCTAGACCCAAGTTAAGCTAGCTAAACTAGATCACTGACACAAATACACAGATATTTTCGTAAATACATATAATACGTAGAAAACACACAGACTGAGAAGCAATCAAACTCATGAATACGAATGTTTGTGCAGTGTAAGGAATCGAACCCGCGGAAGTAAAACCGTGTAGTAAATCACAAAGGCCGTGAAATAAATATATCGAAAATATTACCGGCTGGTTTTTAAATGCAGGAGGGAATTTGATATTATTGAATAGCTTTTGTAACATGAAGCGCTTTTCAAAGTAGAGTAGTAGTGACGCTTTGTTCTCGTATAAGTTGTGGTATTTGATCGTCTATCTCTATCTATGTCTGTGATTCAATCTAATGAACATTCATAATATTCATTCATTCATTATCGTGGATATTTAACCTTTCGAATGTCCGTAGTCTATCGCAGCGACCGAAACTGAAGAGGCGGTATGCGCGCGCCAGCTGTACTTTTTCAAATGCGTTTCGATCTTATTTCATTTTAAATAAGGACTAAATTAGTTAAAAAGAAGTCACGGTTTTGCGGGCACAGATTCAAATTAAAAAAAATCATTTATTCATGTAGGACATTTTAGCCGCTTATGAACGTCAAGTTTTTACATTATATTGTTTTTCCCTACCGTCCAGTTCGGTATATAGATCCAATTGAGAAGAACTGGCAAAAAACTCAATTGAGTTACTTTTTTTTTTAAAAGCCAGATCTGTGACAAGACCGTAATACGGTTTTAGAGGGGTCCACAGATCTGTGTCAAAACGTTCGACGGGTTAATTGTTTAGTTAATTGTAATATTATTGCTCATTATTACGTATTCGATGGATTACGTTTACGTTTAGTTGAATTTATTTATAGAACTTACATAATTGCAATAATATATTTTTAAACGTTCCGGATATATACGAGATCGTATATAGAACACACGGTGTTATCGCGAACGAGATGCTGCGTTAAATGAATATTGCCTTTCGTACAGCTTGTATCTTAACATCTCCTATTGGATACACTCTATCTATATGTAGCTTAAAGTTAATTAAAAAGAAAAATACATTATTCTGAAGTTTATTGAGGTTAAAATCATTCTAAATTTATTTTATTTATTTATACATGGATTTATTTACTTATATATAGATTTAACATTTATTTTCTGTTATAAGTAGTCCCAAAACAAGGTCAGACCTGTAGCTTGGAGGCTAGGAGCACAGATACCAAAAAGATGTATGTGTACACTACAGAGAACTAATTTATGCAACAATTACGAGCATTACTGTTGGGTGAATAAATAAATTATATATATATATATATATAACTACCAGACCCGGCCACGCGTTGCTGTGGCTAAGGTTCTTGAATAAAATAATATTGCGACTATAAATTGAGATGTAACCTATTCAATTCTATTTCAAGTTGGATCAAATTGCACACAATGTGCAAAACAAATTTGCAATCGGTTCAGTAATTTACGAGTCCATTGCGGACAAACAACGTGACACGTAATCTATACATAGAAATAAAATTGGAGTGTCTGTTTGTAATATTGAAATAATCGTTTTTACTACATGCATACGAATATAAATACGGTACAGCAGAATAAAATTTTTTACAATTTTTGTTTATCTGTCTGGTTGTTCCGGCTAATCTCTGATATGGCTGGACCGATTTAGACGGGACTTTTATTGGCAGGTAGCAGATGTATTGAGTAACTTGGGCTAGTTTTATTTTAGAAAAATAAAGTTAAAATCCACGCGGACGCAGTCGCGGGTACAGCTAGTTTTTATATATAAAGATAAATAGTTTTACAGTGCAATTTCCATTTAGCTTATAATCTTGATAGCGGTGTACGGAAAGCGGCTGATGTATAACGTCGTCGTGTGAACCACCTGCTGTTGTTCTTTTGGAATGTTTATTGCGACGCCAGCTGACAGTCGAGTGGTTGCATCGTTTTGCTAATCTTTACATTATGTATACCAGGAGTGGCCTGCACGAATTTCAATCAATCACAGATCACAGAATCACAGATCTTGGGTGTAACTTGATTACAGATCTGTTTACCATTGAAACGCTGTGCGATCTACCAATTACTTATTGAAATCTTAAATGAAACAGCACAGTTCAGTACACAATCATGTAGTATTTTTTTATTTCATTAGGGGGCGTCCATAAATGACGTGAGATATTTAAAGGGGGGAGGGGGTCGAGACAAATCTCATCTCATCTCACGTTGGAGATGGGGGGTCTCGGCAAATATCGCGCAATTTTTTTTTTCTGATTGAAACAAATACAATTATACTATTTTGGTCCATTTAAACCAGATTGTACATGCTTATTACACTACTGTATCAATTTTAGCTGAGAATTATCTCAGCTAAAATTGATTACTAGTCTTAACTAGTCGTAAATAAAAGCAAGAAGCAATTTTTTTTTTCTTTTTACAATAACAATCCAACGGGTTTACGTAAGATACCCAGATTTTGAAAAATCTCACGTGAGATTGGGGGATTTGAATAAAATCTCACGACATCTCACCATGGGGGGCGGGGTGGGGGACAGAAAATTAAAAAAACATCTCACGTAATTTATGGACTCCCCCTTAAGAGAGAAAACATAAACGTGAAAATCATTCTTAGTAACTAGGTACTTATTTACGTTTATATTAGTGTGAGTTGCGTCTGATCATCTTTCACTAGTTTATCATAATCAGGTTTGTAGTTGGGAATTGCCAACCTTTTACGATTCCGTCGCGGAGTCAGGTCTAGGTATTTATATTTTTTGCTTTGCCACGATCTACTGGACTGTTGGCCACCCCTGTATAGTATTGTGTTTACAAACAATAGGCGCAGCGGGAACGCGGGATGATATATTAAGTTCATCAGATTTGAATGTTACTGCCATAAAGCACATATTCACTATGATCACAGCCTTTACATTAAAGCTTCTGAACCCGACCACAGTCTGTGGTCTCGTATAGACAATATATTTTTTTGTAATGACCAGGGGCGGATCTATTTATGGGCTTTTTGGGTGCAACCCAGGGCCGAGGATACAAAGGGTCACCACTGAAACGATATTAAGAATATAAAAAAATATCTAAAATGTTAAGAAACCTATCATAAAGTTGGCAACCCTGAGATCAATCAACCCATGCAAGTCCCGTTTATCGAAGGGAACAAGGAATTTCTGGTCGCTTGTTTTTGGTCGGTGTATTTTTTTAGTTGAGTAATATAATTAGGTAGGCCCCTTAGTAGATTTAGCCCAGGGCCCCACAAGTTCACGATCCGCCCCTGGTGATGACGTAGTATGGATATATCGAACGCAATTGTAACGATAGTAAATATTACTTTAAATAAAAAACGGTCCTTATATTAAAATAAATTAATAAAAAAGTGCCTTGGTGCAATGAAGAAAGCTTCTCAATTCTTCCCTAAATTTTTTATCTTACCTTTCTAGTTGTACATTTACATCATTTTCAAGAACACTCAATCAATTACTAGATGTCTCCCTCAATTTGGTTCCTATCTCCAATCAATTTTCAAAATCATATTCAAAAGTGTTTAAGTTAAGTTTATTTGAATAAATGATTTCCTATTCTATTCTATTCTAAATCTTCAGTTGTATCTTTCCATTAGTATGTTTAGTTCTTCAAGATCCTTTACTGCCTATCAGAATCGATTAATATATTCTCTGCTCTTCTTCTGAAACAAACAGTCACATCTTAGTCCCTATATATTTAGTATCAGACCCGGCCACGCGTTGCTGTGTCTAAGGTTCTTGAATAAAATAATAATGCGACTATAAATTGAGAAATTGCACACATTGTGCAAATCAAATTTGCAATCGGTTCAATAGTTTAAGGGTCCGTCGCGGACAAACTACGTGACACGTAATTTTTATATATATTTATTTTTTGTTAAATTTAATATATCATTTTTCCACATTTACTTTTGAGCTTCTTGCATCTGACTTATTACCGTTTTAATCAGATAATATTTTGTTTTAATATAAGGATCTGCTCATCAGTGGAGTTAACTACATACATTACTGTTTTCATTATGAATAATCTATGTATAGTTCTGCAATTAATTGTTGAATAAAGAATTTATCTATCTATTAATTGTTATCAATCACTTATTACGAGTTACACTATGTTCTGGAGACGTCACTAACGAATACAAACACATGTCTAAAACAAACCAAATAAAATTATATTAACGGCTTTGAATCTGTATTCGCTGGTTGTAGTGTAAGACATGTTAGTGTTTCTAACGGTGAACATACTGTGTATTATATATTTCTTTTCTATTTATGAAATCCCAAACAGATTATAAAGATGTAATTTAAAAAAAGAGTATATAAAAGTTTTTATGATACTGTACAGAGAGTATATGGTTCTAATATTTATTACATAGTCTCGGTTATGTTATGTACATACAAATTGGTTTGCTAAATATTCTAGATGTATAGATCTATGCTGCTTAGTGCGTAGGGTGGGGTACTGTTTGCCTTGGCGCATAGGTGTTTATAAAATTTGCAGTTTACTATTTATTATCTAAGTGTTACGGTTTGTAGACTGTAGGCCGGTGTGGATTTATACCTGTTTAATGCCTTGTTACAGTGAAACTAACGAAAAACATTTAATTTGAATACTAAATATCTATACTCTATGCGCTGTAGCATGGTGCGGGTTGACAGTTACTAATGTTATATTTAATTACTTCCTTTTGAATGTCTGTCGTCTGTCGTAGCGACCGAAAGTGAGGCGGTATGCGCGCGCCAGCTGTATTTTTTCAAACGCGTTTCAATCTTATTTTGTTTTAAATAAGGGTTAAATTGCTTAAAAAGAAGTCACGGTTTTGCGGGCACAGATCTGTAACAAGACGGTAATACGGTTTAAGAGGGCTGCACAGATCTGTCAAAACGTTTGAAGGGTTAAAATAACTGTATTAACTTAACCCTTCGATCGTTTTGATGATTTAATAATTTAATATATTAAGAATGTGTTACAGCTGAAACACTGTCATAATTTGTAAATCGCGGGAACTTTTATGTGTGAAATGAAACTGTCACCCGCACCATGCTACAGCGCACATGGTATAGGTCACAGCGCCATCTAGTCCTGAATTGAGCAAAGCTCCTGTAGCTACTGTGATTAGGTGTTTTTTTGTAAATACATATATGTATTTAATTGGAAACGCCCAGATCGATAACCAGTGGGTTATTCCTGTATTGAATGTGGTCGTAAAGAAACTTGGATTGATCCTGCGACCATCGAAGGATGAAATCAAATTTAGAACGAAATATTTTATACTCATATCAAGTATGAATTTTTTTCCGTAGAATTGAGACTGTGCCTAGCATATCAATAGAAATTTGCTCTACATTTTGTTAGTTTTATTATATTAGTAATTTTACTAAAGCATCAATTATGCTTTAGTAAAATTACTAAAGCATAACTGATGTAACTTAATATGAATATGTGAAATAATGACAATTAAAATAAAAATATCGGCATGCTGTAGGTACACTGAGCTACATTGAAATGTATAATGTAAAATTATAATAAGGAGAAACAAGAATATAATTTTTATCG